TTGGTTTATATTCAAATTGTATTAAGTCACTTTATCTAAGTCTAGATCGAAAATTTTCAATTTCTAACTCGAGTCAGAGAAACATGATAATCAACCATCACGAGTTTGGGGACCTTTCTCTCATAGCGTTAAGTCTTACGCTCTTCGTGATGTGTGATTAACATAGGTGCTCGGTGTACAGTGATATTCGATACCTAAAAATATCACATATATTCCAGAAAACGAGCACCCATGTACCTCACACACCACGACTTACCTTATAAACCCGTTACAAGTTGTACTTGTGATGTGAAACCCTCTCCAAAATTACCAACGCTCTATACACGGACGATCCATTTCATCATCATACTTTTTCTCCATAAAACGCTAGTTCATGTATAGTACTGTGCATTCTGTATTCCTTCACTTTATGAAATAGCAGGTATTTATCTAATAGAGTATCAGCCCCTCTTTCTGTTCTTTTACTAGACTCTGATTCTATTTACGATTTGGTTGACACACACAATATTTTTCTGCATGTAAATTATTGCCAAATTCATTGATTATTATTCTTGTAGTAATATTTATAACATACTTAGTCACTTACAGATTTCCACACATGACTAAAAAAAAGCAGTGCTCCAACATATGATGTTCTATAGGTCATATTATACCTAACTGTTCAGTTTGATATCGTACATGTACTGATGGAATACCTCACCTGGTGTGAAATTGACACATACCCACCTGACGCGCCAGAACCTTAGTAAAGTATACTTGGTAGCTTGCTGCCCCCTATACATTTGTTTTCCGGCACCCTTGATGACATTGTCATCTTTGTCCCAGTGTCTTAGTTAAACCGTAGTGGAAATAAAAAGTACAACATACGTTGTATACGTATCTGTATTCAGGCGCGTAGCTGCCACGTAAGCAAATAAGCAGTTGCATGCACATCAAAAATACAAATTTACTATTATATTTTTATTTATTTATTTATTTATTTATTTTGTAGTTCGGAAAAGTGATTAAATGATGTGTGGTTCAATTGAAAAATATATTAAATTTAACCACGGAATTAGATTGTTATCTAAGTCCGTGATTTAACTGTATAACCGACAGTCGACAATCATTACGTATCTGGAAGTTCCAACCTAGGGTACCTGGTGCCGATTTTATTATTAGTATTTTTAAATTTGTCAACATCGGAAACATGCATGGCTGCAAATCCAACGAAAAACCCGCATCATCTTCGAAGAACAAGTTGATACATGACATCTTCCAAGCAGCTGTAGGTTCACATGAAACAACATCCTCTTGCGACATTAACTTAGGAATCGACGAGTCTAAAACGCGGTACGGCTATTAGTATTAGGGCCTAGTAATGCCGGACCGAAGACAGTTCTGATCAGTCTCAGCATAGGTGATGGGCACGTCTATCAAAAAAAAATAAAAAATTGAATATATAAAACTAGTTTTATATATTCAAGTTTTATATATTCATTTTTTTTTTTTTTTTGATAGACGTGCCCACTACCTATGTTTTATATATGCCCACCACCTATGGTCTCAGTGGTGGACCCAGGGGTGTTGCCCTTAGTTGCCCGGGCAACACCCTTTTTTCTGTGTCCAAAAATAATCTGGACTTAGGTTTTTGAAGATTTTCCTCTTTTTCATATGGGATTTTCTTCTAATATCAACCATCATGTGAACTAAGGGTGCAGTTACCCAAACAAGGAGTCCACTACTTATACTCTAAACAATATATTTATATATTAGTAGGGTCTGCAGTCAGGTCAGTAGTGAAGGGTCAACGGACTGTCTACCTAATTGTATTGTTCTAATGTCACGGTGTGGTGATCACCCTGTTCATGGAGAGAGGATAAAACCATCTGTTGGAATTAGGTACAAAGTGTATATATGTTACTTGTTATTTCAAAGGTAGAGTCCATTTCATAATAGATAAACCAGTATTTTCACCTGTGGTTTCATGTACACATGATCACCAGGGGTGTTTTATTATACCTGTTAAAAAATGTAAATTTCAAAACTGTCAAAGACAGTAAAGCATCCACCTTAGCATCACGTTATCAGGTGAATAATATCCAATGTTAGCATAAAAGCCTGGCATGTATATATATATCCTTTTTAACAGGTGTTGCCCTTGTACATATGCATGCATACAAATTCACAATAAAAGACAAACAGTCAAATCATAATTATTTTTTATGACAAGCTAAATCAATATTTTGAATTGCCAAAATCCTCGCCTAAACTACATGCACATGACACAAACATCAACATTTTAACCAAAAACCTACATTTTTACCATGCATTGTTTCAGAGAATTTTTTGTTAACACTCGCTCCGCTCCCCCATCATAAAATATGAATACTCTATGTTATAAAATATAACCTAGAATAATACCGCAAACTCAGAAAAGTATTCTATGCCTTATTTGATCAGTTTGACAATGGAAATAATGTCCGATAAATTCTAGCTTTCTACGCTTGCCAGTGCTTGAACAAGTTTAGTATTACATCTTCCGAAAAAAGAATTCGCCTCGCTCTGCTCGGCTGGGAAATTATAATTGTCACAATCTCAGAAATAATGAAGTTCTATATATTGTTTGGTGCCAGAAAGTAGTATACATGTACAACCGACATGACAATTATAATCTATTAGTTTTTTTGAGTCTTCTGAGTTTAAAATTTTGGGCAACACCCAAATCTTATTGCTGGGTCACCTCTCCCCCCCTGAGTTTGACTGTTGTTACCCGTGATATCGGGAATACAAGCGAGGCCGATATTCGTCTTACTAAAGTGAAGGTGGATATCGATATCCTGTCTAAAAGATGGGAAAAAGCTCACATGTTCAAGTTCCATACACGTCAACAATTTAAAAAAATTAAAATGATTGTAATGAAATACAACTAAGTCAACGGAGGCGGGTTGTTTTTCCGGAATGGATGTTTTTTTTTGTGTATTTTTTTTCTTCCAAATAACAATTGTAGATTGATTTGTTACTAGCATTATTGTTATAGGTTTTAGGGCGGATACATGCGCGTATAGGATCCATCTGAGTTTTACATTCACTTCGCCTGCAAATGTAATATGAAAAAGGCAAAGCCTCAAAAGTCAGAAAAAGCCACGTACATGTAGCTTTTGCTAATCTGTGACATTATATAGGCCTGCCCTTCATTTGTCCCTGTCATGAACTGATGAAGTATGTTTTTCAGAGTAGTCCTAGGCCTATCTTCAGTAGGGCTACTGGATATGTATGTATACATATATCTAAACATCGATATAGAAGCTACCGTCATCTTATGTTCTGAGAAATGTTGATGATATAAAAAGGGTTTTGGGGACACAACAGCAAAAAATCTGAAATTAACCTGTTTATATTGGCTCCGACATGTTAAATATCTAGTTAACTTAGATTCATCAGGAAAGAGATATGACGCAACGGATATTTTCGGGTAATTCCAACAATCGACACTTTTTTGTCGGAGAAAAAAAGGAGAGCTGTCTTTCGCATTTGAAATACATTTTAATTTTTGCGATGCTTTCCAATAATAAAGTGATGAATCAACCAAAAAATGTTGTCTGTAAAATAAATTAAAACACTAAAATATGTATCTAAAAAGCCACCAGATGGCACGACAGAGCTTTTATATCTAAAAAAAATCCGGGGGTGGGGCATGCCCCCGTGTGTACATTTATGTTATTTGGTATACATGTTTCACAACAAGACATACTCTCCTTGCACACAATTCAAAACAAAAAACAGGAAAAGTATGTCTATTTAGTTTTTGTCTTGATGGCGAAATGTCACGAATGTGAGACATAGGTATTTTGTTACAGTTTGTCTTTGTCTTTGTTTGAGACATTGCTTTTGGGAAATATTAGAGTAATTAGTAAAATAAAAAATTGAACTAAAACAAAACGCAAGAGGCCCAGATGGCTCACCTGGATAATAAAGCAACCATAGAGAATTATTCTTGTTAAATCACTCTTGTTAGCCCGGGTGTTAGCGCGCGGGGGTCTTATTGTGAGAGGAAACCAGAGTACCCGGAGAAAACCCACGTGATCGGACAGGTTACCCCATACCTTTTCACTTCCCTCGGTGAATCGAACCCCGGCCGCCTTGGTGAAAGGCAAGTGCGCTATCCACTGCACCATCCGACCACCTTGAAAAACTGGTATTAAGTACTGACGGGATCCACTTGCATGGATATCTCTCTAAGAAAAGTATATAAATGAAATTGGTATTTAATATTTTCTGGTCTTTTTCATATTTCTACTAGGCAAATGAAAACGTTCCGCTTAGTATTGTTCTCATGTTTTCCGGCTCCCCATGAGGATTTTTAAACGTGGACACTGGCATAACCTGTATGATAAGTCAAACATCTTTCTCGAAAGAACCATGATTGAGTCATCCTGAAATAAACGTCTTAAATATAGGTGCATGATTTTCTAAAAGTTTAGCATTCGTCCCAAACAATCAAACGGTTTTAAACCAAAAAATCTATGTTCTCAAGATACAAGAAACTTTATTTAACGTCGCATACAGGTAAACAAGGAACATTAGCTCTTGAGAGCTATTATAGCGACAAACACATGTAAAAATAACAATAACATATTATATTACAAGTAAAGGGAGAGAATCACATATATTAATAATAATACAGTAATAATCATCACAGAAAAAGAAAGTATACTATGTACATATCCCAGGTTTCTAAGTATTGCAAAATCGTAAAAAATCATACAAGTTTTTCATGAAAATATCACATTTCGTATTTGATTTTGCAAAGATTTTCATATTCACTCAAAGAAAAAAATCTCTTTGCATGTATATAATATATATTGATATTTTTTTCAATATATTATTCAATAATGGCTGCCGACTGTGATTATAATAAATCATATGACGCAACCTAACTGGTCTACTGTTGTTTGTCTCCCCTGAATCGTCAATTTTCATAGGCGGTATGTCATTGGTCAATTTTATTGTATCGGACCAATAGATTACAACGTTATAGCACGTGTTTGTACTTTTCGCTCGCAGGATGTTGCCTCATATGTGTCAAACGTGAAACATCAACATGTTTAGTGTATTTGTGAACTTCGAATATGACATCACATAATTAATGCGATAAAAACCGCAAAATGAAGCTCATCAGCAGAGATATTGACAAAAACGGTTCTGGGTAAATGTCAAATGTCGTGCTTTAATGTGTACCCGCCGTTGTTTTCATATTGATTGTGACGTGTGTGTTCCTTCGAAAATTATGAAGATTTACGTCTTAAATATCTATTAATTTAGGAAGGACAAATAATTGATAAATACATTATCTTTTCGTGTCACTTAAATGATTCCTCGAGAAATAACTGATTTTCTAGTTTCGGATCACGTCTTTCTTGATTCCCAGGTCCTTTTTTTTGTACAAGATACTCGGCTCCGGACGCTTGTGGGTCAAGATATTGGAATGACCCCACTTTCACGTCGTGAAGGAGGGGGTCATTCTAAATTCTTACCTTCTGGGCCTCGAGAGAAGGACAAGACTACATCAGAGACCATTTTTTCTCTTGTTTTTTTTTTACTTTCGGATTATTCTTTAATAATTTCTACTCGAAATTACATATGTAACATTAGCAGATTTTTATATTTTCATATAATGTACTGTCCAGTCTCTTCTTGTGTGTGTAATAGAGGTCATTATTTTCTTTAAATTTCTTCGCCTGGAGTCGAATCTGGGACCCTCTTGCACGCTAGTCAGACGTTCTAGATCGAACGAGCTAACGAGAAAATCTCCCTAGCCGAGTCGGTAGGAAGCAGCTAGTATTTTACCAGGGTTACATACTCCCCCTCAAGGAAAGAACTCTTCCTAAGTTATCCAGTGGTGATAGTGATTCCTTTGCAAGTATCGCTTAGTATTTATGTCATGTATCCCGAGTCCCTATGTGGCTTACCCTAGTCTAAGGCTCTACCAAATGAGCTATAAAGAGAAATTCTCCCTAACCGTGTTAGTAGGAAGCGGCTAGTATTTTACCAAGGTGACATGTGTTTTGTTTGATGCAGACATATACACCATCCTTTTAATTTGTTGAGTTACCCCCACTGGTGTGCCATGGCTGTGAAGTAGTGATGGGCAATTGGTTTAAAGTCAAAATCGATAATGCGTTTGTAAACCAATCTATGATCGATTGCATAATCGGTTTATAATTTTTGGGGATGGAATACCCAACTAACGTGAGAACTCTACTATTACATCAATAGACAGAGTTAACGTGCTACACTATACATTAGGTTTTGTTCTTTTATAATGAATTGATATATAGCAACATTTGTGCATAATTTTCGTCAATCAAATGGTATATATATAATATATGTCTTTCAAAGCATACTTTAAAAGGAACTTGAAGACATTAAAATACTTTGATTTCAATGATGAACAGATTATATGGATTATAGAATTTGTAATCAATAGACGGAATCGGAAAGGGCAAACCGATTGATTTTCGATTATAATCGATCCTCACTACTGTCACGGTGTGTTAGTGATCATACACAAAATGTGAAATTACCTACTTCAACTTTTGAACTATGAATGTTCAAAGTTAGAATAATCATTTGAACTTTGTTCCCGAGTTAACATAGAACTAAAAATCAGAACAATATGACTGAAATGCGGGCTGATTGAGCAAGAATGTAAATTTCAGTTCTCTAAAAGCACATGTACCTGCAGTCTCTATGAACTATATTATATACCACAGAATATGTTATAATGCTATAATTTATGTAATTGTATATATAGAGGCTGGTATATATGTAGCTACAGTTGATCAACTTTCCTTTGTATGTATACATATTAATTGCAACTAAATAATTACCAAAAAAGGTATCTTAGAGGAATTGTTATTAAATATTAAGACAACTCTTGCCCCAGAAACATGAAATCCTAACCTGTTAAAAACCTAACTGTTATTATATAACCTTAACCCTTTCACCACTGTAGACCATAATGGACTCGTCCAGATAAATGCATGGTAGAGTCTACTAAAGTTGCATAGAGGTGAAAGGGTTAAACAAAAATAAATGGTCTTCTTTTCTTTATTATACCTAGTCAGTAGAAAAATAAAGTGTGTAATACACAATTTGTAAGTTCCTGATTGTAACATCAATTTCATTTTTAATTTTTCATTTCACTGTTGTAATATTTAAGGCTTCCAAATGAACCTAATCGGGATTAAAAAGAAGTCGGGTTGATTCCGTTTCTTGATAGATTCTATTTCAATCTTCATTGCTAAACTAGGCCTGTTTACAACCCTGTATTTAGTCATAATCATATTTTTGTGTTTATGATTTTAGGAGTGTGACCCTGATTCCTGAGGAGTCGGAGGACATGTGGCACACCTACAACCTGGTAACCATTGGCGACTCACTGAGATCAACCACCATCAGGTACTGTAGCCATTTCATCCTCTCCTATACACACAGTTCAAGAAGATCAACTCTTTCCCGAGGATAACTGTGGATGCATATTTATTGAAACTGCTGTATGTGCAGTCGAGATGAAATTACCGAAACAACAACAAAACAAAAGCAGGTTTATGATACTGTTTACCAAAAGTAGCACTTAACTTTCATACTGTATTGACAATTTACATATTTGATGGTGTTTGATTATAATATCAAAACATTTTTTTTTTAAGTCTTTGATGTAAAAAAAACACATGTTTTATTGCACTATTTCAATGACAGTCTGGTTCTGTTTCCAGGAAAGTTCAGAATGAGTCGGCCACCGGAAGTGTGAGCGTAAACAAAGTTAGAACCACTCTCTGTATCCATATAGAAGCCATCGAGTTTGACACACAGGGATGTATGCTCCGCGTCAGAGGGCGCAACATACAGGAGAACCAGTATGTCAAGGTAATCATTGACCATACAGAAAACTGCTGTGTCAAGATATTTAGTTACCATACATTTACAGTAAAGCGAGTATAATTATGAAAATTGACAATTATCTGTAGCAAGGTTAAATGTTTTTCCACTGAAGTTGTTCTATATAACAAATGAAATTGGTTAGAATAAAATGACAGAGGGTTACAACTTGACTTTAGAAAGTGGGATACTGTATGTAGAAGTCAACCTGTTCCATAAAAAACAAGTTAGGTTTGATGACAGTTACACATAAACCAATTATTAAGTTATAGCTTAGTATTTCAAAAATTCAATTCAACCTTTTACCCTGTCAAGTTTGGCAAACTACACTGTCGCAGAATTTACAGAAAATTGTATTTTTACCTTCTTTTTTTTTTAGGAATGCATGAAAGCTAATAATTTCCCACTGCAAACCATAAATAAAGCATATTTTATATGGCCAGAACAAGAACTAAAATGCATGTAGCTGTTGCACATCAGCGCATGTGCAAATAACACAGGACACATTTTTATATCCATTTTAACAGTTTACATATCTACTTTAACAGTTTACATACATTGTACTTAACAGTCATTACCGATCGGCCAAAACTCAACTAAGAGATAAATGTCTTATTCACGATATCCCAGTCATAACAATGAAGTAAACTGTATTTGAAATAAATATAAACACTGGTTTATATGTTGACTTTATGTAGATGGGTGCCTACCACACACTGGACCTGGAGCTGAACAGAAAGTTTACCTTGGGTAAACATGAATGGGACAGTNCGTCATTGGTTTGTGTGAGAAAATTACGTTGTTTTCTCAAAAATTGATGACGTTACTCTCTCAAACAAATGATGTAACAATCAATACCTGCTCTCAAGAGAAGATAACTCTGCAATACGCAAAGACGGAATATTACCAGTGACAACTTTTATCATCAGTAACTGTTCACTTTATGAAGAAATTTGACTACAATTTATATTAACAACATGGCTCAACCTAATTATCGCCTCTGTCAATAATAAGATATATCACCGTTGTCTTAAAACATCAGTGACGGACATCTTGACTTTTTTTTGAAGCCTTACTAGCTTACCCGATAACACTGTACCCTCTAATTTTGCAATTTTTCAAGGGCTTAATCGGGCAAAAAATAGTGCACATATTAAATAGGTAGAATACTCGATTTTGATATATTACAGGAAAATAAAATTAAGCTAAATGCAGTAAAATGGTAAACCTGATCTGAGTAGGGAACAGTTTGTTTAGTCTTCAATGATAAAAAAAATGTCCAGCTGAAGACAGGAAACATTTTCTAGTAGTTGCTGTATTTGTCACAGAAGGGAGGTAACTGCTGTCAGACTATAATGGTTTTATATTGTAGAGAAGAATTTTCAGTCTCAATCTATTATCTAAATTCTATTGGCACTAAAGGATATGAATTGAGAGAAATATTTAAAGTAAAATTTGGTTTGACATTTATTTTAAAACCATCAAAAAGTTGAATTTTTGAAAGATATGGTTTTGACGATATGTGTGTCTTTACTTACAGAAACAGCTTGTGATCCCACCACACACGCCGACCTTGCCGCAGTTGTCATGCAGGAAGGACTCGCTCATGTCTGCCTAATTACTGCAAATATGACCCTTGTTCGTGCCAAAATAGAGACCAGTATACCCCGCAAACGCAAGGGAATGTGTTCACAACACGACAAGGTATGGGCAGGGGGTTGTAATATTCGGCATTATAACTTACATAAGCTTTGTGGTATCATATATACTGAGGTATGATATGCCATGTTTCAATATATCATGGTATAGTGAATAGAAATCATTTTCTGTCTTGAAACATGCCTATCATGCCCCCACTAAGCCACTTATTACTGACTATGGGACAACCATTTATTGTACAGTATTGCTTTATTCCATCATTTTCAGTTAATAATTCAGCCACCTTTTTTTTGTTTCCCATTACATAATTCAGCCACCTTTGTTCCCAAAAAAGAATTTCAGTCATATTTCTTTCCAGTAAATAATTCATCCACCATTGTTCTGAGTGGATAATTGAGCCCCCTTTGTTCTCCTAAAAAATGGACTGGATTGTGAAAAAGCTGTTTTATGGGAACACATTTTTTGTTGGAAAAAGTTGAGCTGTACAAACTGACTTGTGGTGGCTGGATTAACAATTTTTGCCTGTAAATAAATACCCATAGTCAACACCCCATCTGTTGAAGTCAGTAAAAAATGTATGACAGCTTACATTTTGATCTGTTGTTAGGATGCATAATTTTGTTATGTTTTTGTACAGGGCCTCGCAAGATTTTACGATCAGATCATACAAGCTATACTACGCCACGTCAATTTTGATAGTAAGTGTTAATAATTCATCTCGCTTTACATAAAGTGCCTGTGATCTTATACAGTGATGCAGTGTCAGCTGTTGTCAAAGTTTTCCTGCTAAACTTATTTAAATATGTTACCCTGATTCGCATTCAAGACCTGTAGTCATATGTGAAAATCAGTTGACCATTTTTATAAATTTTTGCTTTATTATATAAAAGACACAAGAGAAACCCCCGTTCCGCGCCAGTCTTGGGAGGGTGTGTCATAAGCCACATGATATGTGTATGATATGTATAAGCATCGAGTTACAGAAGGTTTATTTTGTACCTGGATCTTTAGGGGTACGCATATATACTTAAATAAGGCCACACCAAGAGTGTATTTTTAATTTACCTAAAAAAAAATTGCGTGAAGGAACAAAAGTATTTTTTTGTGTTAGTATAAGGAGTTTGATCACTGAATTGCAAAGTTACCCATTTCTTATCAATTCTTTCTCAATTTGGAAATATATGGCATGAGAACTATGTTCTTATCATTTCTAAAAATGATGCGAAGTTGTTAAAACAATCCAGTTTAATTTCTCTCAATGGTATATAAAATACTTCATAATTCCTTAAGTAGTTAAAAAGTATAGAATTAAAGATGAAATGAGTGTAAATATATTACTAGTTCTAAAGATTGTAAAATATTTCTACATTTTAATATTTATTATTTTCTATGTTTCAGTTGTAAAATGTTTTCTTGTGGCAAGTCCAGGATTTGTAAAGGTAAGACTAGTTCACTGTCACTTGTGTATAACCGAATTTTTTTTTATTCCAACATAATCAAACCTTTCATGGATAAAAAAAATGGAGACTTTGGCAAAGGATAAAAGTGAAAGTATTTGCTCAATAAAGTGACGAACACCTTCTTTTTATGTCCATTTTATTGCAAAATATACTGGATAATAAATATTCTGTCTTTGCGTATTGCAGAGTTATCTTCTCTTGGGAGCAGGTATTGGTTGTTACGTCACTTGTTTGTGAGAGTAACGTCATCAATTTTTGCTCCCAAGAGAAGATAACTCTGCAATACGCAAAGACAGAATAGAGACTTTGGCAGATCAGGAAAGTCAAAATATTTTTACAATACAGAAATACATCAATTCTCTATGTCTATTTTTTTTTCGATGTTCTGCAGGACCAGTTCTCAGAGTTCATGTTTACACAAGCTGTTAAAATGGACAATAAAGTGTTGCTAGACAACAAATCAAAGTTTGTTCTTGTCCACTCCTCTTCAGGATTCAAACATTCTCTCAAAGGTAAGTTCACATGAAAATCTGCCCCAAAATATTTCAAAGTCTGATTTATCTTAAAAGTTCCAATTTATATTACTGAGAATAAGTTTAATTTGTATAAACAGTTTTGTGTTTCTTGTCTTAATATTAAGATTTGGAGTCACTGGTTGTCCAAGTTTAGATGGTGTCAAGTATTGACTTTGGGGTCAAAATGTTAGAAATCAAGGTCTCAGTGACCTTATGTGTGAAAATAATTTCTAGACTCCAAGTAGGTCATGTTTTCATCTAGTCTAGGGCCTTGAAACTATACAGAATGACAAACCATAGGATGAAAAGGAAACCTTTTTATATTGGGACCAAAAAGTGTACAGTGACTCTTTAAGTGGAGAATTCTCGTCAAAGGTCATGGACATCATAAACCATGATACAGAAGTTGTTTCTACACTCTAAGTGGTGCTGCAGTGGCGAGTGATTAAGTTGTTTGACCAACTAGCTGCAGGGTTGCCAACCTCTAAGGAGTCCAGTGTGGGAGATATCCCTTCACTGGGTTTTCTTAAGTGTGAGAATTTTGACGGCATCACAGCGTAACGTCGTTTCGGGTGTTGAGATAACATTTACTTAATTATCAAACAAATCCTGGCTTTCCCTGACTACTTTAACATCTGCATTGTTGATCTTTTCACTTCAAGTTCTTTGTAGGAAATAAAAACAAAACTTTTTTTGCAGATATATATTAGATTTTTATTTATCACACAACCAACCTGACATCAGAAATGCTATTTTTAGTGTATGTACATTTACTGACAGTGAGACAGTAGTTTTTGTGATCTTAAAGAACGTTACAAAGCAGATTGTAGTTAGCAACAGGTTTACCTCAGTAGTCAACACTTCCATGTACGTGGTTTTTTCCAGAGGTTTTACAAGATCCTGCCTTAACTGCCCGGCTAGCTGACACAAAGGCGTCCTTAGAGATCAAAGCTTTGGACGATTTTTACCAAATGCTTCAGAACGACCCCAACAGAGCCTTCTACGGGTAAGCAAAGTCCATCTTCAGGTCCTCCTTATACTGTACTGTTAGTAACATATGTACCTTCTTACGAGTTCTATAGTTGCTGGTTATAGCTTTTGTCTATGGTAAAATACAATCCAACTACAGATTATGTTGCAACTTATTCTTTTCTTAGTTGTATTGTTGAATATGGATGGACAGGATTACTATACTTCTTGTACCAAACTATGTTGAGGTAAAAGTATGACCGAGTAAAAGTTGGAGTAGTCTCCCTTCTATAGTAGTCTCCCTTCTATAGTAGTCTCCCTTCTATATAGACGATGAAGCAACCAAGGGAGTAGTCTCCCCTCCACGATTGACTTCATTAATAAAATTCACTTACATTAAAGAATGAGGTGATGGTAATTTTTAGTTGATCTTTCAAGTTACATTTTGATTGCAAAGTTTCTCATTTCATCAGATATTAACATTTACTTCGCATACTCACTATATAAGTACATTGTACTTGTATAATCCAAGATATAGTGTCCATGGATTCTGATCAGCAGAATATCATGAGCAATTTCTCAAATATAAATTGGGCCAATATAGTTCAAACTTCATATTCAAAACGACCAATTGTTTTTAATTCAGAGTAAAACAAGTGGAAAAGGCTGCAGAGCATCAGGCTGTCGAAGTCTTGCTCATATCCGACGAGCTGTTCCGATCGCAAGACATCAAGCAACGTAAACGATATGTGAAAATTGTAGACACTGTACGAGAGACTGCTGGTGAGGTGAGGATGTTCTCTAGTTTACATGTATCTGGAGAACAGCTAGGCCAGTTATCAGGAGTTGCTGCGATACTTAGATTTCCAATGGCGGACGATGACGACGATTCAGAGGAGGATTAAGAAATGTATTGTTTAAGGAAGATCTGTGCACCTCGCTGGCATTTTAATCAAACATTCTTGCTGGCATTTAAAACACACTCAATGTTTCAATTTCTGAGCCTATTTTATATGTAGCATGATAAAAACAATTATTTATTAAATCATTTCAATTCTTTTTTTAAATTGTTCCCTTTTACTACAAAATACATAACTTGTTTTTCTCATTGACATAAAGATTGACTAAAACTATGATTTCCCCAATGATTCCCGACCTGCAGGTGTGTCTATGCATGAAGTATCAATCGAGAAATTGATGAAGTACTTTTGGAGGGGTTCCCACATTATTCACCTTGTAAGTGTCTATATGCTTAATTCACATCCCCGCAATATAAGCATTATGTGTACCAAGTAGCGTTCAAATATGTGCAGTACTTTGGGAGAAGTAGTATGAACATTTTTTTTAACAAACCAGCACATCTCCTCTAATCTTTATTCACATCCCCTCTATGTAAGCATTATGAGTACTGAGTAGCATTGATGACATGACAAGTATTGTATTTCACTTAGTTTACATGCTGATTTCCACATCACATCTAAACAATAAAATAAAGCTACCAGTACCTATGATATAACTCAGGTGACCGCTAAGGCCCTTGGGCCTCTTGTTTTAACAAACCGGCACAACTCCTCTAATCTTTATTCACATCCCCTCTATGTAAGCATTATGTGTACCGAGTAGCATTGAAATCAGTGCAGTACTTTGAAAAGGGCTCTCATATTATTATGATCATGCAGTGGGTTACAGCAGGTATATTCTTTTCTTGATCCCCAACTTGCAGTGATGTCCATGTATGAAGTATCAGACAAATTGATGCAGTACCTTGGAACGTGACATGCAAACAATGTTATGAAACAAAGGGGCATAACTCCGTAAATAGGGGAGTTAACTTCATTCTATATAATGCATTCACATACCATCTATGTATAGGTTTTGTAAACCAAGTAGCTTTCAAATTGATGAAGTACTTAAGAGGGAGTAGTGTGAACAATTTCTTTACAACGATGGGGCATAACTCCATAAATAGGGGATGTATCTCTATTCTTTATAGTTTAATCACATCCCCTCAATATAGAAATTATTTGTACCAAATATCATTCAAACCTGTGCAGTACTTTCGTGGGAGTAATATGAACAATGTTTTTCATCAAAGGGGCATAGCTGCATAAATTGACGAGGTTATTCCAATCACATGTATATACTTTAATCACATCTGCTATATGTAAGGATTCTGTGTACCAAGCATCACTGAAATAAGTGCAGTGCTTTGGGAGGAGTAGTACGAATAACAGTGTGTCTACAGACAGACAGACAGACAACCTGATTCCTGTATACCCTCTACCCACAACTTCATCGCTTTGGGTACAATAAAAAAACTTATTCAGTACTAATATTCTCGACGAAAGTTATTGAAAATTTTTGTCCAAATTTGATGACGTGCAAAAGGGCACAACATCACAAATGGGCATAACTCTAAGAAGATATTCCAAATTTAATGACGAGCGAAAGGGCACAACATCATATCTTAGGAAAGTAGTATGCTAGGTTTGAGAGAAATCACTCCAGTATTTCTAAGATAAGTTTGACAAAATATTACGGCCTGACACGATGATTCCAATACACCCCTCCCTCCAGCTTCATTGTGGTATAATGATGAAAGCTGAGTTCGATCATGAACCATTTACTGTGGTAAGGCTGTTTCATCTAATGTTGTTACGCATGCTGTTAAACAACAACCAATCATTGCCTTGCGTTCAAAGAATTGTGTATGTGCAGACAGGGACTAATTGCTCTGGTCCGACCGTAGGAAATCGTAGGTTGTACCATTGTCATCAAGATATGGGCACTTCAGCTACCTTACACCTGCTCATTACATTATACCAGAGAGAGTTTTATCATACTCTATTAAGACCAGAATCACAATTATTGATGATAAAACTTGGCCAATACTGAAAAAATACAACTCGGCACATTTTATACTGTAGGAAATGTATCAATTTATTTGTTATAAGTAATGATGTAAAATTGTACATAATGACATGTATAATATTTAAAATCACTTCAAAATTGACTCATTTGAAACATCATATAAAAAGAAAATTGTGACTATTTAAACATTTATGTACAGCAGACTAGCATTCAAATTTACATCAGTTCTGCAAACCCATCGGACGTGGGCTCATGTTAGGAGTATTACCAATAATGCCAGTATGCAAGATAAACAGACACAAATTTTCAGCTTATTTCAACAAAATGATGTTAAATTAGGCAATCAAGAATCAAGCAAAGTAAGTTTACATATGAAGTATATTGTACCAAGGCTAAAACTGGTGACCCCTGCCTCAACACCTCGATGAACTGGACCACTCTCTAAATGATCTACTACCAAGGTCAGCCCAGGGTCATTCTAAACACCTCCTTCATATATTCAGTTTTTGTATCCAGTAAGGTTGGAAGAAATGCCAACAATGATGACCTTGAAAATCCTTGCAACTTTCTTTGAATTTTTTCCGAGCACACATCAATTAAAATTTTATTTATATCTTTTTTTTAAGATTTTATTCGAGCACTCATCAGTGAAAAATATATTTTGATTTCAAATACATTTCCATATGAGCACTGACATGTCTGTTTAACTGTTGATAGCTTATAAAGTTTACCGGTCATCATTCCTTCACAGTAAAATATAACCATATGGTTAAATCTAAAGTGTCCAACCGCATAATTATGTATACCAAAAAAAACAAAGAATAAGATTTCTAAACATTTTCTTCAGGTTCTGTTGCACTATCAACAGTATCTTAAAAACTTCGTTTTCAGCAAATCTCTGTTTACTTTAGAATGAGAAGTAAATGGAAGAGACATCCTTAAAATTTATTGGATTACGCTCTCATATGTTCTCTGCACCCCTGGAATATCGTGACGAAATTGAGGGCTCTGTATGCATGTGCCAACTTGTATATGACAAAAGTAGACTACCAGGTAGTTTGATCCTTGGATGTTACTCAAAAGAATCACATGCATGGAAAGCTGTCAAATCTCCCTCATTTGGAGGAGACTCCTTGATTTTGACCAAAATTTACCAATCTCCCTCGAAACTCCCTCATTCAAGTCCAAACTCCCACAAACTCAAAATCTACATTCTGTGGTAAAATGATCTCCTAGTTACTGCAGGGTGGGTTATAAATCATGACAGGTGTGTCTGAATCAAATGAATGCTTTTTGGAGCTACGTATTTTAAAAAGGGAAAGATAAATTGAGTGAAGCAATTTAAGTTGCGTTTCACGCACTTTAATTTCTCCCTTATTGGAAATGCGGAATGAAGGAGATCTCCCTCATTGGAGGTTTCAGAGGTTGACACCTATGTGCATGTCAGGTAACATTGAGGTTCTGAAGTTGGGGGTTTCTCCTCTGTAATCTTCAAATCACTGGTAACAGCCAAGCAATTCATCATTTTTTTTTACCTGAAACCAATCGTATAGCTAATGCGTGCCTTGGATTCTGCCAGGACATATTCAAGGGGTGCAGAGAACTTCAGCAATTGCCACCCATGGAATTTTAAGGACGTGCAGGAAATTACATAAGGAATACTGACTAACACCAGTGAAGCGGATTAGCTGACTATAAAAGTAAAACACCGACTTCCCAAGACCAGTCCAATTGAGTATTTTTGTTACAACATCTCCGATACAAATTCTGATAACTTACTAATTAAAGGAAACCTGATGCTGAAGCTTTTGGCAGAAATAAAAGATAGCAAAGAAATGTTACAATTCAAAATATATATACGAAAGATAAGATTTATAATAGACATGTACCAATTCACAAATATTCAATATTATACTATCAAAAGAGCTTGAAGATGAGAAGATGGCATAAATATAATCCCATGTTGTCTTGCCTTGTCCACTTAATATTTCATTAAGAAAAATAATTACTGTGAAAGTGGAAACTTTTGCAATGTGGATATGTTCACGACTTTCGCATCAAATAAATTGCAGCCAAATGAAATATCCACATGCAAATATTCATTTTTGGGGTATAGATATATAGAACATATCAATATCAGAACCCATTACTCATGGGTGAAAATTTCCAACCATGTTCAGTTTTAAGAGTGACTACGCAAATTTCCACTTTTATAGATAATGTTACATGAAAATGATGACTAATCCTATACAACAAGCACCATATAAATTAAGAAGTTAAAAAACCTATATTTGTACTATATATTTCTTTTTCCTCACTCTAGCTATGGCCTGAACACAATTACAGTCCAATCTGTATTATGAGATCACTGAAGAAACGGCTAAAAACTGTTCTTTTAGCAGAGAAGGTCCCTATTATGGAATATAGTAAAACTGCTTTGTTCATGGTGATAACAAAATGGTGGTCTCTTAAATATAAGAGACTAGTGGTGTCTCTCGAGCAGAAATTGGTCACCTGATTATCAATACAGTAAACCTTGATATAACGCCCCTCATTTACCGCCAACAATTTTCAATGTCTTAAGAATTCCATTATACATTTCCCTCAATTTATCACCACACCCCTTTATAATGACAAAATTTCTCTGGACAAATGGTGGCAGTATAACGGGGTATTAAGTTTACCGTAAACAGTACCCGTCTATAATAGTGATGAGATGCGACATTGATTTGTCACATTATCATCAATATTGTGTTAAATGTTTAGCAATAAGTTAAATGACATGAGAACGATTTTTCAGTTAGTGTACGGTTGTACAAATTGTACTTCTAATATGTGTATTTGACTTCTAATGATGCATGTTTATCAAATCTAAATCTAAAATGAAATTATCTAGAAATCTAATATTACATTCAGTATTTCAATAACTTCTGTACTTCAATGATACAAATATATATATATATATATATAAAAAAATGTATAGCAATACATATGTAGTACAAACCTTTATATCATATACAACTGAAATTCAATATTCTAATGTTCAGCAAAGTGCTGGCTATTTGCTTCACCTTAGTTTCTATATAATTAACAGTGTGTCATTACAATAATTAACAGTGTATCATTACAATAATTAACAGTGTGTCATTACAATAATTAACAGTGTGTCATTACAATAATTAACAGTGTCTCATTACAATATTCAAGAATAGGAGAAAAAAGTAAACAAAATAAATATACCTGACCATAGAAAATACAATGAAATATACTTCCTCTATTACAGATTGATGAAGACTGATTTCTCTATTGTATCTTCCTTGTGAAAATCACAGGGCTAAAATGCAGGAAAACACCTGTTGATGAATGTATTGGTAATCTTCCCAAATTGATGTGTTTACACTTTAACAGAATTCAATCCTACTGACAGTAAATAACATGTGATCTATGGTGGACATAAATATGACAACCCGAAGCTAAGAGAGTATGATATATATATCTCACGAAGTTTAACATATTCCTTTATCTGCTTATGTTTTGTACATAAACTGGCTGCAACAGTCTGTTTTGCACTTTTTTGCAATTACTCTATAAATACTCCCATCAACAGATTTCCACAAATCATACTTCACTCAATTTGCTGACTTGTTATAATTATACACTCTGACTGAAACAGAATTGGATATATTTCCCCATTTACAACTTTTCCCTGAAAAAACATACTCTGAAAAAAACCTGTTCTAAATGTCATTTCCCATGTCATATGCACAGTTTTAATTACAGTTATAGATTGATTTTTTTTGTTCCAAATGTTATTTTTGTTTTTACATTTATTTGTTTTCCAGTGGTAAATGTACTGATATTAGGTAACGATGTTCTGTTTTGAGTTATAGAGTAATAGCCAAAAGCATGTCTTACAAGACGGAGAGAATAGAAAGACAAAGTTAATCAATAAAATTGGTTATGAGTTTAAGACAGAAAAAACCCTTTACTGAATTAATGATTGGTTTTGGTTTGTTTGTGCTTTAAGTCATATTAACAGCTACGGTCATTTAAAGACTTGCCAGGTCTTGCTGTTGGGAGAAAATCCTGAGTACCCGAAGAAAAACCACCGACCTTCAGCCAGTACCTGGCGACTTCACCAAGTAAGCCTCGAACCCGCGACCAGAGACATACAAAACCAGTAGCATGTAGCAGATACATCTCTGCCGCGACACAGTGGTAGAGAGTATAATAGGTGATCGTAAACGGAAGACACCTTAACCACACGCCTCCCCACCCTGAATTAATGAAATATGAATGTTCTCCTAGGAGTAAGAACTGAACAAAAATAAGTGTGCCAGCTTATAGTAATGCAATGAATTTTTATTTCATTTCACATTTTACTCTCGATGTTAAAGATAAGGAAAACCCTTACAAAGTTACTGGAAAATACCTACTCTCTGATATTGTCTAATGAGAAGTAGAATACCACTCCATACTTGAAAAGATTATTGAACTTGTGTAGGCCGAATCATTTTCTTAAAAAACATGAACACTAGGATAACTAAACAAGAGGCCCATGGGCCTTAACAGTCACCTGAGTCTACAGTATTTTTTTTTTTTGTTGAAATATGTACCAATTTGAGTAAAAAATAGTATAATGTTAACTTAACTTTGTCAGGACCATGAGCTGATCATTCCTAGACCAATTTTAAGTGAGATCGGCCTATTAGAATTTAGTAGCAAAATAGCGGCCATGGCAGCCAAATTGTATTTCTGATTGACCCGAAAAATAACAACACTTTGTCAGGACCATGAGCTGATCATTCCTACAAAGTTTCAGTTCAATCGGCCTAGCAGAACTTGACTTTAAGTTTGAAATAGTTTTTCAAAATGGCGGCCGTGGCGGCCATATTGGATTTCTGAACGACCCGAAAAATAACAACACTTTGTCAGGACCATGAGTCTATCATTCCTACAAACTTTAAGTTCAATCGGTCCAGCAGAACTTGACTTTAAGTTTGAAATAGGTTTTCAAAATGGCGGCCGTGGCGGCCATATTGGATTTCTGATTGACCTAAAAAATAACAACACTTTGTCAGGACCATGAGCTGATCATTCCTACAAAGTTTCAGTTCAATCGGCCTAGCAGAACTTGACTTTAAGTTTGAAATAGGTTTTCAAAATGGCGGCCGTGGCGGCCATATTGGATTTCTGATCGACCCGAAAAATAACAACACTTTGTCAGGACCATGAGGCGATCATTCCTACCAACTTTCAGTTCAATCGGCCCAGCAGAACTTGACTTTAAGTTTGAAATGTAAAATGTTAACGGACGACGGACGACGGACGACGACGGACGAAAACGGATAGCAATAGGTCACTTGAGCTAAAGCTCAGGTGACCTAAAAAGGCATTTTTGTTTTTGAGAACAAATGTTATTTCAGTGCTCTTTAGAACTGTCATTTTTCACACCAAACTGAGGTAGTGGGGATGAATTAAACCTTGTTACTGTAAAAGGTTCGTGTTTTGGGGGGGTAAAATTGCTAGAAAGTGCAGATACAAAGACAGCCTTTTTCATTAAGAACTCTCCCCACTAAAGCAATCCCTGGTTTACTGGATAACTGAAAATAATTACATGTATATATTCCGCAAGGCATTTAGTGATGCGTTAATTCGCAAGGGGAAATTATTGCAAAATTTAAATATTTATTTACTCCAAATTAAAAATGAAACATAAAGCAATATTTCTTTTTTCGCAAGGCATGAAGTAATGCGTTTATTCACAAGGGGAAATGAACACAATTCCGATATTTATTTAGTCACAAATACAAGAATTCCACGGAAGTGGATGTGTTGCCTGCGCAGGAAGCTGGGAGATTACGAAGAAATAGATACACTTTTCATTTCAAGAAATAATGTTAAAAGTAAGCAATAATCATAGATTATGTTTTTGGATGGCATCATTTTGTTATATAATCTGTTATTCTGGGAAGAATACTCTTGAGTTTTAAGGAACTTGCTATGGATACTCATTGTCTCAATTCCAAGTTTAATTTGTATGATTTGTCGGATGGTTTCCCATAAATAAATGAATAAACTTGTGGATTATGATGTTAAACAGTTAGTGTTGTCAATAACATTTGGAGTAAGACGGCATTTCAGAGGTATACACGGTGGGTCAAGTGGTAGATCGAAGCCGTCCAGTATACAGTTTTAGTGAAGTTTCTATTTATAGTAACAGTGACCTTGACCTTTGACCTTCGGACCTGAAAAGCAATCCCAAGCAAGCACTTTTGGTAAGGAAGCACTGCGTAAAGTTTGAGTTTGATCGGCCCAAGGAAACTCAAGTTATCGCACGACACCTCTGTTCGGACGATGCCGCCGACAAAGCAATACCTATGTGTCACCAGCTTTTCGCAGGCGACACAAAAAATGAAATATAAAGCAGTCATTATTCTTTTTGCAAATTCAATTCCCAAGTAATATGACATCATAAACGGTTACATTTTCAATATAATTCAATTAGTTATACATGATATTTATTAAGCAAGAGGTTGAATGGACAGTCTATATATATATATATATACAATTTTAGGACATGTACAGTACATATCAAAGGAGAAATATTGAAAAAGGTAGCAATTTGATACAAGTTTAATCAAATATATGAATGTACATAACAATATCCAGTATTCTTGCATCAAATACATACTTGTGAATAATTTGAATCATATATATATGTATAATATGTTTCATAAAATGTCATGCATATTATGCGTTTAGGCCGTTTGACAGAAGACTGAAATGATAAATATAGCAACAAAGAAACAGCTGATAACTGTGCAAGCAGGTAGTCTGTGGAATTTCTTTTACTGAAAAATATACCTGGAAAGAAATTGTACGGATTAATGAAGCAATAATTGCAACACTACTGTTATTATAGGGTCACAACACTATACATGGAAAGCAAAAATAATCTTAAACGTCTCCTTGTTTGAACATTTTGACTCATGACAAAAAAATATGGCAGTAGGGCGACTAGTTTAAAGTTAAAGGAATAAAGACAGGACATTTTTAAAGTAGAAAATAAAGTAAACGTTAAACCATATCCAACTCAGCAAATATATAGCAGATAAATCCATCAACGAAAACCTAAAAACAGTGTTATGTTAAAATCACATTCAAAATTTACATTCGGACTTCAAAATTTTATATGTACCACATATTTTGTGAAGTTTAAGATTAAAGAATATGATCTACACAGAAAATCTGTGACTACTCTTGTACAAAAAAAAGTAGACACTTTTAAAAAATCTTAGATAACCTAAATAGTACTGGTCAATATCGATATCTCAGGTTCGTACAACCACATATTCACCTAAACTTAAGTCCATTCTTGATAATAATCATAGCCTCATACTATATGCTATTGTCGATATAACTAACACCTATTTCTCCTACTATCAAATGGACGTTCATCAGCTGTTTACTTATATTATGATATTACAATAGCTATTTTGACAGCTATGTGGATTTTAACTAATTAACTTGTTAACTAACAGAACATATACTTTAAACATTTTTATATTGGTACTCTTGATAGGTACTGAGGGTCATGTAATCTGTCAGGTTTGCAACCGAGCATGGTATAACCACACAACACGGACTGATGGACCGACTCATCTCATACATTACTGTACTTAATCAACACACTCAAATTTCTGTGCATGCGAATAATTTTCAATTCACATATGACATGATTTTATGCTATAGTTTTTCATAACTTAATGGGTAAAAAATGAACAGTGATCAACTTTCGCACTTTAGAATTAGCGTGGAAAGTGTGTAAACGTTACACCAGGGCAGTGTGGTGCCGTCTCCAAAACGAACAGTCTGTTGCTCCTTTCCAGCTTGCAGTAATACAACTGCACATTTTCTGAAGAAGTCTGACCAAGTTACTTGAAGCATGGTGGTTTAATGATATATTGACACAATTATTCCACTTACTATATTTTCAAAAATATTTTAAGCTTATCGCCGAAACTGCATGTACACAAAAAACTCTTTAAAATGATCTACTAAACAACATGAAATATATTTAATACATGTACTTAGTTTGTTTCTATTTCAATTCTTAATTTTGTTAATGACAACACATTTTAGGTAATCGGGCTTGAACAAAAATCTAGTCCAGAATTTAACTGTTTCAAGATTCTTTGATAGCGAAGTTTGTTTTTTGTTGATGTTCTTGAAAATAATACATCTCTTATGTATTGGAATTAAAAATGATCACTCTCAGACTACAAGAACACTCGTACCCGGTCTTTAAACTTTTGCAAAAACTTCTGAAATATCCAGTTTGAATTATGAGTTCACAGGTCGCTAATACATGGATAAAGCTTGATTCTTTACAGTAATACTGGAAATGTATAAACATCAACATCAAATAATTAACCAAGTAACCAAATCTTATTTCATCGAAAACATACCAAAATTACCCATCAAATTATCAGTTAGGCAATTAAGCAGCATAAACATTTTACCTTATTAATGATAAAGTGTGTATAAGATAACGAACAATCAATGATAGTTGTTTCTGAAGAATAGACATATTAACCATCAAATAGATCGTCTGGATTGATCTAGATGAGTCCATTATGGTCGACAGTGTGAAAGGGTTAATTTAACTCATTGACCCCTGAAATTTTGTAATGAACTATTCCAACCATTGAATTGGAAGAGTTCAAATGTGTCTACAGGGGTGAATGAGTTGTGAAGCGTTACTAGACAACCCAACATTGTACCAAAGAAATCACATATTAAAGATTAACATTTTCTGTCTCAAACTTAAGACTTGAACACCAAGAAAAATGTATAATTCACAAATATAACTGTAAATGACTAACTATTTCAAATCCTGTAAAACAACAAAGTTATCACAATTAACACACCATTGAACCTCAGTAGTCTAGAGATTGTGGTTTCCAAATAGAAGTTCTGGATGAATAATCTCGCATTATTCTCAAAGACATTTGGGATAGAAACCTATTCTGATTGGTTAAGAGTCAGAAACATCCTATTCTGATTGGTTAGTCATAAAACACCCTACTGTGATTGGTCAGTAGAGCCAGAAATCTCCTTAATATGATTGGTAAGAGTAAAGAAACACCCTCTAAGGATTGTGTTTGATTAAGGTAAGTAATGAGACCTCTAATTATGACTGGTTAGAGTAAAATTATTGAGCATGAAACCTAGAGTGACTGGATAAAGCCATGAAACCCCTTACTATGATTGGTCACAGCCATGAAACCCCTTACTATGATTGGTCGCAGCCATGAAACCCCCTTACTTTGATTGGTCACAGCCATGAAACCCCTTACTATGATTGGTCACAGCCATGAAACCCCCTTACTATGATTGGTCACAGCCATGAAACCCCCTTACTATGATTGGTCACAGCCATGAAACCCCTGTTATGATTGGTTAGAGTCATGAAACTTCCTATTGTGATTGGTCACAGCCATGAAACCTTACTCTAATGGGTGAGAGTCAAGATTGATAAGAATAAATCCCACTTTTCTGATGACTGGACTCTAACCAATCAGACTTCGTCTAGACTACTGAGGTTCCAACCGTGTTCTTTCATAATTCACCATTAACCAAAAAATCACATGCAATTGTGAAGTTAGCAATAACTTCTCTCCCTGTGTACAACAGTGCGACATTGCTATAAGCAACGCTTGTATTACCGCTCCACATTACTGAGCAATTTGTAGCTTATATATACTCAGGTAACAAAATAATCTCATGTTGATCAATAAATAATAAACTCAATTTTATGATAACTAGCTTGTTCATGAACATCAGTTGTATCAAGATTACACTCACTGGTAAAATTTGAACCTTATTTCCAGAGAAAAAGCAAAAAGCATATATTTCCTTTAAAAAAGACATCATTACACAAAAAACCCAGGACAGGAGTCATAATTTTGCAAATAGCTAAGATTTTTTTGCTTTTGTAAATGTGTCTTATAAATACAAATAATTACCGGGTAATCTTGATACAAAGAACAGCTTGTGCTAAATTAAAAATGTAATCCCTGCATGATCACAGTGGTGGTGAAATGTTAATTGATCCCATAGCATCAATTCAAGTATATTTATATAGTTTCTCCAAGTACAGATCTGTATGACACCATCCAACACAGCAAGTACATCTGTAGTTCACTAACTACCTTGTAGGCCATCTCTAAAAGGTGATTACATAAAGGCAACCTGGTCACAAGAGAAAATGTTTTTAATTTCAAGGTGTTTTTCAAAACACCACCTAGAATGAAGCACAGGTGACCTCTGTACACAGATGACCTCTGCACATAGGTGACCTCTACACACAGGTGACCTCTGCATAAAAGTAACCTCTACACAAAGTTGACATCTGTACACAAATGACCTCTAAACACAGAGAACATCTCTACACAAATGACCTCTACACACAGGCGACATCTGTACACAAATGACCTCGACACATATGTGACCTCTGCACTAAAGTTACCTCTACACACAAGTGACCTCTGCACATAGGTGACCTCTACACACAGGTGACCTTTACACATAGGTTAGCTGTACACACAGGTGACCTCTGCAAACAAGTGACCTCTAATCCTCTACACACAGATGACCTCTATGCAGTGTCTGCTGGCTACAAAGGTGGAGTTGTACTAGATCTGACAGTATCACAACCTAACAGCTAGAAAATTAAGGTGCTTAATACCTTCATTACAACCCGACAGTAATGCTGTGTCTTTTTAGCAGCTGAAGATGAAGATGGTAAATTCACCACAACCTAACAGCAGAAATTCACAGTCTCTTTCAGGGGTTACGATAAAAGGACATGTCATAATCACAAGACTGCAGTAATGTGGTGTCTCTCCAGCAGCTAAAGATGAAGATTGTGACTTTACCACAATCCTACAGCAACCTAGTGTCTCTTTAGGAGCTGAAGATGAAAAGAGTATCTTCATCAGTTCCGTTACTTTTCCGTGCTTTGTCAAATCTGTCCATTCTGCTACAGCACACATCTGTAAGGGAGAACAAAGTTTAAAACATCTATTGATTTATCTGGAGGCACCATCATTCTGTTATAATCAATAAGATCACAGTTACAGTTATGGTTAATTCATACATTTGTGAAAAGGTTTGTGATTAACATTCTCTTATTACAATATAGGCAGCTAGTAAAAGCCTATCGAAGATTACTATTGCAGGAAGATAAAACAAAATCAAAATCATACTGGACAGTACTTTTAACATAGAAGACTGATTGTAATGCTATGTGAGGTGGTAGTCTGATTCAGTGGACACTTTGTATATTGGACTACATGGCAGGAGGCCCGTATAATGGAATTCCGCACTTTTATTTTTAAAACATTTGATACTTGAAAGTAGATCAATGTCATTCATTTTAACAAAATTGATAGCCCTCATTTCCAGCAAGCTTCATTAGTTCAGGCCAAGTTAGTCTCTTACAAGTGACTGTGAAAGTGGGTCAATGTCTTACCTTTTAATAAAGTTGATAGCCCTCTCTCTTAGCAACCTACGAGACAATTTTCATGACTCTGTGTCTCAAGGTTCTTCCACAAATTTTTTCCCTACTTCAAAGGATATTTGTTCAACATAACTAGGACAAGTGATGCACGGCGAACAAAGGCCCATAACTCTATATACATTCAGACTTGAGATCTGGGGCCTGTTCGTTTGTGCGGAACAACCGGTATGTCTGTTTTGAAATTTTACATTTTCGGGTATAAATCCTGGTGGACCTGCAAATGTGTATGCAGGCCTTGAAATGCTTCGTCAAGGCTCGCCTGAAAGCAGGATCAGATAACTAGGTCTGACCTTATTTCATAAGCGAACAACTCTGGTGCAACTGGTCCAACCATATGGATCCGGATAAACGATAGCAGCCCTGATTTCTTTTTTAAAACTCTTCTATCCCATGGCCATGATGCATAAATATCAGATATGCCCCAGATGAAGCAAACACACAGACAGACTAACTTATGTACGGAGTGCAAATCTATAGTCTCCTTTGGTATTACCAAATGGGGTCTAACAATTACAGGACACCCTACCAGTATTGACATGTTTACTTATGAATAGATGTTTACTATCATAGTTTAAATGTATGACAAATCAATGTAGTACTCACCTTCATCATAGGAAGGGTTTTTATAGAACACACGTTTTTTTCTTCTATCAAAACCGCACACAACCACGAAATGTCCTGCAAAGTACAAAACACTTTTCATATAAATTGCATATAGATTATTATATGATTATTAAAAGGTGAAAATTTTGATATTTTTGAAAAGTTACAACACTTCTATTCATTTTTTTTCAAAGTCATCTTAATCAGAAGAAGAAAAATTTGTAATTTTAACTGACATCATATTAAACTGGACTGATATTTTGTCACAAATGCAAGATAAAGTATTTAAAACTTGTATATTTACATTTTTATACAAAAGGCACACAGCAGAATTGGTACTGACACAACTTTTAACTCATTCACCCCTAAATACTCATTTGAACTCTTCCAATTCAAAAGTTGGAATAGTTCAGTATGAAATTTCAGGGGTGAATGAGTTCAGCTGAACAAGCTTTAAGCAACCAGGTCCTGGTGGGATCTTGTAAACCATAAAAAAATATGATGACATGAAAGTGTGATGGAAGGATAGAAGGATGGACGGACAGACAAAGCAGTGATGATAGTACGTATGGTCCCTTGAAACTTTTCGAGCAATATGGAAATTTACCTTGGTATGTTCCACAGCACCGTTTGAAGCAGGAGAAACAATGTCGCCTCTAAAAGTAAAGTATTGAAACTTGTGTTTTAAATAGCCAGTAAATACTGAGGATTTGTAAAGAGTTAATTTAACATTTAAATGAAACAAAATGCCAAGCGTCCGTAACAGTTCACCTGGTCTTTATTTTTTTTTATCTTAAAGATGATGAATATGATACATGACTATCAAAAGAATACAGAAATATAAGTTGATAACAGCAACAAATTTGCAATCAGTCTGCATACATGTACACCCCTCTATTTTCACCTTTTCCTCATCCTTTTCTATATGTTTAGTCCCATTAACCAAACAATGGTCTAAATCAAATTAGGTCAAATTTCATTATCTTTATCTATCAAACAAATTTATTCCTTAAATTTTACCCTATGTGATCTCACCCTTCTGCAACAAGGGAAGTCATACCCTTAGCTCAAGGATACTTAAGGCAAAACTAGGTTTACATCCATTTAACCATGATAAAGAAAGTAAGATTTTAAAGATTTACATTACACCCATTATAAGGCCTTGTCTCTGCTCTCAGATGGCCCACACCAACAGTTTATATAGCACAAAGCACCTTGGACTGAATATGCTCAAAACCAAATTAGCTAAAAATGTATTTTAGAAGTTAATGTATATTTGAAATATTTCCCATTATATGGGCCCCATTCTCTCTGCCCCAGAGGCGCGTGTGCCCACAATCAATTTATATAATATTAAGTCCGCTTGGACCAAGGATGCTCAAAATCAAAATAGCTTTCCCCATACTGTAAGAAGAGGATTTTAAAGATTTACTTATATTTCCCTGAACCATCTGCCCCACAGGGGTCATACGCTTTGTGCCTGTACTTACTTTGTCACACCAGATACATTCGAGGAAGTTCCAGTCCACAAGACATATGAGCAGGTTCTCCTTGGCTAAATGGTTCACAATGTCCGACATAGGCACTGAACTGTATACAAATCACACCAGGATCAGTGTTACAATAAATCAATAAATATCACTGTTTCCGTATAGCAAGTTATTTACCCGTTTTCGTTATTTTAACTCAAAATAGGAAAAATCATATATCACAGATTATATTTTCATGGTCTAGACATGTGAGGGAACAAAATGTTGGCACAGACATAGTTGCCAACTTTTTAAAATTTCTAGGGGGAGATTACATGTGCTCAGAATTAAAAACATAAATAAAATGTGTTCATGTACACTCTAGGGAAAAAACACACTTTTAAATGGCATTGTTTGTGTTGTTCTTTTAGGTGAAATCATCAGATCTTAGAAATCAGAATAGTTTATTATATTCACGGGTAGAAAATGCTCACTTTTAGGGTCCAAAAACGGGAATCTCCTTAATAGGTAGGGTTGGCAAGTATGCACAGAGACGGGACATACGGCATATAAAGTGTCAAACAGTCAAAGGAATACGCTCCATTACAACATATCGCGCAACAACAAGTTAGTGTATTTTGTTGAACAAATCTTAAACAAATCTATAAGGTGCGTGATACAATCTATTTTCAACAAGAGGCCCATGGGCCTAAACGGTCACCTGAGTCCTACAGTATTTATTTTTATGTTGAAATATGTACCAATTTGAGTTCAAAATAGTTAAGTATAACTTTAACTTAAGTTTGTCAGGACCATGAGCTGATCATTCCTAGACTGAGTTTCAGTTAAATCGGCCTATTAGAACTTGTTTTTAAGTTTGAAATACTTTTTTCAAAAGGGCGGCCGTGGCGGCCATATTGAATTTCTGATCGACCCGAAAAATAACAAAACTTTGTCAGGACCATGAGTCGCTCATTCCTACAAAGTTTCTGTTCAATCTGCCCAGTTGAACTTGACTTTAAGTTTGAATAATTTATTCAAAATGGCGACTGTGCCGCCCATATTGGATTTCTGATCGACCCAAAAATAACAACACTTTGTCAGGACCATGAGTCGATCATTCCTACAAAGTTTCTGTTCAATCGGCCCAGTTGAACTTGACTTTAAGTTTGAATAATTTTTTCAAAATGGCGACTGTGCCGGCCATATTGGATTTCTGATCGACCTGAAAAATAACAACACTTTGTCAGGACCCTGAGACGATCATTCCTACAAAGTTTCAGTTCAATTGACCCAGTAGAACTTGACTTTAAGTTTGAAATAGTTTTTCGAAATGGCGGCCGTGGCGGCCATATTGGATTTCTGATCGACCCGAAAAATAACAACACTTGGTCAGGGAGATGACAGTAACCTTCCCATGAAATATTAATGAAATCCCTTTGCCAGTATTTCAGCTTAAGTTGAAAATGTAAAATGTTAACGGACGACGGACGATGAACGACGACGGATGAAGACGGATAGCAATAGGTCACATGAGCTAAAGCTCAGGTGACCTAAAAATCTTGTATTACTCTCGATGTATATACCTCTTTTTTGGGTAAGTCATATACACATACTCGCTATTTCCTGACGACATTATAGTTATGATGTTTATTTTCAAGGCTCATTTTTAAGCTTGTCATATTATTATACGTATCATATTTTTGTGATCACGTTATTGACCCGCGAAATCGCTGAAATATCATACTCATTTTTGTTTGTTTGTTACATTATTATTTCCTTAAACATTTTCTAAAAATATTCCTATGTGTCTTCTTTTTTAAATTTACAAATACTTGTCTTTCAATTCAATGTAAGACAACACTGTTCGAGGGTCATGCCAAACTATCGAGAATCGAAACCTACAAAACAAATGTCAATACATATGACTCACTAATTTTGATACACATTTTTAACCTGATGCAATCCTGCTGATGGAAAATATTTCAAGACTTTATTTTTCAAAATCAACAGACTGAGTAACTAGACAATAGGTTATTTTAACAATTTTGTACTAACCATTTCTCCACCTCAATATTCTTAGAGGCAGCCTCAGAAAACATCTTGCCGACCCTGTTCTCATCCTGACTAAAGTGAGACCTGTAAAATGGCTACAAGACACACAAGTTTAAATAATATTTTTTTATGGAACTTTTGTTTGTAATTTAGGCTCATTACATATATCTTAAATAATAATAATTATATACAACATTTGTATAGCCCCCTAAATAATTTGAAAATTACTCAAAAATGTGCTTTTATAGCACACAAATAATAGTATTCCTACAGTGACAGTTAAAAAATATACATGTAGTAGATAAAAAGGCATACAAATCATCATTTTACATCAGGTAATAAGACATTTATCGCCATATAAAAAGGTGGGTCTTTATAACCCTATTTAATTTAGCCAGAGTTTTTAATTTCCTGGTAGCAGATGGTAAGCTCAACAACATGGCAGAAACCCTTCCAATGCACTCAGCCACTGGTTTCCCTAGGTCACAATACATGATATTGGGACACACAACAAGAATTGGGTCTCCGACCACAGTGATCGTGACAGCTGATACAGGGTAACAAGCACCTGTAAATACTTGGGAGCTGTTCCATTCAGTGAACATTGCAAGAATAGCCTGCTGATTATGCATTTTACCAGTAATTTAAAACTTAAGGCATACCTTTTTGGCATATTCTTGGTCCACTCCCAGGGTCACTGTGGTCAGCTTTACTTTTAGGTCATGCTTCTCAAGCAGGTACGCCAAATCTATGGTCCAAATACTGTATCAGAAAACACTTCATTATTAATCTGAATCCTCTTGTGAAAACTGTATATATCATCTACACAGATATCAATTACAGTAAAACCTTGTTATACTGCCACCATTTATTTGTCTAGAGAAATTCTTAAGAAACAGAAAGAGAAAAAAAAAGACTTTTTAATATGTTGGTGATCATCCTCAATACTCCAGGGGTTACGTTCACTTACGCTTACTTATACTCTCTGCACCCCTGGAATATGCCATAGCAAAATTGAAGGCGCATGGTTATTTTATTGGTCTCAGGTGAAAAACAAGAGGCCCAGAGGGCCTGTATTGGTCACCTGAATATTTAAGCAGTCATAGCAAAATTCTCATTAATGTTAAGTGTGGTTTCAAGACATCTAGTTTTGTAAATGTAATGTTTAATGATGATGTTAATTTCATTATCAATTTTACTAAACTCATTTCTAATTGACCAGAATCCAATTCTCATTCTCGTTAACTAGTATACTGTTCTACAAATCTTTCGCTCGCAAACTTTGTCGGCTCCATCCGTTGAAGCTACCAGCCAAATATTATTATATGATTCTATGCTTTTTGGTTCTTCTTCAGAAGTTGTTTGAAGTGTTTGACATATTTGTCCCTGTGACTTTGTAAGAAGGTCAAGGTCATTTTTCTTCTCAAACTTTGTTGGCTCCATCCCAAGAAGCTACCAGCCAATGCATCCATTCCTTTTGGTTCTTCAGAACAAATGGTTTGAACGTTTTGTTGACCTCATCGACCTTTAAAGTGGGTTGAGGTCATTTTTACCTTCAAACTTTGGTGAGCTCTATCCCACGAAGCCACCAGCCAAATAATATGATTATATGCCTTTTGATTAAGAATATTCAGAAGAAGTTGTTTAAAGTGTTTGACATATTTGACGCCAGTGACCTTGAAAGTAAATCAAGTTTATTTCAATTCTCAAACTTTGTCGGGATCTAACCTAGGAAGTTACCAGCCAAATATGAAGAATCTGTACCTTTCAGTTCTTCAGAAGAAGTTGTTTGAAGTGTTTGACACATTTGACCTCTGTGACCTGGAAAGTAGGTCAAGGTCATTTCGTTCTCAATCTTTGTCGAGCTCCTACCAAGAAGGCTTTCAGACAAATATTATGACTCTAGGCCTGTCCATTTTTCAGAAGAAGGAAAAGTTGATGGGAGACGGACGGATGATGGATGACTGATGGACGACAGACACCGCTCCATGACACAAGTTTACTTGCCCTTGGGACAGGTGAGCTTAAAAGTAACAGTGTCGCCCTTGACCTTCAGCTTTCTAACCCTTAAATATGGACTCACTCACACCATTTTTATACTTGACCTTTATATTAAGTTTGATATACATCTGTTATGAATAAAGTTGCTGGAGTGTGACCAAGGGGACAGGATAAAGGTATGGGTAACACTATATATCCCTCCATACAATGGCAGGGGCATAACAACTTTTATCTGGCTACAACTAGTGTTGTGGAAATATTACAGCCTGCTTATCTACTCCATACATTGTTGGGTATTACGGTCTGGCCTATGGCTGCTAATGTAAAGCTGATTGAAGATGACAAGAATAGGGAGAGGAAGGAAACTAGATAATAATTTTACTAGAACACAGGACCAACACAGGATAATGTTCTTATGTTGTGTTTCTGAACCGTATATATAACATCACAATCTCTATATGTATTTATACATATTTACACACCAGGAAAAAAATCTTCCTGTAAATTTTCAGCAAATATTTCCTGTTCTCCACCCAAGTCAAAACAAATTTATATCACAACTGAGCATTTTCAAACTGAACAGGCCAACATGTAACCTATAGAGTGTATTATCATCGTTTGAAACCGACAAGTACAGGCCGACTACGAGTATTAATGAAATCCCTGCATCTCTTAGAAATAGGTCTAAAATTTGGTTGTAATAGTCTAATACCATTTCCAAAGAAAGATAACGTTAATTACTTCACAAATATTGGTTATATGGTTATACCACTATGGTTCTTGCTATCAAAAGTGATTTGTTTTCAAGGCCTGGTTATTTAACTAGCCTTTCATTAGGTGACAATGTAAGGTCAAATCAAGGTCAACTTGTATTCAAGGTCATTGTCAAGATCAGAATTGATCCTGTGACAACAAACTGAGAAACATAACCTAGACTCAGAGGGCAAGATTGCAGCCAGACTGCACTAAAAAAGTCGGCAAGGGGTTTGATAATTATCGGAGTCTCATCAATGGCTCAAACATGTTCTACAATCGTTTGATCAGCTCTGCAGCTTTGGAAAACAGAACAGACCTACTGTATCCCAGGTGCTACTGTAAGGGAACAGACCTACTGTATCCCAGGTGTTACTGTAAGGGAACAGACCTCCTGTATCCCAGGTGTTACTCTAAGGGAACAGACCTCCTGTATCCCAGGTGTTCCTGTAAGGGAACAGACCTACTGTATCCCAGGTGTTACTGTAAGGGACCACTTTTAAGTGTGGAAACCACTTCAGAATGTGGGGTTGTCTTCCATGTCCATCTGGACAAGACTCAATTTTATCTGTTGCCTCCACTGGCGATATCTCACTAGAAATAGGCTGTTGTGAGGACATAACCAGTACTATACCTAAACTTACCATAGCATCTGTAAGGAAGGCATTTATAAGTTAACCCCATGTTAAACATTGAGTTTAAACTTATTACAGAAACGGATTTGACTGCACATCTGATTTTCAATAATATTACATTAATAATCACGATCTCAAATAATAAATGCTCTGATACATGAAATTTTCAGGCTTGTAATCACAGGGACTAGATATCTGTTGCTCCTGTCTAGGGGACGTCAGGTGTGGTGATCGATTAGCAGGATATTTGATTTGGCAATTGGCTATTACATATTACATGCAGCAAGATGCTGCCAATTTCATGCACACATTTTGCTGGAAAGTAAACACAAGAGGCCCAGAGAGCCTGAATCACTCACCTGGATATGTTTAAAGTACTTGATATGAGGTAAATATATAGCACTCCATGGTAGGTACTGTATATACATATGAAATTTCAGAAAGATTCATCCAGTTTTTCTGGAGATATTGCAAAAACAAACTTCAAATGTCAAAATCCAAAATGGTGACCTGGTGGCCATCTTGTTTTAATGAATACACTCTAATAGCAACAGGCACTACTAGACAACTTGATGGAGACAAAATTGGGATAAAATCCCATATTCCCTATGGTAGAAGAAGGATCTCAAACTTGTTACCTCTATTTCCCCTATTGGACCCCATCCCTCTGCCCTGGGGACCACACCCACTGTTTTATACAAAATTGAGTACCATTGGCCCAAGGATCCTTCAGACCAAATTGGAATGAAATCCCTTAATCCTTATGGTAGAAGGACTTTATTGCTTTGCCTCTATTTCCCATATTCAGACCCACCCCTCTGCCCCCAGGGGGGCCACAAACACTATTTATACAAAATTGAGTCCCCTTGGACCAAGAATGCTCCAGACTAAATAAGGATAAAATCCCTTCATCCCTATGGTAGAAGAAAGATTTTAAAGGTTAACCTCTATTTCCCCTACTAGGCCCCGCTACTCTGCCCCCTGTAAATAAAATGATACACATCCGACATCAAAAGTAAGATTATTAAAAGATCTTGCTACAAGCTCAAAGACATTTTGACATTTTCTGGGTTCACAAAGATTTAAATCTAAAACTCAAAGTGCTAAATCATAACATCAGTATATAATAGTACAGATACGTATACACTAACCTTTCTCCACAATTCAGCTCCTCAAAGTCCGATGTATACACATTGTGATCATCCTTTTTCAAATATCTGAAAAATATGGTGGTATTTTATTTGGAGAAAGCAAAAAAAAACACCAGTGTAAAATACAGATCGAAAGTTCATGTAATAGCTAGGATTAAAACAATTTTTCATTTGTCACATATAAAATTCATTCTGGATCACCTGAAAACAGACACCTTAAGGTAGAGAGTCCTATTACCGTACTCTCAAAAAAAAAAAAAAAAAAAAAAAAAAAAAAAGCAGAAAAGTGTGAACACAACAAATGTCATGGCCGACACATTAACAGCAGTGAGTAAGCTCCCTGCTTTATAAGCATGCTGTCTGGTGATCAAATCCCCATGGTGGAGCCAAGATGTATGTTTTTGAAAAAGAAAAAAGGAAATTAAATATATTTTTGGGTTGGTCTTGGCTGCAGTAAATGGGCCCGCAATTCAAAGTCAGAACAGGCGAAACAATTTTTACTCTTATTATTTGGAGATACAATTCTGAGCACTTGAACTATCTACCTTAACACACTTACTTTAACTTATTCATCCTTGAGGACACATTTGAACTCCTCCAGTTTAAAGGTTGGAATAGTTCATTATGAAATTTCAGAGGTGAATGAGTTAAAGTTGACAGGTGGCAAAATATACATACAAATGTAAGGGTCCAGGTGTTTGACGCACTGTAAGCTTTAAATTTTTGACTTGCATTTTCCATATCATATATCTTTATAATTACTAGTGAATTATAGTGAAAATGTGTCAGGAATTAATGTGATCATCAACATGTGAGGAGCACAATCTCTGATGGTCAAAAACATGCATTTTGATAATTTAAGTTAAAACACTGTGGTTTGTTAAGTTAACCATGCTTTGAACCATTCAGCCCAGCTGTTATTTTTATGGTATAAATAGCAACCAAAACCAAATTCATAGATAACACAGTTGCCTTCCATTACATATAGTTGTTTATGTTCAAGTGATATGTAACAGATGGCTGATGCTTCATACATTTTTACTGATATCAAAATACTTTACCCCTATAGTGGAGTATATACTATATGGGCAGAATCAACACTATTAAATTAAGTGGTACTTAACTCATTCACCCTTTAAATTTCATAATGAACCATTCCATCCTTTGAATTGGAAGAGTTCAAATGTGTCTTCAGGGGTGAATGCGTTAAATTAATCTCTTTAAACTTTGCCCTATTAAGTTGTTAGAGCACTTCTATCTATACAGCATCCTTGTTACAATGCATCTCCAGCACACACGCAGGCATACAGCGACACATAGGGAGATATTAGCCAGGTGGCATAGGACTAGTAATTAGCGCCTGATAAGGCAGCTCCTGCATATATGTATTGATTGTGTTAGATGTATCTTTATGTACTGTAAATTAAAGCACTTTAGAGTGGCCTAGTCTAGCTATCAAGGATGCTATATCAAATATTGTATATTCATAATATATTTATTCCCATTTTCTTTTCTTTTTTTTTCATCATGTTTTTCTTTTTACAGTTAAAAAAAATATAAATATATATAATCCTTTCGGTATTGAAATTTGCTGTTATTATAAAGAAAATCTTTGTTGATATTTGCAGAAACTAATACATGGACTCATCAGGAACCCCCCCCCCACACACACAAAGCACATATATCATAAATGACCAAATTATGTATAATTTGTTTAAAAGTAGTAAAATTGTTGAAGTTGGTCAGTACCATTTAGAAGTAGAAGTGAAGTGATATAGCTGTTAATTTGCAGAGAAATTTTAATGGGGTGAAAATTAGTGAATTACTGCTGCAAACAATATTGTAGATATACAGCAGCTTTTTGGGTTATGTTTTAATAAAATATTCTGGAAGTAAAATGATTAGATGTGAATGATATACAAATGAAAACTAGAGAGAAAGTGTCAGTAAGGTTCGAAATTACATCTGCATTTACCCTAAGGAATGATCACATGCCATTTTCTATGAACGTCTATTTTCAGTAACAATGACCTTGACCTTGAAGCAACAACGATCATACTCAAACTTGTAAGAAGGCTGAAGGCAAATACGTCTGTGAAGTTTTATGAAAAGCTGTCATTTAAATTCTAATTTTAGTAACAGTGACCTTGATCTAAGACCAACAACAATGAAATTCAAACATATAAGTTTATTTAGTAAAGAAAAATACTTCATCTTTCTAATGATGCTACATGAGTTCATGTACCGGTAAGCATTTTTTTGTACACTAACAAGAAAAAGAAATTTCGTTTCAGTCACCTGGACTGAGAATTTTGTACATTGTCCACAAAAATAGATTTTGTTTCAGTTAACTGTGACCTACAGTGTAGTTATGGTGAGAAACAAACCTTAACCCCATAAATACAATAGAAGATAAAGTTTTGTGAACCAGTTGTGTGAAAATTGTTAAGATGCTATGGCCTGGAAACATATTTCCTTTGTTGTTCAGTGGAGCAGGGAATATTTGTTACCAGGTAACCTTGTTTTTGAGCAACATTCCTTCGCTCCAAGATGCAACAATACATGAAGTATACATATTGTCAACTTGAAAAAGAAAAATCTGAAAACATCATAGACAGAACTTGCACACATCCATGCATCCATCCATGCAAAGACAACATGTACCCTTAAGTCTCCCCTATTTAAGTGGGCTATAACAAATACACAAACCTGAGCACCATACAGCAACAGGCCAGTCCACAGTCCCAGGAATAAGACTGCATGTGTGTTGGCACTTTAAGCTGGACCTGTCTCTGGCTGTCTGCATCCCTCTCCTTGGTCTTAATCCCTACCTCTGAAACAGTAAATACATCATGTAACTTGGCAGTGTTCACTGCTTTACTTTCTATGCTAATGGTATTATTAATTTATGCTTTCTATATGGTAGTATGAAACATGCAACTTTCTTCGTCTATTCATTGCTCACTCCATCCTCGATACTCCAGAGGTTACGCTCACTTACACTCTCTGCACCCCTGAAATATGTCATACCCCGGTAGCTAAATTGAATGGACGCGACTAGCTATTTGAATGGTCTCAGGTAAAAAAGAAACTTACCAATTGCTAGGCTGGTTCCAACGGTCTTTTGAAGATTACAGAGGAACAACACCAGACTTCAAAGCCAGTCAATTTTACCATTAACACCTGACTTCAAAGCCAGTCAATTTTACAGTTACGTGGCTGAAAGATTCTTTTGATGAGGATCAAACTGCCGTGCACACAGAGCCTTCGATTTCATCATGACATATTCCAGGGGTGCAGAGAGTGTAAGTGAATATAACCCCTGGAGTATCGAGGATGTACGAACTCTTGACAATTTAAAATGAAAGAGCTGCATTATTTTCTAAAGGAAAATAATAGTATAGAATACATTATGGTCTAGTAAAGATATCATGTCAGAATAAAGTATCACATACATCCTTAAATGTGAAGACTGGAAAGGTGACTTAGAAGTATGTGAATAAAGATGAACCCTTTTACCCCTATGTAACTTTAGTAGACTCTACCATGCATTGATCTGGATGATCGAGTCCATTATGGTCTACAGTGGTGAAAGGGTTAAGGCTACTACAAGAATTTCCATGTAAAAGGATCAACATACATCTATCGCCTGCCACCATGATTGAGTAGTTAAATACCATAAAGCAATCAAAGCATCCTTCTGGGTTTTAATCTGGTATCTCACATTCTGGTATCTCATAATCTGGTATCTCACAATCTGGTATCTCACATTCTGGTATCTCATAATCTGGTATCTCATAATCTGGTATAAAACAATCTGGTATCTCATAATCTGGTATCTCATAATCTGGTATCAAACAATCTGGTATCTCACAAGCTGGTATCTCAGAATCTGGTATCAAACAATCTGGTATCTCACATTCTGGAATCTCATAATCTGGTATCTCACATTCTGGTATCTCATAATCTGGTATCTCACAATCTGGTATCTCATAATCTGGTATCTTACAATCTGGTATCCCATAATCTGGTATCTCATAATCTGGTATCTCACAATCTGGTATCTCATAATCTGGTATCTTACAATCTGGTATCTCATAATCTTGTATCTCATAATCTGCTACATGTATCTCATAATCTGGTATCTCACAATCTGGTATCTCATAATCTGGTATCTCACAATCTGGTATCTCACATTCTGGTATCTCATAATCTGGTATCTCACAATCTGGTATCTCATAATCTGGTATCTCACATTCTGGTATCTCATAATCTGGTATCTAACAATCTGTTATATGTATCTCATAATCTGGTATCTCATAATCTGGTCCCTTTGCATTTTCCCTCCCTTCTTAGAGTGATCTCAGTGATAGACCCTTGTTCCAAACAGTGTGTATGTGTTTGGCGAGGATATATCCAAACCTGGGTTGTAAACAGTGTTGTCTTCAGGGAAAAAGCTCAGAAAAAGGATAGATGTGTCAAGTGGATCTGGGCCAAATGACTGCCAGTGATCAGGTAGCTAAATTGATCAGAGCATTCCATCTATAGCATGGAGGTCTCAGGTTGACTTAGTTTTGATGTCCCATGTTCGATTTCCTGTCTGGCCATTGCATTTGTCTCTTTTCCTGTTAAGGTCCAATATCTGGTTTCTGTGTGGGCTCAATCAATTGCTCCACTTCTACATTCTGATTGTTTGTGTATTTGCAGTGCATACCACAAATTTGTTTTGGCAGCAAATGTGAAATTTGTGTTTATATCTGTGAGGCAAAAATAAGTCAATTATATTTACAACTTCACACTATTTTACTTAACCCTAAAAATGCCTGAAGTCTATTTAGTATAAAGTTATTATTGAATCAGAAAAAAAGATGAAAAAAAAAGATGGAAAGGTATAATTTCAATTTGATTTTGTTATGCAGGTGACTGTCATGAGGTGAAGTTGGTCTGACTTTTCCTAAAGCATTGCTCAAAAGTATCATATATCCCTATTATCATTTTGTAAATTACATTCTTTGAAGATTTCTTTATTAATCTAAATAGCAGGTGCTTTTGTAATATCATGATCTGACGTTTTGTTTATGTTGGGTTATACGAGGCCCAGTCAATTTGTTTGGTTTGTTTTAGTTAAGGGTCCAATTATTTATAGTCAGCAGCTATTAATTATATAAGGTCATTAAAGGATGTGCCTCCTTCTGTGTAATGCATGTTTGTATGTATGTCGGCTGGAGCTTGAGGATCGAGGAATTGGTGTGTTTGCCTCTTATGATGGAGCAAAAAGCATAGTATTCTGGCCAGTCATATTATACTGAAAATTGGGTTGACCAGTTGTTACCATTTCTGTAAATGCTGAATGTTTAGCAGGGAATTAGCAACCCCCATTTTTAAGGACTTTGGTATGTACCGGCCCGAGGACAGAACTAACATATATACAGTCTTCCTCTCATTGGTGAACATTCACCACCAGCTATAGTGAAATATCAATGGCCTTTGCACATTGGTCACAGATCTGCATGAGCCTTGTGGAAAGCACAAGAAATAACAGTATTACAGTATATCAGTGTGACTGCTATAAAAAGACTGGCACAGAACTGGTGTCATTCATTGGAATGACTTAAGTTGTCATTGTAACAGAAGTTATTGTTAATGGACTGTCCAGGTAAAATTTAAGACTTGACATTGCTTATGAACAATAAAGAAGTTGCAGAAGCACATTGTTGTTCGATTTTGCAATTAATATATTTCTAATTTAAGCTATTTTTCCTGGACCTCAATGGTCACTCCATGCTATTTGTTATAATTATGAAACATTCAGAATGCACAGCTTTAGCACGTAATTCTTGTGATTTAAGGCATTCGACATCATTTTGGGACGTCTTTTTATCAAAAGTACTGCTGTTCACCTTCTCACTGTCACTTCACTACGTGTTCAAAATGTATAACAGTTATACAGACATTGAAAACACACCACAATATTATTGAAATAAGTTAAATGGGCAAAAAATGTTCAACCACACGTTGTCCCCAACAAAACGTACGTACTTTTTTGACTTTTGGATATAAATTGAAATTCAAAATTTGCCATTTTCCGACTAAAAGCCAAGTGAGTCCTTCATTAGGTCTAGATAAGGGATTGACCTGGGCTTCCTAGATGATTTTTTTAAAACATCAGCTACGTATTTCTACATTCATTTTCTGAACATGTTTCCATTGTCTTACCGTATTTTTTCGCTTCCTCCATCGTTTAATGTTGTGTGGTGTGTTTCTACTGATCTACATACTACCACATCCCACATAACAAACATGAGAACACTAAAATCTAACACCCTAACTTCGCAGAAAGTGACACTCGAGTTTGTAAACAGGAACGGGCACAGGGAGACAACTCTAATGACACACTCCCATGAGTAAGGTTACACACCATTAATCAACGGTAACACAAAGACAAAATTTCATGAAAAATAAAATGGATATAAATCCGAGAAATAAATCTACATAAAACCCCGGCTTGGTAATTATTTAAAATAAACTGCTTTATTATGTAATTTTAGAATATCAATTAATATTGAAATGATTTTATTCATCTGAAAAATTTGAAGAAAAAAAAATAAAAAAAAATGACTCATGATCATCTAACCATCTCATTGGGTTCCAAGTCAGCTTAACATTAACAAGAGGCCCAGAGGAGCTGCATCGATTTTAATAATAATAATAATAATAATAAACTTTATTTAACGAAGATGACATGTTTAGCCAAAGGCTAATCTACCACATGGTCCTCATTGTTAGTAAAACATTTTTCAATAGGCAGCCATCTTAGAACAGAAAATGTGTTAGCCGGATATATTAAGCGATTATGGTAAAATAGAGTAATGCAAAAAAGTCAGAACAAATTAGGGATATGGCTAGTGCCCAATCCTGGTAACTAATGTGTATCAAATTTGTCATGTTCGGCAGTGGTATAGATTGTTACTGGGTAATGGTCTCAAATGTTTCCAAAATTTGTTATATACCAGGGATAAAGTCCCTAAGGATGGGATCAGACCCTTAGGCTAATTCTTGTAGCATGCTTGTGTTCACCTCTTCATGTCCAGCAATTGTATATCTGATCAAGGGTCGGGATCTCAACCTTTTCCAATTGTTATGACCCAGAAATTAAGTTGCTTGGGATAGGGAAGAACCCGAGTCAAATCCTGTCAGCACATCTGCATTTGGAATGTTCGTGGCATTAGTATGCAATTGCATATATGGCAATATGGGTTAGGGATTTTAAAATATTTTCAAATTATAAGCAAGGGACCAAGCTTAAGACACCAAGTATGAGACCAGACCTTGTTGCAAAGTGTATTGTCCTTAAATGACCATGGCTGTTGATGGGACTTTAAACAATACGAAACCAAACCAAACTCTTCATGCTAAGAAATTGTATAAATGGCTATATGATGGGGATCTGAACCACTTCCATGTTTCGAACAGAGAATAAGTCCCTTGGCTGGGGGCAGGCCCTAGGTATGATCCTTGTAGCATATCTGTATTTGAACTCTCATGCACAGCAAATGGTAATAGGGTGGGGAATTCAACTGTTTCCAAGTTTTGATCCAGAAACAGATTTAAGAACCTCGAGGCATGGCCAGACCCAAGAGTCAATTTTAATATTGTGATTTTTGTTTTCTTTTTGAAAGTTATGACACAGGGGATAAGTCTCCAAGGACAGGGGTGAACCTTGCATCCATCCAGGTAGCATGTGTATTTGTCTTTATACACAGCAACTGTATACATGGTTATGTGTTGGGAATCTAAATTATTTAAATCCAAGTTGTGACTAAGGGTCAATTCTAATACCGTATTATGAATGTATTTTTCTCTAAATTTTTATATTTAGTCCAAGTCTCCAGGGCTGGGGCCAGACCCCAGAGCCATCCTGGCAGCATATGCGTATTTGTCTCTTTATACTAAGCACTTTAATGTATATGGTATAAGTGGTTATAATCCTTTTATTTTTAATCCCACCATTCAGCTTCAGGAGCTAGCCTTGGAATTGTTACATTCTCCACTATCTGAGTATTTTTCTAAGCAAATTTGGCCTATATATCTCTCTTAAATCAAATGGAGAAGTCACTTAAACCAATATGGCCAATTTGAGTCAACCCTTTCATTTTTAGTATATTTGTGAATCCTCACCACCTGAGAATGCTTCAAACCATATAGGTTTGATTATTTAAGTCTTAGTTCCAGAGAAGAAGTTGCTTGAAGTAATGTGTCAAAAGTGCCCTTTTTGCCCATCTATCAGTGGGTCAGCCTTTCTATTTGTAGATTTGAATCCTGACTGATGGAGTCCTTAATTCCAGGGAAGTCATTTGATTCAAAAGGAATATGGCCCAATTGCCCTTGTTTAGCCCCCACTCCTCAACTCTATTGTGGGGGAGGGGTCATCCCCTCCATTAATAAAATTTCAAATTCCCATTTCCTAAGAATGCTTCCAACCAAATATGGTAAATTCCAGAGAAGTCAAAGCAATAGCAATATGGCCCAATCGCCTCACTCCTCAATCCCCTCCATTTTTATAATTTTAATTCCCGACCTCCTTACAATGCTTCCAACCAAATATGGCTGATATCCATCTCAACGGTCTAAAGGCAAAATGGTTTAGTTTGCTTAACCCTTTCACCACTATAGACCATAATGGACCTATCCAGATCAATGTATAGTAGAGTTTATTAAAGTTACATAGGGTTAAGGAACATAAAGAAACCAAAATTGATCTGCTGCCCCCACTGCAACATTTGGAATTGCTTCTTTTTTCAACTTCTCCCGTACCTACTCTTTCTTTGCGGCAGTGTCTCCATATGACTGTTTGGAGGATGTTAACCCCAAACTAAACAAGCCAGGATTATGAGTATACACTGACAAACAAAATCAAAGTGTATTAACAAATAAGCACTTAGAGGTTTTTATAAAATTTTATTTCCACATTTCATTCATTGCAAAGCCATGTATATCTCACAGATTTCATTCAGACATATCAAATATCTCATTTCACACAATTCAATTATCATAATACATGTTAAATCTCCATTATGTATTAAGTATTGCAACCCACAAGTCCATTGTATCTGTGCAATTTTGGTGCTACACAGTTGAGGTTTCAGATGTACCAACACTTGATTGGGGCAAGACTTCACCTCAAGCCCATGCCATTTACTACTGATTTGGTGGTCTTCTGTTTCCTGTGTAATGTCAATTTCCTGTGCTGAAATAACTTCACAGCTATCACTGGCAGTAACTCAATCCAACAGTTGTTTATACAGTGAGCGTTGATACTTACAGAGTCAAGCTATACTATCAGTCTACAGTACTGATAGTTATCATCACTACTTTTGCTAGTGTTTTTCTAGCCTAGTTTTTGTACATACGTTGTTTACATCATTCCCATTTTTTTAACACATTTAATTGTTCTAGATGACTTTCTATTGAATAATGGGGCCGCTTTTGTAGCCATTTTTCTTCATTTAATTTCTTCATTTTTGTCACATAATCTTCCTTAAGTCCTGCTTTTTTCAATATCCTTCCAGATCCATGTTCTTCTTCCTGAAATGAAGTGACAATAATTTTATAAGTTTTTAACCAAAATTACTGAATACAGGGGTTATTTTCACAACAGAATTATCTCATGACAAATCTAGGTTTAAAGCCTGTGTGAAATAAAAGTAAACATTGTCACACCTGTGTGATATCAAAGTAAACCCTGTCACACCTGTGTGAAATAAAGGTAAACCTTGTCCCACATGCACCTGTATGATATCAAAGTAAACACTGTCACACCTGTGTGAAATAAAGGTAAACCCTGTCCCACATGCACCTGTATGATATCAAAGTAAATAATTGGAATAATAATTTGAGGTTCTTATATACCGCTTTATCACAACCTAGTTTGCAGGTTGTCTCAAATCGGTTCACAAATTATTATCTGTGGTTATAGGGCCTTTGCAACCAGCCGATATCTTTCTCAACTCCCTGGGGAGCATACAGCTGGTGCTGCCATTTCGTCGCTCACAGCTAGCATTCAGCAATTCAAGCACTGCCCAACCATGTACTCATTTACAGGTGAGTAGACAACACAGTGCTGTGACATGTATCGAACCTGCAACCCTTCGGTCACAAGCCTGTTGTCCTACCACTAGACTACTGTGCCTCTGTAAACAATGTCTCACCCATGTTACTTTGAAGTGAACTGTCACACCTTTGTGATATCAAGGTAAACATTATTTCACCTGCGTGAAATCAAGGTAAAAACTGGTTTTTCAATTCATCATTTAAAATTATATTTTTAGAAACCCTGACCTTGACCTCTGATGGCCTGCCCATAAAATTAATAGACTTATTAATCAAAAGGGCACCCCTCACACCAAATTTGAACTTTGTATGGTAATTCATTCATAAGTTATAAGGACAAACGCAACAAAGCAAAATTCTATTTTTAGCAATGGTGACCTTGACCGTTGGTGGACCACGCCCAAAATCAATAGGGTTCTTTGCATCCACTAGGACAATTGAATTCCAACCAAACAGAATTATATTTCAGCAATGATGCTGTCATGGTGAACTTGACCTCTGACAGCCACACACAAAATCAATAAGGTTCTTTAATTATATTTGCATCCTGTTCCTGTAGGGCAACCAGCACACCATGTTTGAACTTAGTATGATCATTCCTTCTCAAGTTATTATCCGGATAAGCACTACAGATAGACGGACAGACATATCGGGTGACAGCTATATATCCCCCCCCCCCCCCCCCCCCCCCCAATTCTTTTTAAGGGGATAAACATATCTGTCAAATTGAACACTGTCACTAAAGAGTACTGTAAGAGTTGTGTCAACCACAAGGAAAAATGCCAAAATAGATGCTGATAGTCACTGTTGTGTTCGAGACTTAATCATATCATAACCCTATGCCTTGCCAATTTCACCATGAACAAATGTCACAATTTTGGTAGCCTTCCATCTCCCAGCTAGGTACTAACCAAACCATGTTAAACATACAGAGACTACTTAATTATTTATGAATGAACTATTTTTTGGCACAAGATTTTTTTATTTTATTTTTTCAAATTTCTGGACTCTTGACCCACAGGCATTTGTTTCTGTCAATAAAAATAGTCATAAGAAAAAAAAATTACACCCTACTCGTAAAATTTGTATATTTTATGAGTAGGGTGTGATTTTTTTTTCTCATGACTATTTTTATTGAGTGAAACAAATGCCTGTGCTCTGCCCCCAGCCCCTAGAGGAGATGAGAAAGGGGCGTCAGCTGGGTCCTGTTTTACATCAAGAAAATAGACAAAATATAAGTATAAAGGCTAAGTTTGTTTTTAACACAAACAAGAATTGAAAAGTTATTTGGCGAGCTTTCGGAAAACATCTGTTTCCTTTGTCAAGCTACGAGTGTAAATGACCGGTGTGCATGTCTTGACTTTAAACCGCTGAAAACAACTTACTAAGCCACAGTGGGCCGAATCAGTAAAGTCAGCTGTCAAAAATCATAGACATTTCGCCCAATTGCACTCTAATACTATATGTTTACCCATTCCTGATAGCCTGAAGTATTATTTTTAGAGTGCAATTGGGAGAAAGGTTTCAATTCATGTTTGTGTTAAAAACAATTGAAACGTTAACGTAGCCTTTATTAGTCATACCAAACTGATGAATCTTATTCCGATTTCCCTATACAAATGTACAAACAATAGAAAACTTGTACCTGTGTGGACATAATTCCACACAAACTTACTTTGGTAAGATATGGCTTGTTAAGGATTTCTATATTTCTAGCATTCTGAAGAAGATTCTTCACAGCTGTTGCCTTGTGTGTGTTTTCGACTCTCCGTAACACCTTGTTTTTCCTGCAATAGAGACAACATTATAATCAACTGCATGTTGTTCAGTGTATAGCTTACACAATTGTTTACAAGAGAGGCGAAATAAAATAATAATAATTTGAGGATCTTATATACCGCTTTATCACAATTTACAACCTAATTAGTAGGTCGTCTCAAAGCGGTTCACAAATTATTATCTGTGCTCACAGCTAGCATTCAACAATTCTAGCACTGCCCAACCATGTAGTCATGTACAGCTGAGTTGTTTATAGATACAACAGTGCTGTGCTGTGACTCGAACCCGCAACCCTTCGGTCACGAGCCCGGCGTACTTGCGCATCCTACCACTAGACTACCGAGCATCCTAAAGAAATCATGATCCTAAAGTGTAATGTAAAAATTAGCTGTGTCAACCACAAGGAAAAACTACCAAAATAGACATTATTTAGTCACCGTTGTGCCGAGACTTAATCATAACCCTAGCTATCCCTTGCCACTTTGACCATGACAAAATTTCTAAAGTAATTACTTAATTAATTTTGATAGCCCTCCAATACAGCTAGGTACTTACCAAACCATGTTAAACACAAGTGACACTAATAAACTTCCTTCTACAGAGAATAAATCTTGTTCACAGTTTATAGCTTACACAATTATTTGCCATTATAAGGTAATAAAGTGTTGTTGTTTTTTACTGGAGCCTGGAGGACATTTTGGGAATCCATTGCAATATTTGACACATACAGTGGAGACTGAATGTTGCCTTGGATTGTATTTTGATAAAATAACAAGATAATTTTTACAAAATACAAATATGATTTTTAGATAGATTAAATGGCAGCCTCCACACTGAAGTATAAGGAATTTTGAACATCTCATTATAATGGTCACTGCTATTTTTTCTACAGAATTGATGTAAAATCATTTTATTTTCCTAAAATCATGCTTTTTGTGGGTGATATTTTCCCAAATCAACAGGCACAGGCCCTTTTGGAAAAGAGGTAGAAAAATCACCGTTACTTATCTGTACTTATGCAGCAAATCTCTCTCAAACTGCCACAAGAATAACAACGGTTTTGTGTATTTTCATGGCATTAATTATTTATGCACACCTGAAATTATATTGAAACTAACTCGAGTTATTTCATTTTTAATGTTAAGCTCTGTAGTTCAGTTAATGTTTAAACACGAAATTGGAGCTTCAGATTTGTGACAACATACATGAACACTCTGGTATTCATTTTTTTTAAATTATATTTCTTATTTATGACTACCGTATATGTTTTTTACACCTGCAACCAAATCTGTCATTTCCCCCTGAATCCAGGTCACCAGATGTTGTTTTACCTCACCCAATTTTGTTTTACCTTAAATAATGTAAATATAATTTTTTGATTCATTAATACTGATTAAAAAAATAACTGTTTTCATATCTCATTAACAATATTGTGTTGTCAGAAGAATTTCAGGTGTGCAGATCTAGTCGACCATACATGTACGAATCTAAAGAGTCTAATGACAAAAAAGACTAATGAATACTTAGGAAAACTTTGATTGAAACTGTGTCAGCTACGCACAACTAAACTGATCTAAAAAGTTTTATCCTTAAAAATATTAATATGGTGAATTGAAACAACATAGCCTGGAGGCTGGAACAACCCGGGCTGAAGGGGATTTAAGGCAAAATGACCTGACAAAGAGAAAAACCACCATTTCAAAGCTGGCCAACTTAATTTACTGCTGTCCCATAATCTAGAGCTGCTATCAGATTGCATTGTTTGATTTGTGTTAGGGAATTTCACGTGTGCTTAATTACTATGATCAACACATCTACTAAACATCCGATTCATGTTGGGCACATTTGCAGATTACTCATCAATTCATCATGCAGGTCCTTGAAAAAAGATAATTCTCTGTCGACTAATTAAGTTTGGTGACATGTACCAGGCATAAAAGTCAAACAAATATATGTTGAGAGTCAAAAAAAAATCATCCCACAATAGAAATGTGGTAGATTTATATTGTTCATAGGACTATGTTAATGGTCGCCAGCTAGCTTTGAGCTAGAGGATTTCCCTTTATCTCAATCAGTAAAATTATGTGGCAACTGGGAAACTTGGGGTAGAGGGTTCAATCCCTTGTGGAAGCAGACTTCTCTCTTTCCTGTAACAAATGGAGTCTGTGGTGACAGGAAGTTAGAACCAGGCCATGGGTTGTTGTGGTGTTTGGAGGCGAACACATTTAAAAAGTAGCTACACCCAAGCTAAGGGGAGATAATCCGAATTGATTTTTCTGACTTAGCGGTAAATATGTCACAAAAATTGCCTTTAGAAGAACAGTGATTTTATTGTATTTCCAAATGGTAAATCAAGGATATTATAATTGTGCATATATCTTTGACGCCTCTAGGTTGTGAACCAGCCAAAACATCAATGAAGTGGTGCTTTTAAGGCAAGATGTGAAACTTTCTTAAATATTTGGAAAATGTCTGAAAGAATTGGTATTGGTGTTTGTTGGATGATCTAGTGTGCTTGCATGTCTTGATGTTTTAAATAATTGTCAATATTGAATTTATTGTTTTTAATGGTTATTTCTGATTTTAAATTACACGGTCATCTTTGTTTTGTTCCGCCTGCATCCTTAAGTGTCCCAACATAATTGATGGAGGTGAGCTGCTGGTATTGTGAAAGCAAACATTTTTTGTACCCTATCAATATTTCTTTTAGTTTTTTTGAAAAAAAAAATCTTCATTGAATTAGAAAAGTTAGTTGTTCTTGCACTTTCAAAACTGTTTTTTGGAGACCAGTACAGTGATCCTGAGTTGTGATGTTCAAGCTATTGCTGGCAAATTGGTTATATATATAGTATCTTACATCAGTTTCCATTTCATATGAGATTTATGAAAAGAGTCTAAGAACTTTTCAATTTGACTTGCGAGCTAAAATGATTTTTTTGGACAAGTTTCATAAATTTCCTATGAAATGAAAACAAGTGCAAGATCCTTTTTTATCACATAATGAAGATTTGTGGCATTTATTCGTGTAAAACGACAGTTGTCAATTGTAACCTTGAAATGTAAAAAGCCGCTATTTTGACTCCTGAGTGCATAAGTCTGTGACGTTATGTACTTGTCCTAGGCATGACGTCACCATTGAAACTTACATCCAATCAAAGGGCCGATAGGTCATATTACATGGGTTTATACGCAAAAATGAAATTGACATGGGTTATATTCACTGGATATTAACGCAGTACATATTATGTGATAAATTGTTATCCAGTTAATTTCTTGCCAGAGATTCGAAGATAAAGTTATGGTTTACATTGGTGTTATAAGGTCAGGGAAAACGGTTTAACCACTAACTTGCGTATAATACGAAACTCGCCTATTATACACCAATATGGGCAGGGAAAACGGTTTAACCACTAACTTGCGTATAATACGAAACTCGCCTATTATACACCAATATGGGTATGGATTTGTTACTAAAAATAGCCAAAATCACTTTAATCTTAACTTTTTCAAATTGGTTGTCCAAGTCGCATTTATTCAGTCATAAACATAATACAAATGCAAAAATAAACTTTATTTGCATGTGGGAAAGTACCAAAAATAGATGCAATACATCCGGTAAAGTTATATCAAGTTTCTAAGTAGCCAACGCTTTCAGCACAGACTTAGATAACTAATCTAATTCCGTGCTTTCACTTTCAGTGAACATATTTTAGCAAAATATTATTTACCTTGTGGTAAATTAATGCGATTATTAATAATATCTTGCAAAAGTTACTGTTAAAGCGATTTGGGTTATTTTTAGTAACAAATCCATACTCCAAGAGTTTGCGTATTATACGCAAGTTGGTGTTTTTCCCCCAACCTGATTATCAGAAGATGGTAACACAATTTAGAAAATTATTTTTTAAAACGGTTAATTTAAAGCACATATTTCCTAATAATGGGGTGGGGTATTATGGCAGATATCAATTGTACATAGGATAAGGTTGCATTCTAGCATCGACCTGGGAAATTTAAACCGACGACTTTGGGGTTCCCCGGTGAAGGCTCTTTCCTGTCACAAAAACACAACACCCGTGGGCAAACTGAGTGCATTATCATACTGTACTCGTACAGGCCCTATACAGTATTCGAATAAGAAAACGAAGGAGGGTTTGTCTGGACTGATTAAGAGTATTGAAACATGATAACTTTACCCTGAAAATGTCTGTCCACCAACACTTTTGTATCTTTTGAAATACCCTAATACACATGTGAGTCGCATCTTGCCGACACTGCTGTCCTTGACCTTGAAGTTTGATTGTGCTCTTAGTTTCGTAACTGCAATGCTAAAGATATATTTCAACCACTTCATAAACCAACACCAATAGTACCCTATTCACATTTAAAAATAATTTGCTTCTTTTTGACTTTATTCGGAGAAGGTTAACGTCCTAAACACATAATATTTTATTCATTTCGAAACTAAACCTTTCATCAAAAATACAAACATGGCGACTCGCATGTGCATGCGTTTACATCTCATGAGAAAGTCGAAGTTCCTGACTGATAGGCCTACAGCTTTCCTAAAAGGTAGTTGTTAACCGTAACATCTTTCAGGCAAAAATGTGCTTCAAAGTTATTTGCATTTGTGACGTCTTAGTGTATAACTTATGAATGAAGTACATGATCGGCAGCTTCCGAACGACTGTCTTGACCTTTGTTGTCAAATGGCTGGTGATTAGTTAGCTTAATGAAAGTCTGTTAACTGAAACATGTTTCATGGATATTAGAATTCTAAAGTCAAGTTGCAAGTATATAGCGATTTAGAATTATAAAATGAATGTTTGGAGCCTACACAAATAATTGAGTAGTAAAGTAGTGTTGATATTTGAAAGATTTTCAGACATTTACCAAAGTCACATTTTGAACATTTGAGTTGTCAATTCATAAAGCTGGTGTGACGGAGGTCATTATTTTTTCAATGTCTCTGCTAGAGATATGACACATGACCTAGATGCTTTTCGAGTTCAAATGCTACCGAATGAGGTAAAGAGGTTGAATTGTGAAATCTGGAGACTTTCCAAGATGGACTCGACAAACCGAGATACAACAGGTTTAGGCCACAGAAAACGTCTCTTATATAGATTTGTTTTGAAAGTAAAATTAGGGCTAGTGCTGGGTGTTATGTAAATGATAATATTAAGGCTGTTCCAGAGATACAATAAAGTACGACAAAGCAGAGTTTGCAGTACAGTAAGGTAGACAAGAAAGGTATGAAAAACTTCGTTGTATTATTCACAAAATATATTTTGCAGATACATGTACCAGAACTTTAAAAACTTACAAATCACGACGTCCTGTCCTATCAGAGTTATTCCATAAGCGACAATCCTTAGGACCAGAACCCGAGAGGCATCCATCTGCATATGGAATATGGTATGTGTGATCCTTTTTAAATTTCATGGTTTTGATACATATATATATAACTACCTTTCTGAAGGGAAGTGATTTAGAAATTATTGTAGCTAACAAAAGCCCAATTATTCATTTTCAGTACCTGGTAGTTTTATTATCGAAACAAGTAAAATTATTATTATTATTTGTAGCCAAACAACCAATTTCATTATACATGTATTAGAACCACTATGATAATCTACATATTATAATGAGGTTTCATTTTTTACATCAAACTTATGCAGAAATTTCTGGTTGAGTGGTAGTTTATTTTGCAAATGGATGTAATGCATTTTGATCCGTTCATACATCAACAAACCATCTTAAAAGAAGCAATATTATGAGTTAAACAATTTGAAATGATAATAAGAGAATGGCATTAGGATGTGTTGATGTGACCAGTACCTCAGGTCATGATACAAGTCTAGAGCAGCTATCATAGTAAATGCTGAAGAATGTAATCAAAATAAACTGGCCTAAAAATAAAGATATTCACTCTGTGATTCTCAAAATTTCAATAATCAAAACATTTTCAACTAGCTTAACAGAATAAATCTACCTTGTTGTGAAATTGACGACGGGAAATAGCTTTTCTGTGGTCTCCCACAAGTTCACTATAGATATTCACCCAAATGCCCAAATTCCATCCATCCGAAGAGTTTCTACAGGGCATACATGTATCTAATCTTCTATACTATTTTTACTAGTAACTAGATTTACCAAATACATGTATGCAAGTTAAGTACAATGTCTTTGGAGGGCAGAGTGTCGAGTATAAAAGTAGCTACAGGTCATTGTGACCTATGGTTTTGACCTTTGACCTCAGCATCTGTCTGTCTGGGTATATTTCTTTGATATTTCACCAGGATTAACCAGATTTGGTCTGCAAGTATATCTTGGGATAGCAGAGTGTCAAGTACAAAAATTGGGTTACTGTGAACTATGGTTTGACCTCAAATTAAACAACCTTTTAAAAAAAGTTTCTGGGGCACAAAATTCTATACTATTTCACCAGGAGGAACTAGATTTGGTGTGCAAGTACATCGTTGGTTGGCAGAGTGTCAAGTACAAAAGTAGATCACTGTGACCTATATATGTTTGACCTTTGACATTATACTTATGTATGTCACTGTGATGTATACCCTGAGATAGGTGTACAGATTGAAAAGTAAAGAAATCATTACTGGTGGGGGATTATGGATTGCCTTGCAATACTTTGTCTTGTGTCTACTCGCATTAAAATTACATTTGTATTCAATATGGGAATACTAATTATATTAGTTTTCTTTTTGTAGGAACTACGATTCTGAGGTGTATGCATTTGGTAAAAGATTAGGTGAAGATTTTAAAGATGAAATACTAAAAACATCACTGGTTCTAAGGTAAGGTACTATTTAATTGTGAATTTTTCTAATTTAATAACGGTGACTTAATTTAAAGGTAAAAATAATAGGCATGGCGACAAGCAGTAAATATCAATAAAGTCTTTGAGTTTTTTATGCATGGACATCAATATATTCAACCATGTATTATCGGGCAAAATACACGCCCATGCAGATCCCATATATAATTTGGGATTAAAAAATGTTTGAATAATCATTTTGTTTATAATATTTCCCCAACATTTCCTCACCCTCTTTATTCCGTCTTTGCGTATTGCAGAGTTATCTTCTCTTGGGAGCAGGTATTGATTGTTACGTCATTGGTTTGTGTGAGAAAATTACGTCGATTTCTCAAATATTGATGACGTTACTCTCACAAAACAATAACGTAACAATCAATACCTGCTCACAAGAGGAGATAACTCTGCAATACGCAAAGACGGAATAGATTCTACCATAGTACACACACATGTTGTTGCTTATTTATATTGCATTTAGTGTTTGATTATTTTTTTTTTATGTGAACAATTGAACTTGCAAAATAAAATCAGCTTATGATTACTTATATTAGCAAGGCTCTATTTAGTTTTCAATGGTTATTCAGAACCTGATAGAAGCACTTTTTTGTTTACTCTCAGATCATATCAAGAAGAAGACGAAAAGGCAAAAGAAATCCTTTTGGATGATTACAGTGAGGAGAATGATGATGATGATAATACAGTATCAAGAGACAGCAATGAACAGCTGGCAAAACAAGGTGACGGTGTTTGTTTTTATGATTTGTCTGCGAGATACAGTTGTAGAAAGTAGTGTCCGTTATATTGATGTTTCTCTGTCGAAGAATAAAAAGTGAGCAGCTTATCTTAAGCTTATTTACTTTTAAGGAAATAATTGAAATTTAGAAATGTTCTGTGTTTCCTGACTGTTGTTTACCATATTAAATCTTTTTATAGTTTTAAATTTTGAATTTTATTAATTTAAACTAAAATGGAAGAATGTGTTTAGGTGATATTAAAACTAAAAGCATTGAAAAATTGGGCCCACATGTTGGTTTAATTTTGTGATTCTTATTTAGCCAGAACATTTTGTGTGGGGAAATATAATGTATAGTATTTACATTGTCTATCCAGTGCCATCGTTTTTATCCAGGTCATATCTTCTGTTAGCTAGCTAGCTAGCCGAAACATGTAAAGTGTGAATTAACTACAGAATCTTGGTTAACAGTTTTTACATGTATTTAAGTGAAAGCATTTAAGTTCTGGGGCTACACCTAAGCATGAAATAATCAGATACAATTACTGTGTTACAGGTGAGAAGTTGGCATCCCGCTATGTGAAAGCCTATCTGCGGGCAACGTACCCAGAGATGTTTGAGGAGGGCATCAGGTAATTATTTTCATTTTATTTCCTCTTTAACCTGAATTCACCAGTCCAGCTTCAATTACAGATATTGAATATACAGTAAAACCCCGTTGTAATGCCACCCATTAAACTGCCAATACCGTTGTAACGCCAAACCTGCATACCGCCATCTGCCATCATATTCCTAAAACAAATGGTTAAAATCACACTATTTTGACCTCATTAAATACCACCAATTTGAGTCGAGTACAGGTATATCCCGATGACAGGAATGTTGCATACATGTGTACATTCTATTGTTACATGTGACTGCTGACTGACCAGGTAATCAGCTGAATGCTCAACAATTTGATATATTAAATTACAATTTTGAAAAAAAATAACGTTTTTGAAGTAAATTATTATTATTTGAAAGTATAAGTTCAGTTGGTGTGTGAACACTTGGGTTTAAAACTGTAAACCTGATATAACGCCAAACTCGTTATACTGCCAAAATCACAGAGGACAGAAGGTGGCGGTATAATGAGGTTTTACTGCATGTTAACATGTCACAAAAATTCTAACAAAGCATTTTTTTTCATTTTTTTTTTCATTTTATTGAATCATTAGCGGCAGTGTTTGAAGCATGATTGTGACAATGAGTGTTTACTGTATTAAAGTGATTGTATTGGTTTACAGTGCCGTCCACGACTATCTCACGTCTGATGAAATGTTCGCCTATGTAGGCAGCCAGCTAGGTCTGAAGGACATCATCCTAAAAATGGTAAGCGCTTTAAACTTCATTAAATGAATACTTTTTTAAATGTTTTGAATTAGAAAAATAAAAAAATAAAAATCTGCCTAATGTTGTGTCATAAATCTCAAACTAGTGTCATAAATCTCAAATTAGTAAAAGTCACACTCCTGAATAATGAAGCTCCTCTGTAAACCAGCCTAGGGTCTAATAACTAGAGCCATTATCATTAACCTAACCTGATAACACAACTGTCAGAGAGAATAAAGGCTAAGTTTGCTAAATAATGCAAATTTTACACTCTTTGCTTGAAACAAATATTTTGAACCTTTTGCTTGACAAAGGAAACAACTGTTTTTGAAAGCTGACAAAAGACGTTTTCAATTACTTTTGGTGTTCATAACAAACTTGGCATCTATTATTCATGCCAAACTGATGAATCTCATGCCGAATGTCAGAGAGAGTATTCTATAGATAGCGAATGATTGTTCCGATATTTTGAGCCATCAGCATTATCATGCATTTACGATGTCATCTTAAAGCAGATAAATATAACAGTATGTCACACAGATGATGTTGGTTTTCTCTACATACTCTTCTCACAATAAGTTGCCCTATGTGCTTTCTTCTGAACCAACATCAGTAATTAATATAAGTTGATAAATCTTCTTCCTTCATACTTGTTGTAAAAGAAATAAAAACTTCAAACGTCAGTATATTTGTTATTTCAATTCCAGGACTATCCCCCTACAGATGAGGACTACAGTGTTACTATGAAGGCAGTGATAGGAGCTCTAGCAGCAAGCCAGGTAAGGGCCCAGGGAGGCTACTCATACTATACACAAAAATCCATGTCCTCATTATTTGCCATATATGCATGCAAGCGCTTTGCCTTGAACAGTTGTCCAGCCCATAACTTCTGATATAATTTAATAATAATAATAATAATATACATTTACATCGCAATGTGCTCATAAATGAATAAATAAAGGGTAGTACATGTATTTACATGACGTCATTGCAAAGAGCTTAAAATGCAGACGTGAAAGAGGTTTGATGTCCCTCTTGAATTTGGTCAGGGTATTTGACTTTCTAATAGCAGATGGTAAGCTATTCCACAACATGGCCGAAACCCTCTTAAAGCACCGGTTTCCATAGGTAATAGTACAAGATTTTGGGACACACAACAATGACTCCGACCGCAGTGATCATGATGGCTGATACAGGGTAACAAGCTCTTGTAGGTACTGGGGAGCTGTTCCATTCAGTGCCTTGTATGTGTACACCAAAAGTTTGTACTGCGACCTGTATCGTACAGATAACCAGTGCAATGAATATAGCACAGGTGTGATGTGCTCTCTCTTTCAAGTATGAGTAACCAGACGTGTTGCAGTGTTCTGGACCCTCTGCAGACGACTAGTAAGTTTGTCAGATATACTACAGAGCAGGGTACATAATCTAACCGAGAGGTAACAAGTAAATGCACCAAAATCTTGCATGCATCTGCAGTTATAAACTGCCAAATACAGCCGATGTTCCTGATCTGGTAGTAACAGGATTTGGCAATAGTGTTCAGTTGTTTCTCCGTGTTGAGTGAACTATCAAAGTATTACCCCTAGGTTTTAAACAGCTGGCCTTCTCCAAGAACTTAAACAGAAATGGCAGATTTGATACTGGGCGGTAGTTCTTCAACTCCTCCATGTCCATGCCAGACTTCTTCAACAATGGTCTAACATGTGCCTTCTTGAAACACAATGGAACCTTTGACTCAGCCAATGATTTGTTCATGATTGAGTTAATCAAAGGAAGCAGTGCTTCAAGCCATTGCTTTAATAGGTCTCTAGGCAGTGGATCAAGCTTACAGGACTTCGATTGCGAGGTCATGGTGATATTGCGCAACTCGTCCTGGGTTGTTGGTAAGAGCTTTGTCAATGGTCAACATTTTTATACTTTATAGATGTACAAGCCATAAAATTCAATAGCCTTTATAACATCCAGGTCTGTATCCCAAAGGTAGGGGGTTAAATGCGAAATGCTTAGCTAGTAAGTCTGATGGCCACATTTGGTTTTAAACTTGACCGGTGTGTGTAACAGGACTAAACCATGTGCTGTTTGTGGTGCTTAACACTCTCAGGTTCCTATCCCAAAGGTGAAAGTCGTGGGGTCAAAGATCATATGCTTATCGAGACTCAAGTCATTTTGAAACTTCATAGGAGTTCGCATGCATCATGACTTAATAATGTGTTCATGACACTCAGGTCAGTACACTGAAGGTCAAGGACACAAGAAGTCTCAGGTGAAATTAATGAAGAACTTTTCTGGACCAAGACTTCAGTGTTGTAATAAATGTCGAAAGCACTTCTGTGAGGAATGAGATGGGGCAAAGGGGATGAGGTATACTTAATGAACTGTAGCTTATTTTATCATTATCATTAAAAGTAAGAGTTGTTTTTAGTCCCCGACCGGTTTCCAGGAGGGGATTAAAGGTTTGCAATCCGTCCGTCCAAGTTTGTCAGGGGCATATCTTCTAGACTATTTCACCTGGAGTAACCCAATTTGATGTACAAGGACATCTTGGGATTGCAGAGCGCAAGAATTAGGTCACTGTGACCTATGACTTGACCTTTGACCTTTACTTTTGAAAAAGTTTGTCTGGGGCATATCCTCTATACTATTTCACCTGGAGTAACCAGATTAGGTGTACAAGAACATCTTGGGATGGCAGAGTGCAGAGTGTAAGAATTAGTACACTGTTACCTGTTTGTTAAATATAAAAATCATTACCAGTGGGGGACTATGGATTGCTTTGTTAAAATTTACTTTAAAATTCAATAAATTATTCCACTTTCTACAGTACAATGGACATGTAAATGTCTCTATATAATGCTACACATATCCATTTTCTGTCTGTTTTCAGGATGTTGCTCGGGCTGAAGCTTTTGTAAGGGATTTTTTCATTGTTCAGCTTGTGGCTGAGGATATCAACGAGATCTGGGATGTCATCAACCCTATGGGTGTGCTGACAAACATACTTAAGAAGATGGGCTTGTCACCTCCAGAACCAAGGTATAAAAGTATAGAAAGGTATATGCCATGTCTGCTAAATAGGATTTCCTTCCCGTAACTACTTTCAGAAATTATTATCATTATGATGACATGTAGCTTTCCTCTTTTGTGATCCAAGGCCAGGAAAGAGGATTAAAAAGATCAAACAATACCTTTGTAGGGTATAGATGAATGAAAGTTTTCAAAATCAAGTCAGTATTTTAAAATAACACTATTTTTGTTTCAGGCTTATATGGAAGTCAGCTGCATCTACGGTTATGTCTGTGTACCATGTGGGGCTGTATAGCGACAGGACACTCTTAGGACGAGGTATAGTGGACTCATGTTAATATCAAACTGTTTAGAAATCAGCCATTATCTTGAAATTATTTTTTCTGCTGTCGCTATTGCCAAATAGACAACAATACCTAAAATAATTGTACAACTGGTCGTTTGGTATATCAAAGAATCTTACTTGTGAAGAAATATTCATTTTTTTAATAGTAAATACTGGTATATGTAATGTAATACTATTTATTATAAGAATTAATTTGTTTCTGAATCACAGATCCAGGGGTGTATAATTTTACATTTATAGCACAGGGATGTGCCACATGCTACATAACAGAAGATATAATATATATATATAAGGTGGCATCAAAGTATATCTAAAGTACTGTGACACCCACTTGTCTATATCAAACATTATACAGGATGTGTCCCTGTGATTTAAAGTACAATCCCACAGACCGATTTTAAAAAATTCTAACAGTCCAACCGAAAATTTTAGAGTAAAATGTTAAACATTTTCACTAGCTGACAATTTTTGTATAGTCCCAGGCTGGTAAAGTTGTAAACACCTGAGGTTCTGATGGTGATATCTCATTCTACTTCTACTGGCTTGACCAAAACAAACTACTGGGTGATTTTGGTAGTCTAGTGGTAGAACGCTGGGCTCGTGACCAAAGGGTTGCATGTTCGAGTCACACCATGGTGCCTTGTTGTATCTTTGAGCAAGATACTTTACTCTGCTTGTTCCAGTCTAATCAGCTGTAAATGAGTTTGTGGTTGGGCAGCGCTAGAATTGTTGAATGCTAGCTGTTAGTGCCGAAATGGCAACTCCGGCTGTATGCTCCCCAGGGAGTTGAGAAAGATATTGGCTGGTTGCAAAGGCCCTATAACCACGGATAATAATTTGTGAACCGCTTTGAGATGAACTACGGACTAGGTTGTGATCAAGCGGTATATAAGAACCTCAAATTATTATTGTTATTATTATTTTCACAACTTAATTGATAAATTTTGCAAGTGTATCTTTAAATTTGACACGATCTGTTGCCCATTTCTGCTGTAATTTGTGCTTGATATATATTCACACCTAACTTATACACAAACACATTATATCTTGTAGCTCCAGGGGAAACTGTATCCATAGCGGAGGAGATGGCGGCACGAGATGCATTGAAAAAATATATGAACACTCAGGACCACAGAGCACCATTAAAATTTCGTGAGGCAGCAGAAAAACTACAAATAGACTATGATAGGAAAAACGCTAGCCTTAGTAATTTATCATCTGGATCCTGAAGTTAGATAATTATATATAAATCAAAGATTACACTTTTGAAACTGACATATTGCTGAGGTTCTGCAAGCCACACGTGTGAATGTGATCGTAAAATGGAAGAACAATATATTACTGAAAGATTTGTGATTTGACAATTTCAAAAGAGGGCTTGTTCTCCCTCGTGTCAGAAAGGTGTTTCTGGAGAATGTCCTTTCAATAGGGTGTCAGCTTGCCTTAAACTTCATAGTTAAAGCCAGGAGTTGCTGTAGTACAGTCATGTGTTATGCCAGTACACAGGTTTACCTCCCCTTGACAGAGAAGGCATTCTTAGAAACAAGTTGCATTTATCAGTGCTGGAATATTTAGCCAGCAAACTGGTTGATTTTTTGAAATGGTTGAGATTGATTATTAAATATATAATGAACGAATATGTTAAATTTCTTGCTTTTATATTTGTTTTCGTAGTAGTGCATCTATTGTGTAGAACCCTCGTTCTTGGAGATGAGCTTTGAACATAAACTCTTACTTTCACTTTTCATTAGTTATGCATAGCTCCATTGCATTATGAAAAATATCATTACCGTAATATTATAATGTATAAAAGCTTAAATCTATGACTCAAATAGATTGTCACAGAGAGGTTAAAACCAAAATCACTTACTGAAAAACAAGTTTGAACATAATTCACTCAAAACAATAAAATATATGTTCAGGAAGTGATTTTATTTCGTAACATTGATTCATAAATGAGTAGCAGCTGGAAAAAGGATTTCTTGATGAGGATGATAACATATTTTCAGCTGTTTTCTCGTAAAAAGGAACATTCTCAGTCTCTCCTTAATTTCCAACATGATTAAAAGTCAGAATATTTATTACATGAATATTTAAATTATACAGTAAAATCTAATATTGCATTTGTTTTAATAGGTCAATCTTATACTTCAACATAATTAAAGGTACCTGAAGTTTGACTATTAAATATATCTCTGGATTTTGATACTGTAAAGATGCTTTTAAGCAACTGACTTATTAATCTTTGGTGTGATCATACACTAACTTTTATACATGTATGTATACTTGGACAATATACATTTATCACTCAAAGCTGTTAAAAGTGGCTTCCATGTGTTTCTACTGAAAATGCCCAATACATGGCAATGATGTTAGTTCAACAGAAGTATCCATTCAGATTTGTTTATAAAATATTATATTAAATTAACTTTGCACAGTTTGATAAACATAATACAACAGTCACTCCTGGAGGAAACTTTGTTTAAATAATTTTTGTCAACACATAATTAAAAATAAGGTACATGTATTTTCATTTGAATTGTATCAACCAAACAAGAGGCCCATGGGCCTAAACGGTCACCTGAGTCTACAGTATTTATTTTTGTTGTTGAAATATGTACCAATTTGAGTAAAAAATAGTATAATGTTAACTTAACTTTGTCAGGACCATGAGCTGATCATTCCTAGACCAATTTTAAGTGAGATCGGCCTATTAGAACTTAGTAGCAAAATAGCGGCCATGGCAGCCAAATTGTATTTCTGATTGACCCGAAAAATAACAACACTTTGTCAGGACCATGATTCGATCATTCCTACAAAGTTTCAGTTCAATCGGCCAAGTAGATCTTTACTTTAAGTTTGAAATAGTTTACCAAAATGGCAGCTGTGGTGGCCATATTGGATTTCTGATCGACCTGAAAAATAACAACACTTTGTCAGGACCATGAGTCAATCATTCCTACAAAGTTTCAGTTCAATCGGCCTAGCAGAACTTGACTTTAAGTTTGAAATATGTTTTCAAAATGGTGGCCGTGGCGGCCATATTGGATTTATGATTGACCTGAAAAATAACAACACTTTGTCAGGACCATGAGTCGATCATTCCTACAAACTTTAAGTTCAATCGGTCCAGCAGAACTTGACTTTAAGTTTGAAATAGGTTTTCAAAATGGCGGCCGTGGCGGCCATATTGGATTTCTGATCGACCCGAAAAATAACAACACTTATTCAGGACCATGAGGCAATTATTCCTACCAACTTTCAGTTCAATCGGCCCAGCAGAACTTGACTTTAAGTTTGAAATGTAAAATGTTAACGGACGACGGACGACGACAGACGAAAACGGATAGCAATAGGTCACTTGAGCTAAAGCTCAGGTGACCTAAAAAGGTCCAAGAAATACTAACTACAATGTAAAGTATGTTCTTGTCATCAAATCGTGTACATCAACTAACTGTAGATAATGTCTTGTTTTGTTTTATTTTATTAAAAGCATTTCCATGTTTTTCCTGGAAAATATATAAATTACACCTAAACTTGTCATCTCGGGTTTATTGGGACTGACTTTGAACATGCACTCATATATAACTTTGTATTTAATAGTAATGAAGTGGGACTGTATCTGTATTTTCAACACATCAAAATATTGATACAATGCTTGAAGTTCATGTTTAAATATCATTATATATACAGAGTTATTTTCCACACACAAAAGCTTTTGCAAAGATTCAATCAAATTTTGGCTAGGAACCAATTGATACCAAATGGTGGGGAACATTTTTGCTAAGATTTTAAATCTGATATTTTTTTAAGCAAAATGCTATTGTTATGAAAATGATGCGCTAGCATTAAGAGGGCAGCACTTGTTGAATGATGGATAACCTGATGGTTGAATACTTTCTCTGAGGCCCTTGTTTAGGATTGGCCAGACTTATAGTAAGTTTTGCAGGTCCGATATTATTTCCTCCAAAAAAACCCGTTTACAGGTAGAGAAAGTATTTATACAGGATAGTAACCCAGTACTCTGGTCTTCTGTCTGTACATGTACAGTATAAAATGATGTACATGTACAGTATAAAATGATGTACATGTACAGTATAAAATGATGTAATGTACAGTATAAAGTGATGTAATGTATGTCACAACACGTCACAGCAAACGTTGACATGGACCCCACTACAAGCTGCTCTAACAACATCTGCACAGTAACACAGTCACTTGCTGGCAAATATAACATGGACTAGTGGCCAGATCAAAGCCTTGTTCAATAATAAATTATTGTGTTATGATAACCAGGCTTTGTACACCAATAAAATCCCTTATAGGGTAGCACTTTATGGATTTTGTTACCTGCGCAGCGACAGTTTCAAAATGAAATAAACCTTCAAAAGATATATCCATAATGATGTCAAAATTGAAGCAAAAAAAAAACCTTTAGGAAGCTTCTATTTAACACATTTTCTTGCCAATGCCAACTTTTCAAAATTTTCTTTTGGGTCCCGCCTAAATTGGGAGGGTTGGCAAGTATATGGTTACAAAAATTCTGCATCCTCCCACCTACTTCTTAAAAATAAATTAAACATCAAAATGTGTACAATAAAATTAAGCAGATAAAAAAAGAAGCACATACCAAGAAATAGTAGGAAAAATTAAGTAAATCGGTAGTCTTAACGCATTTTATAAATATTATTAATTTAAATCATTTCAGTCAAAGTTTGGCCATGTAATATGTTATACATGTACTTCTAGTCGTAAAAGATTGGTCTTAAAATTAATCATCTATAGTTGCTATATTTAAACAGGTCTAAAGGTTTTAAATAAGATTTAAGGCATCATGTTCTGTTCCAGCAATTTTAAGTTATTAACAGCTTTTAGAGCTGAAGACTCCAGTAAGTTTTGAGGCAGCATGTTTATTTCAGGCAGTTTTAATATGTAACACAAATGTAGGTAATCTTGTTTCATGATCAACACTTTTTCTTCACATTTCTGTTCCCTATATTTACAACAAGAAATTGTATGTTAAAAATATTGCAGGCGTAAACTCGACCACTCCATCCCATCAAATTAGCAAACAATTAAAGGGACATAATCCCTAAAATGTGATGAATGTTAGAAGTCTCAACATTGTATCAAACTAACAAATGACATACATAGAAAATTTAATTAAAATACTCTTTCACAACAATCGTCAAATGAAATAATAGTGTTTTACATAAATAGTCCATGGAGATTTGTACTGTTAAAGCTGCTGGTGTTTTTGCCATCTGGTTGAGGTAATGGAATTCAAATGTGTTCACTACATTCATATATACACAATAAAACAGGATTTGTTCAGTTCTAGGTTATTTTTACCACAGGGGCCAGGTACACTATCTAATATACATGTGAGAATAGGCTAACATATCGTATACAATGTATGTTCTGTTATCTACCTTTTCTTTTACCACATGCATGTGTCGCGGCCCCTGTGCTTATTATGGCTTTTATTTTGTTCAATCTTTACTTGTATTTGAAAATTAGGTACATTAATTAATTTAATTTATATTTCAGATTCTTTTTTAAGCTCAACATTTAAATTACAAAATAAATTGAGAAACGGGTCAAGCCGTTGCAAGCTCTCTCCTTGCATACGTTATCTTGAGCTTAAATTCAATACCGACGAGAAATTATTGGCTTATTGAAATTCAACACCGACATAAAATTATTGGACATTTTAATGTAGCGCTGACTTGAAATTAAAATACTTTTTAAATGCAACACTGAAATTAAAACTGTTACAAAATGAACCTCTGGACAAAACTAAATCCAAAACAATTATGGTATGTCCAACTTGTTATAATAGATCATGATAACAAATAAGATTGTATTTTCCATGAAACAAAAAACAATTGTACAGCAAGATTTTCAATTAACTCATTCACCCGTGAAGACACATTGAACTCTTCAAATTCAAAGGTTGGAGTAGTTCATTATGAAATGTCAGGGGTGAATGAGATAATAAATAACTTAACAATTTTAAAAAAAACTCACAAATCAAGTGTAATGTACGTGCATGTGTTTACATTGTAATATTATGTATAGCATTACAGTTAACAAAATTATTCGAATTAATTGACCTGACAATGTATTTATCTAATTATTCATCAAACTAGGGCAACATAACGAAAAGAAAAGATAGTGTGGTAGAATTAAACGTGTTCACATGTATGAATAGATTATATTAATAGAATTCTATTATCCTAGGCATTAAAATTTCATACAGAATTTCTTCATGATTATCTTTCACGATAAATCAGGAGTACACATTTCACTATTTGTAGATAAATAGAGACAAGTGTAGCAAAAAACAACACATTCTCTGTATAAATATTCAAATCTGAAATCTTCACTGATTTAGGAAAATTGATGAAAAATCAAAAAGTTCGAAAAACGCATTAAAGATAACGTAATCAATAGAGTATTAAGTTGAGAAGTAGAGATTTGCATACTTCTGACCAAATATTGTTTATGTAATAAAGAAACTTTGAAATTATATACATCTACTACACACACTTTCAATATCACAACTAAATCAGCTCGGACATGTAGATTGTGGTTGTAATATGTCCGCAGCTTGAGTATTGTTTTCAGCAGGTGCGTTTGGTCCCGAGTCACAACCCTGATTGTTCGTCTGACTGTCCGTTGCCTCCATTGGTTCTGTGGCACTTGAATCCGAGTCTGAGCCCTCCTCGACTGTGTTGGTACACTGTAACGTGGAAACGGATGACACAGAGATTCGTTCTGGTAATAAAGGGGAGGGTAACTCCACACCGATATCAGCGTCCATGTCCACCTTGGTTTTGGCAGGTCGTATAACAAGGGGTGTTCGGTCCAACACATTTTTAATCTCCTGTTTAAAACTCTCCTTGAATTCTCGCATGTCTTGCTGGAGTTGAAGCGTGTCTGCCATGACTTTCTCTTGTCGCTGTTTTAACTCTGCCAGAGTTTTCAGGTTTTCGTACATCAGACGTAGTCCCTCACACATGTACTCATTGCCAATTTGTGGTGGGACAGCTTCTCCGGACATGTACCGGTCAAACTGTTCTTGAGTTAAAGCTAGTGATTCCGCACCCAGGCTCTCAATAAATGCTACAGCGCAACACTGGTAAAAGATGAAAAGGTATATTATTAGCTTGTAATTAATGGAAAATTGAACATTGCAAATTTATTTTTATGGGGTTGTTTAAAAGACTATTCCTTAAAAATATTTTGTATGAAGCATTCTGGGTGAGGGAAGATAACGGAAAATGGGAGGTGGTGGTAAATTTTTAAAACAGATTACTTAAGATTGGGTGAATGAATTTGAACTTGTTTAGCATGGAGAAATATCATTGAAAAGTGGGATATGCATTTTCTTTAGTTTCTTTTTCAAGTTCAGAAAAATTAGGCCTTTGAGTCGTATTATAAAATACAATATATTCAACAAGAAATGGGGAAAACATTCTGCAAATTGTCCTGTCTACTAAGACAATAAGGTCAAAGTACAGACAAGTTTTACTGTAGCAGACTGATCAGTACACGTACCAGGTTAGTGAAGTAGTAGCCTGCCTCACCACTCATGAGACGACTGGGGTTGGCAAAGCGAGTGATGTACTGTATGTTGGAGTGTAGGAGTGGTGGGTTTGCCTTCAGGACCACATAGATGAGAGCGGGTAGGAAGTCGTCAGCATTAGCCGGTCCTGACTTGGACTGTTTTATCACTTCGAATATACTCTTACAGCAGTTCACCACACACACCAACTTGTCCGGGGGAGACTTCTTAGCATTCATGTCGATGATCTCTATAAATACCAAATAAAGATTTTTAAACATTGTCTATCATGGACATGTAGCTATAAAGTCTGTTGAAGTAGACTTAAAATCAAATGAAGATTATCTAAACGAAACCAAACACAACCAGCACTTCCAACAGGCTCAATTTACATACATATATATGTTAAGTGGGAATTTGATGAATGCATTGAATATAATGTATAATGATGTGTAAAAATACTCGACATGAAAGGTATTTTGATGCAGGTATATTTCAACAGGTACCTTTTTCAAGCACAGATATTCTGACAGTCTATTAAGTAGTCGTAATGCATCAAACATCTTGCCCATTGTGAGTTGATTTTAAGACAAGGATCGGCTCTTCAACAGAAAGTAACAACATCGACACATAAGGGCTATACACCTCTGTCTCAGAGAAGTGTCTGTTCTGGGAGACATCCACCTATTCCGCCTTTTCGTATTGCAGAGTTATCTGCTCTTGTGAGCAGGTTTTGATCGTTTCGTCATTTGTTTGTGAGAGTAATGTCATACATTTTTTGAGAAAACATAATTTTCTCACACAAACTAATGATGTAACAATCAATACCTGCTCACAAGATAACTCTACAATACGAAAAGCCGGAATATAACTTACCTGTGATAGCTTTGTCCACCAGCTGTCGGACAGCAGTGTCGTGGTCATTGATCATCGTGTCCAGTTGTTGGGCGGTGATCCAGTGTAGACTGCGGATTCTGTCCTGTATCTGTAGATCCTTCTGTTCATCCTCCGTGTCGGGCGCTGAGAACACACAGGCATACAACCGAACCATAACATACCTCTCCGTAAAGTCCATTAGTTTCTCCATAGTCTCACTGCTATGCCCTGTTAAAATTGAATTTCAAAATAAATAACAAACAAGTTATGATGTTTATAAAAACCTATTCAGTTACAAATGATGCTATCCGTGTAGGTTTCACAATGGTATTATAAAAACTGAACCTTTTCTTAATAAGTTATAAAAAACAGAATGGATGATAAAAACATTATAGCAAATAAAATCTAGTACAAAATAGATGTTTCTGACTTAAGAAGAAAATTCCGACTTAATCAATAAATTGAAAATTACTGTCTATATTTCTTTGGAAATGATCCGTTAATCAGAAATAATGCACTACCTAATTAAATAGCAAAAGATTATGAACCAAGAACATGTACAGTATGTGTATTGCTTTTACACCAAATTGACTCGTGCTTGGATATAATATGTAATTGGTTTGATGTTAAGCATATTCAATTCGATAGTCGAGTGGCGCAGTAGATAATACACTCGGCTTTCACCAAGATGACCGGGATTTGATTCTTCGCTGGAACATAAAAGGTTTGGGGTCACCTGCCCGACCACATATTTTCTCGGGTATTCCCGCATTAAAACACTGTCTGTGGGTTACCACCCGGGCCAACAAGAGTGATTAATATAAGTTGAAATAACTTTTTTTATAATTGTTGTACAATAGAAAGAAAGAAAAAAAAATCATAATTCAGGTTCTCACTGGTCGATAAACTAAAGCAAAAATTTGCCTGTTTTTTTTGTATATTAAAACACTCCTTATTATATGTGTTGATTTATTTAATTTTGTGGCTATTTTTTAACTACTGACCCTTGTATATTGGATTGTTGTTGACACGGTCACCCAGGGTCTGATAGAAGTCCTGTACAAACTCGGCCAGTTCGTCCACCGGTGTGTCGGGCATGTTCTGTACCCGCTCCACTACAGCCTTTATGTGCTTCGACACATCTACAGCAGCATTCTTTCGGATTTTCTTCAAAAATTCTGCAAACTCGGTTCCCACTTGTTGGGACTCGAGACAGACCCGTCTCACCTCGTGAGTACCCGATTTACTCTGTTGGGGAACTTGTTGAGATTCTGTTGGAAAGGTAATAAATGAACAAAAATTAACAAACAATCTTTGATATTCACCAGTGATGAAATATCATTTTGAAGAGAACATTATTTTTTAATCTCATGTTTCCACATCCTCAATACTCCAGGGGTTACACTCACTTTCGTTCTCTGCACCCCTGAAATATGTCATGACAAAATTGAAGGCTCAGAGTGTGCCACATTGTGGATGAGACTAGAACATTAGTTTGATCCTTTGATGCACATAAAAAGAATCTCTTGGTCGCGCAACGGTAAAATTGACTTGCTTTGAAGTTGGGTGTCGCTCCTCTGAAGTCTTCAAAGGACAGGTATGAGCCTAGCGATTGGACAGGTTTTTACCTGAGACAAATCAAATAGCTAGCCGCGTGCATTCAATTTTGCTATGACATATTCTAGGGGTGCAGAGAGCAAAGGTAAGCATAACCCCTGGAGTAGCGAGGTTGATGTTTTCGGGACTTGTGAAATTGTGTAAATTGTTTGTATTCTTTTGGGGAGTAATAAATGTATGAAAATACACAAACCAAGAATCATTGATATTCACTGTTATCAAAGTATCTTTTTGATAAAGATATTTCTTTTTCCTTCAGGAAATTGCTACTGACACGATTAAAAGTTTCAAGTCCTCCAGAAAAAGGGTTCTTGAAGAGACCAGAGAAACCAATACACCATTAGAATGGAAGGCAAATATCACTATCATGCATGTAAATAAGTACATGGTACAATGATAAATTGTTGTTAAATCAGAAGAAACGATTACAGTAAATTGTACAAATTGCTTGTTGAGAGTATTTCATACCTTTTGATGGTGTCTTTTTAAAAATGGATTTCACTGTATGTGACCTCTTGTTGGCGTGTTGTGTTTTCTTCTCTTCAAATTTGGTAAACGATGCAGGAATTACACTAAATCCACCAAACTCGGACCTGAGAAGTGAAGATGGAAGACTAATCACCTATATTAATTACCTTAGATAGATACAACTCTTAACATTATGTCAACAATGCATTTAACTCACAACAACAATATTGCAATCTTCCTCCTCAGGTGGAAATCCCACATCTCATCCTCTGGTGACCTCTACTTTGGAAACAATGTTATTCAAAGCTTGATTTGAAATTGCATAGAAAGGATTTTCTTTGAATTCAAAATGTCCAGTTCATAGTTGGTTGTCATTTCAATGTGATGCATAAATGTCATTAGATTACTATTTTGATCAAGAAAAAAATATGTACTGAAAAACAATAATTTCCATATTTCCAATGCCTACACAAGGACTCAGTGATTCAATTGGATGCTATTAATTTTATATAAATCATACATTTGTTAAAAATAAACTATGCGAAGTTTTACTTTAAAATTGTCTACACTTCAGGGGAATTTCTCATCTATGAAAGTCTATCCAAAATATTTCTCTTACCCTTTGGACTTTTCAACCTTGGGTGGTTTCATTGTATCATGCTGGGCTTGTGCCTGCTTCGCTGTCTGGTAGACTTCCTTGTAGCATTTCGAGCAAAATCCTTGCCATGCTGGGTTACCATAGAAACCACAGCCATTTTTACACAAAAGATCAGACTTATCAATATGGATCTTCTTATTAGAGCTGGTTTTGCGTGAAGAACTCATATTGTTAGACAGGTGCGATGTTGTTAATTATAATAATGAAGAGTCACACACTGGGCATTGTTGATACATTCACTAATGTTTTCCCTCATATATAAATGCATGTGGATCTGAAAACAGAACAGAAAATAAAAAAACATTTAAAGACAACATATCATTTGGACAATATTTTGTCATAAAATTATAAAACACAACTATGTTTACCTATAGATAGATACATGCAGTGACTGTTGGGTGTGCCGATAGAGAAAATGACACTATAACTAAATCATTTTGTAAGCTAAAAATATAAGGTGACAGTACCCATATCAGATCACCAAACCATCATTTTATTAAATCAATGAAAAATCTGAGGAGGAATTATATATTCATTTATGGTTGTATCAAAGAAAGAACATCAATGACATCAATCTTACAAATGAAATTTGCACCCGGGACTCACTTGAGATATTTATAGAACGCTCTGAAGTCACCAATCAGTGTCTCCGGTTTTTGCGAATGACAGGACCCAAATAGGATCAAGGCTTGAATTTTGCAGTATCTTATATGCTTCAAATGAATATGTTTTTGTCAGCATAATAAAAAAATTATGATGACCTTTAGAATTTATATGACAAAAAGTGTTTCCATACTGTGAATGTATTCCTATAGTCCAAAAACAGAATGCATAGTTGTCGCACGCGCCATTTTTTAAAAACGTAATAAAAACACTGACATTTGAGTTTGAATTACGTTTTCTTGTGCTATTTGAACTTAAAAAACTTATCATCTGTAGACAAAAAAAATGGTGCATGGCTATCTATTCAAAGACTACATCATTAATTGTTATAACTGATTTGTCGACACATTTATTTATTCATAAGTGTTTTTGCAAACAGTGATCCGATTTGGGTACTGATCGATTTGGGTACTGATCCGATTTGGGTACTGCCTCCTTAGATCCCAACTGTTGCAAAGGCTAGGCAGATATATCACATTACAGTGAATTGTACATGAGTTAATATAACTCGCTTGGAATTTGGTTCAATGAAATGATATGACATTGAAACTACAATTGAAATGTAGAAAACATATCACTTTTTTTTAACGTAATTCACCAAGCGTCTGCATATATCTGTCTACAGTTTTGGTAGATCACTGACTGTAATCATCGATTTGACTTTGAGGCCAGGGATTTTATATTTCCTATCATTAATTTTTCATTTCGTCTTTTCGTTCCAGTTTTAATATTGTCTCTATTTTGAAAGGTATTTTTGGTGTTTCGGTTTTACAAGGACTTCTCGCAAATAAAGAGTTCTCAACATGCTAACATTATTTCTTGTACTCTGTCTCTGACCAGGGCAGGTTTGTTCCAGAATATTTTTTGTCATCTGATGTCTGAGTCAGCAACGACCTAGTCAACTTTTCGACAATAAAATGAAGTTTACACGAATGATGCAAATGTCTTCGGAGTATGTGGATAATACTTACACTGTCGGAGAGATTTAAAGGATTCGTGGCTGACTAATTATCGATCCTACAGCAACAGTCGACAGATGTCAGCCGAGTTAGTCTGCGATGTATTCTCGTCACATGAATCAACACTCTAAGGGTCAAGGTCATTATAACAATTTGACGGGAGTCAGTCGCTATCTGATGCGGTAGTTTCGTATTTCGACAAGAATACAGCATTTGTACGATAAACATAATAAATCGTCAACAGCTAGATATCCATGAAAATAAAGACATTTGTTTGTATATTTTTATGTTTACAAATTTGTTATCGTTATTTTCGAACTTAAGGGGGCGTGTCTTTGTTGACAATTTCAACACGTGTTTACAATATGTTTAAATAATAATCATACAATTCTTGCATGTATCTCGCTAACAAGAAAGTTTTTGAAAACAAGAGGAACAGCCAATTTTAGTTACATATTTTTGTGGTAGGTAAACTCGAAATATTACTCTTGTCTGATATCATATAAGATATATTAGGTAAACGTACACATTCTCAATTTACAGGACACCATGCAATGTCAGATCTATTTTACTTTTGATTCTGTTCCATATCTATGCCTCTCGAAATATTTAGCAGATTTAAAAACCTAAACAATGCGTGTATTTATATCTAAGAGAGTCATTATCATTGCACTCTACACTTGATATAGCTGAAATAATGACGTATACTTTCGTAATCTGAAAATTAACCAATGACCTTTAAATATGATATACAGTGTGTGTCAGTTGGATAGGTGCACATAGTGTAGAATAGTTATAAATTAAAAATGGACATTATCGATTGATTAATATTCATTCATTGACCAATTCTAGGTTATTCTGATTGTTTTAGTAAAATATTGATTATTTAAAAAAAAAATTGCTTTTATATCGATGAAAAGATACTTAATCAAAGTAGCAGGACTAATTAAGTCAGGGATACACAATTTTTTACATACATGATTTAACGATTATTTCAACGCATCAAGACTTTTTGTATGAAATAATTGTTTTACTTTATGACATTATTTGTCATTAAAACTGTAATTCAATTTTTTTATAAGGGATTTATATTTTTTCTCTCTCTTTTACAAAAAATATCTAAATTAAATATAGGTACTTTTGTTTATTGACCTGAAGTTTATTGATCTTATGTTTATTGATCTTCAGTTTTCTAGGTCACATCGTTGTTGAAAATAGATAGTCTCATGTGATTCTGTTTTGTTAATAGTTACCACAATGTGTGATGTATAGGTGTTTTCGCCCCCCCCCCCCTTTTTTTAGCTTTTCTTGAGTAACGTATAAAAAGGATATGTTGACAATTCTGAAAACAGTTGGAGCAAAGGTATTTGAAATCTCCCCGAAAAAAATGATATTTGAATTATTGTAAAATCTGCAATGTCGGAGTTATCATCTTAATTAATCTTAATTAATTCAGGATGAGGATATAGGGGCAAATAATTTAGCAGATGAGAGGAGGAATTTGTCAATCTTTGGAGTTACTGGTTGGAGAAGGGGGGGGGGGGGAATCTTTTGCCTGGTATAAACAAGCATGTTTAAACACAAGATTGCTGATAGAAAAGAAGTGAATGTGGTTTTATACAACTGAAGTTTAAAGTTTGACTGTATAGTTTAATCTTTATCAACCTATATGTGCAAAACCAAGCTCTTTTTGAAACAGTACAAAACTACAAGGTTCGTGTCAGAAAGTAATTTATAGCATTCATTAATATTTCAACACTACCAACACGTCGGACTTATGTATATAACATTATATTGACAATGCTATTAGCATATTCAAATAAAAAAATCATTCGGTTCAATCATAACACAAATATAACATAAATATACACAAAATCACAAATACAGTAAACGTGCAGTTTCGTTGACTAAATAACACAAAGTTATTTCATCAAATAATGAATACTCACTGCTTTCAATAAGATATTGCATTGCTTTCATATGTTATGAAGTTGTTTTAATATCTTTAGAAACGATTATCAATTAAGAAATCAACATCTTTTCTATTTAAGGCGATATGCTGTGAAGTTCGAAATGGTGTGTATAACGAGCTTGATCCAGGCTCCCATCCAGTCTTTCCTCCGCCCGGCCATGTGGCTACCGGGATGTAACAGGCTACACTCCCATACAGAAACGTGAGTAACAGGCTACACTCCCATACAGAAACGTGAGTAACAGACTACACTCCCACACATAAACGTAAGTAACATACTACACTCCCACACATAAACGTTAGTAACAGACTACACTCCCATACAGAAACATAAGTAACAGAATACACCTCCTCAAAGAAACGTGAGTAACAGGCTACACTCCCATACGGAAACGTAAGTAACAGACTACACTCCCACATAGAAACGTAAGTAACATACTACACTCCCACACATAAGCGTAAGTAACAGACTACACTCCCATACAGAAACATAAGTAACAGACTACACTCCCACACATAAACGTGAGTAGCAGACTACACTCCCATACAGAAACGTGAGTAACAGGCTACACTCCCATACGGAAACGTAAGTAACAGACTACAATCCCACATAGAAACGTAAGTAACATACTACACTCCCACACATAAACGTTAGTAACTACACTCCCATACAGAAACATAAGTAACAGAATACACCTCCTCAAAGAAACGTGAGTAACAGACTACACTCCCACACATAAACGTGAGTAGCAGACTACACTCCCATACAGAAACGTGAGTAACAGGCTACACTCCCATACAGAAACGTGAGTAACAGACTACACTCCCACATAAAAACACAAGTAACAGAATACACCTCCTCAAAGAAACGTGAGTAACAGACTACACTCCCACACAGAAACGTGAGTAACAGACTACACTCCCACATAAAAACACAAGTAACAGAATACACCTCCTCAAAGAAACGTGAGTAACAGACTACACTCCCATACAGATACGTGAGTAACAGACTACACTCCCACACAGAAACGTGAGTAACAGACTACACTCCCACATAAAAACACAAGTAACAGATTACACTCCAACACAGAAACGTTAGTAACAGAATACACTCCCACACAGATACGTGAGTAACAGACTACACTCCCATACAGATACGTGAGTAGCAGACTACACTCCCACACAGATACGTGAGTGACAGACTACACTCCCACACAGAAACGTAAGTAACAGACTACACTCCCATACAGAAACGTGAGTAACAGACTAACAGGCTACACTCCCACACAGAAATACGTTCACGTTTCCTGGGCATTTCTTGTTACCAATGGAAATGTATGAAATTATTTCTGTAAATTATAATATTAATTAAAATATTGCCTCTTTTTCCTTTTGATATTTTCAATTCAATTCAAATGGGTTTTTAAGTATCATAGGCCTCCAGCGCACAGTACCTGCCTATTTTCACTTCAATGTCACGGTACAAATATTCAACCTCTTGGTAAATTTGTGCCATATCATTATAGGTATAATATATACATGAATTAATAGATACTTATTTAGATTGATTGATTGATGTGTCACACAATGTATTGATACTGTGTATGATAAAGTGCATCAATATAGATTACAAGTATAGTGTACTTCGATACACAAGTAGAAGATAGTTTGAGAACTTTGATAATAAAACACTGAACCGGAGACTGTGGGAATTTTATGCTGGCATACACAAAAAGACGAAAAGGGACACCTCTCATACGGTCGAACATTTACAGTATCAAATATGGTTTGAAGAATACATCATTGACAATAACGACTTTACTTCAAGTGTTAATCTGTTGATGGCGGTAACGTGTGATTTGAAAAGAAAGGGGTTTTGGCGAATGGACCATCACCCACATGTCCGAGAATATGATCTGAAACTTTTATATTCAGGAAAAACTCACGTGTTTTACATAGGATATCCCCGTGCGGATTTCAGAGTACAATTAATAAAATAAAGATGAAGTGTATATTTTATCGGTTGCCTTTCGGTATGATAAAACAATTATTATCCTTGTTCTGTGTTGACATGAATATTTGTTAACCCGTGAGGTGTACATGGTATATCATCCAGAACAAGGGCAATAACTGAATAATATCTTTCATATTGTTATAGAGAAAATAAATATATCAACGCGTTTCGTTTAGCATGATAATCAGTGTTATAACATATTCGTATGTTTTGTAAAAACAGTTGCATTGGGATGGTGGTAGACAAGCCGGGATTTTTTTTTCAAAGTAACGATAACTTGCACTGGTTTCTTTCCCGTCAGTAATAGTTTTAAACCTTATTTCATCAGTGATTATAACTTCCTAAGAAATCTAAAACATATGTATAAGGTTTTTCGATTACAAATCGGGCTCTCCAAAGCGGTAAAGATTTCGCAAACCAGTATGTGTGAACTTATGTTAAACGTCAATGATATATATAATTAGGAGTTATTCAAACATTAAACTCGTCAATAGAAGTGTCACCATTAGTAGCTTCAATAATTAAAACATTGACTTCGTCACGGATTTCATACGTCTGAGTCTGACGGGGTGGTTTTGATTGTATATCTATATATATATGTGGTTGCTAAATATATCCATCTATCAAGCATACTAATCTTTCATAAACTTAGCTTGTTTTTAGAACCTCTCAATTTTCCGAAAGAGACAAATATTTCTTGTATTAAATGTGCAAGAGTTATCGCCCTTCCTACTTCTGTGAATGAATACGACCACTTTTGCTCTTCGCTTTAATTTATCATCAAGCATAAAAAGTTTATTTTTATTTTTGAACAGCGCTTTGTTCTTGCGACAAAGTGAAAAAGTGCCGTTTTATTTTCCTAACCGGTGCTTTGTCACCGCAAAAGAGGACCGTTTAAAAATATGAAAATGCATACAAGTGCCTTTTAAGGAGCTAAAAAATTGCGCTTTTTCTGTCTAGCTTTTAAGCGCCGTTTACGGGAAATTAAGGGCGACTTTAGCTTTATCCCGTCGACAAAGCACCGTATAATGATAATTCTATATTTCAAGAGGATAAATGACTAAGCAATACAAGTCATTCATTCATTCTCTATTACACTTAAAGATATCTTCATTTATCTTCAGCATATACACCTGCTTAACATACGAATTCATTAAAACAACTTTCCCAGCTATTTTGAACCATGCCTTATTTCTACGGACAGTGTATTGTGAGCTGATGACTTCTGTGCATGTGGTCATAAAATTGTGTTGTTTTGTTCAGATGGAGATCGGACTCTGTCGGTGCAGACTCGCTACTCGAGGACATCGTCAATTCTGTGCCTGATCTCATGGAGAGTGACATTACCGGGGCGACTTATGTGGTCAACAAGGTTAGTTAACAGTATCGGGGCGACTTACGTGGTCAACAGGGTCAATTTACAGTACCAGGTCAACAAGGTCGGTTACAGTACCGGGTCAACAAGGGCAGTTAACAGTACCGGGGCGACTTACGTGGTCAGCAAGGTCAGTTTACTGTATCGGGGCGACTTACGCGGTCAACAAGGTCAGTTTACAGTACCGGGTCAACAAGGTCAGTTAACATTACCGGGCGACTTACGTGGTCAACAAAGTCAGTTTACAGTACCGGGTCAACAAGGTCGGTTACAGTACCGGGTCAACAAGGTCAGTTTACAGTACCGGGTCAACAAGGTCAGTTTACAGTATCGGGGCGACTTATGGGGTCAACAAGGTCAGTTAACAATACCGGGTCAACAAGGTCGGTTACAGTACAGCGTCAACAAGGTCAGTTTACAGTATCGGGGCGACTAACGTGGTTACAGTACCAGGTCAACAAGGTCAGTTTACAGTATCGGGGCGACCTATGTGGTCAACAAAGTCAGTTAACAATACATGGGCGACTTACGTGGTCAACAAGGTCAGTTGACAGTACAGGGGCGACGCATGGGGTCAACCAGGTCATTAGAAAATTCACGGGCAACATACGGGGTCAACAAGGTAATTGGACAGTAAAGGGACAACGCAATATAGGGGCGATATACGGGGTCGGCAAAGTCATAAGAGAATACAGCGGTGACGTAAGGGCAATGCACGTGATCAACATTGGTATAGTTAAACGACTAAGTCTTTTGTGCCATACATATAGTACCCGGTACCTTGAATGAAGTACAACACAGTTCCTTGTCACTCACGTTTTTTTTCCATAAAAAAAAAAAAAGTTTGTATCATGCAGAACCACTGTTAGAAATCTGTTCATATGTGTTTGTGTTTGTAATAAAAAGGACAAACTTCATTATGCATATATACGAAAGAGACTGAGTGTTTCTTTTTAGAATTTGAAATTTTCAACTGAAAATAGAAAAAAAAGATATATGCGCCCCTGGGGTCACTGTCATGAATCTGTTAAGAAGATATCTTTTCAAGATAGCGGCCGTTACAGACAGCAGAAGGAAGTTGTCCATTACAAATGAGCTGAGCACAGCATGTAACAATATGAACCTGGAAATGTGCAAAAATCACATTCCGCCCTACAAAGTTGGCCAAAGCGTTGATTTTACCAGTGAGACGTTTAAATATTGCCCTTTCTCATTATATGGTTATTTTTTATGATTTGCTTCATCATTCTAGACCCCTTATGGGAGTGGTGTACAACATATGAGCTATTGGTAATTAAAACCCTATACAATAAGAGAAAAACAAACGTAGACGTTTGTGTATGTCAAGGATTGGTCTCGTACTTTCTTAAAAGATTTGGCTAAGTTGAAATGTATATTTGGAAGTATTTGATGGTTACTGAAGGGCGGAATGTGATTTTTACATTTTCCCCGGTTAACGGTGCTACTTACCGTGCTCAGCTCATGTTTAGAAACAACAGCTTTTCAGGTTTGAAATGGACACCTACCTTCTGCTGTCTGTAACTGCCGCCATCTTGAAAAGACGTCTCCTGAACAGATTCATGACAGTGTTGGTGTAGGTTTCATTCTTTCGTGAAAGTCATGAATCCGAGATCACTAGTTTACTAGTCTTGCGCACTATCGAATGAGCTAAAGTGAAATTCTGTCTAACCGGTTCGATGTGTAGCAGATAGCATTTTGTCAGGGTGACATTTTGAAAGAATGTTACTCCCGGTCCGTTTCTCTTTCTTTAACTTTCGATGATTTATATTTTTGTTTTATATATCTTTTCTAGGTGGACGAGGAAAGAGGATTTGTAAGAATATTTGCGTTTACCTGGGCAAACTGGTTAGACGTGATGGAATTTACTATGAGGGGCAATAAAATACAGGTAATGTATTGTGTAAATATAACCGATTGCGTGAGTATCATCTTAAATTTAATGTAACATTTTTTTATTTTTTTTTGTATATTAAACAAACTACGTATCTATTTGGATATCTTATATAAATTTGTGGTACTATATATGCAAGACAACACACTTATGTTTTTCTAACGAATCAGAAAGCACGAGTATATTGCGCGGACGAATATATTCCCGAGTGAATATATACGTCCGCGCAATAAATGAGTGCTTTCTGATTCGTTAGAAAAACATAAGTGTGTGGTCTCGCTTTGTTGCATTCCTTCCGTGTTTGGTAGAGATCGATACAAAGATTTTATAAACTTTGGTATTTTTAGCAAATACCGGGAACTTGTCAGTTCGCCATGACAAGGGGATTCCCATTAAAAGTAGTTCCGGCTAGTAGGTAAATACAACATTCCGTATTGCACATGTGCAATACAGAACGTTGTATTTCATTGTCTGAAAATTGCTTGTATTACTATATCAAGATTCAACAGGTATGTGCTACATTAGTATAGTGTTTTCTCATGTGTAAGCGTTTTGGTCATCTCGAAATTCCACGGGTTACGCTTACTCACGTTTTCTGCAACCCTGAAATATGTCATCATGAAATCAAAGGCTCTGTAAACATCACACAAGTAGACTAGTTTGATTCTTTGATGTACAACAAAAGAATCGCGCGGCAGCGTGCGGTAAAATTGACTAGCTTTGAAGTCAGGTGTCGCTCCTTTGTAATAATCAAAGGACATGTACCAGACCAGCGATTAGTCATTTTTATCTCATCTATATAGCTTACGGCGGACCTTCGACTTTGCTATAGCATATTCCAGGGGTGCAGATAACATCATGTAAGAGAGCGCAAGCCCAGCAATTTCCATGATGCATCGTGGTAGATATTCTTGCCAACCCTCCCTATTTAGGAGGGACACTTCCGATTTTGGACCCTGAAATTGTGCATTTTCAACCGGCGAATTTGCTAAACTATTCCTATTTTTCCCTGATGATAGCATTCGAAAGAACAGCTCAAAAGATGCCATTTAAGAATATTATTTTTCCCTTGGGTGTACACATACACATATTGTTTATGCTTTTAATTCTGAGCACACGTAATTTCCCCCATGGAAATTAAAAAAATGCGGCAAGCATGGGTAGATTCTGCACGTAATGTGTTCACGTCACGTCCTGAAATCGATAGCAGGTGTAGTTACAACGAAACAGGGCACTCTAACGAGCATCATCTTAAACATCGGCTGTTATAATATACAAATAATTAGCATACTTCCCAATAAGACGATGATGGTGACCATAACACTTTGCCATAGTCTTTATCAACCTGTACCGTCAGCATGTCTTTGGTTGATCGGTGTCTGTAACGGTCTCCCGAGGCAGTCATGCAGGCAACAACAGTTAGGTACTTTGAAATTAGTCTGGGCAATCTTTGGAACAAACTTGAACCTGACTTAATCAAATCCTTTTATGTGTTGACGCTATAGTTCATTTTGTACTGGAGAGGTGACGCTATGGTATATATTGTACTTGAGAGGTGACGCTAGGGTATATATTGTACTGGAGAGGTGACGCTAGGGTAATATTGTACTTGAGAGGTGACGCTAGGATATATAGTGTACTTGAGTGGTGACGCTAAGGTATATATTGTACTGGTTTAGTGACGCTAGGGTATATATTGTACTGGAGAGGTGACGCTAGGGTATATATTGTACTTGAAAGGTGACGCTAGGGTATATATTGTACTTGAGAGGTGACGCTAGGGTATATATCGTACTGGTTTAGTGAAGCTAGGGTATATATTGTGCTGGTTTAGTGACGCTAGGCTATATATTGTACTTGAGAGGTGACGCTAGGGTATATATTGTACTTGAAAGGTGACGCTAGGGTATATTTTGTACTGGAGAGGTGACGCTAGGGTAATTTTGTACTGGAGAGGTGACGCTATGGTATATTTTGTACTTGAGAGGTGACGCTAGGGTAACATTGTACTTGAGAGGTGACGCTATGGTATATTTTGTACTTGAGAGGTGACGCTAGGGGATATATTGTACTGGTTCAGTGACGCTAGGGTATATATTGTACTTGAGTGGTGACGCTAGGGTATATATTGTACTTGAAAGGTGACGCTAGGGTATATATTGTACTTGAAAGGTGACGCTAGGGTATATATTGTACTTGAGTGGTGACGCTAGGGTATATATTGTACTGGTGGGTATATTTTGTACTTGAGTGGTGACGCTAGGGTATATATTGTACTGGTGGGTATATTTTGTACTTGAGTGGTGACGCTATGGTATATATTGTACTTGAAAGGTGACGCTAGGGTATATTTTGTACTGGAGAGGGGACGCTAGGGTAATATTGTACTTGAGAGGTGACGCTAGGATATATTTTGTACTTGAGAGGTGACGCTAGAGCATATTTTGTACTTGAGAGGTGACGCTAGGGTATATGTTGTACTTGAGAGGTGACGCTAGGGTATATGTTGTACTTGAGAGGTGACGCTAGGGTATATTTTGTACTGGAGAGGTGACGCTAGGGTAATATTGTACTGGAGAGGGGACGCTATGGTATATTTTGTACTGGAGAGGTGACGCTAGGGTAATATTGTACTGGAGAGGGGACGCTATGGTATATTTTGTACTTGAGAGGTGACGCTAGAGCATATTTTGTACTTGAGAGGTGACGCTAGGGTATATTTTGTAGTTGAGAGGTGACGCTACGGTATATAGTGTACTTGAGTGGTGACGCTAGGGTATATTTTGTACTTGAGAGGTGACGCTATGGTATAAATTGTACTTGAGAGGTGACGCTAGGGTATATGTTGTACTTGAGAGGTGACGCTAGGGTATATGTTGTACTTGAGAGGTGACGCTAGGGTAACATTGTACTTGAGAGGGGACGCTATGGTATATTTTGTACTGGAGAGGTGACGCTAGGGTAATATTGTACTTGAGATGTGACGCTATGGTATATATTGTACTGGTGTAGTGACGCTATGGTATATTTTGTACTGGTGTAGTGACGCTATGGTATATATTGTACTTGAGAGGTGACGCTAGGGGATATATTGTACTGGTTTAGTGACGCTAGGGTATATATTGTACTTGAGAGGTGACGCTAGGGTATATTTTGTATTTGAGAGGTAAAGCTATGGTATATATTGTACTTGAGAGGTCACGCTAGGGTATATTTTGAACTTGAGAGGTGACGCTAGGATATATATAGTATACTTGAGAGGTGACGCTAGGGTATATTTTGTAGTTGAGAGGTGACGCTAGGGTATATAGTGTACTTGAGTGGTGACGCTACGGTATATATTGTACTTGAGAGGTGACGCTAGGGTATATTTTGTATTTGAGTGGTGACGCTAGGGTATATTTTGTGCTTGAGTGATGACGCTAGGGTATATTTTGTACTTGAGAGGTGACGCTAGGATATATATTTTGTACTTGAGAGGTGACGCTAGGATATATATTGTACTGTTGTAGTGACGCTAGGGTATATATTGTACTTGAGAGGTGACGCTAGAGTATATTTTGTACTTGAGAGGTGACGCTAGGGTATATATTGTACTTGAGAGGTGACGCTAGGGTATATAGTGTACTTGAGTGGTGACGCTAGGGTATATATTGTACTGGTTTAGTGACGCTAGGGGATATATTGTACTGGTTTAGTGACGCTAGGGTATATATTGTACTGGTTTAGCGACGCTATGATATATATTGTACTGGTGTAGTGACGCTAGGGTATATTTTGTACTTGAGAGGTGACGCTAGGGTATATATTGTACTTGAGAAGTGACGCTAGAGTATATTTTGTTCTTGAGTGGTGACGCTAGGGTATATATTGTACTTGAGAGGCGACGCTAGGGTCTATATTGTACTTGGGAGGTGACGCTAGGGTATATATTGTACTTGAGAAGTGACGCTAGAGTATATTTTGTTCTTGAGAGGTGACGCTAGGGTATATATTGTACTAGAGAGGTGACGCTAGGGTATATATTGTACTTGAGAGGCGACGCTAGGGTATATTTTGTACTTGAGAGGTGACGCTATGGTATAAATTGTACTTGAGAGGTGACGCTAGGGTATATATTGTTCTTGAGAGGTGACGCTAGGGTATATATTGTACTGGATAGGTGACGCTATGGTATATATTGTACTGGTGTAGTGACGCAATGGTATATATTGTACTTGAGAGGTGACGCTATAGTATATATTGTACTGGTGTAGTGACGCTAGGGTATATTTTGTACTTGAGAGGTGACGCTATGGTATAAATTGTACTTGAGAGGTGACGCTATGGTATATATTGTTCTGGTGTAGCGACGCTAGGGTATATATTGTACTTGAGAGGTGACGCTATGGTATGTATTGTACTGGTGTAGTGACGCTATGGTATATATTGTACTGGTTTAGTGACGCTAGGGGATATATTGTACTGGTTTAGTGACGCTAGGGTATATATTGCACTGGTTTAGCGACGCTATGATATATATTGTACTGGTGTAGTGACACTAGGGTATATTTTGTACTTGAGAGGTGACGCTATGGTATATATTGTTCTGGTGTAGCGACGCTAGGGTATATATTGTACTTGAGAGGTGACGCTAGGGTAAATAGTGTACTTGAGTGGTGACGCTAGGGTATATTTTGTACTTGAGTGGTGAGGCTATGGTATATATTGTACTTGAGAGGTGACGCTAGGGCATATTTTGTACTTGAGAGGTGACGCTATGGTATATATTGTTCTTGTGTAGTGACGCTAGGGTATATATTGTACTTGAGAGGTGACGCTAGGGTAAATAGTGTACTTGAGTGGTGACGCTAGGGTATATATTGTACTTGAGAGGTGACGCTAGGGTATATTTTGTACTTGAGAGGTGACGCTATGGTATATATTGTTCTGGTGTAGTGACGCTAGGGTATATATTGTACTTGAGAGGTGACGCTATGGTATATATTGTACTGGTTTAGTGACGCTAGAGTATATATTGTACTGGTGTAAATACGCTAGAGTATATATTGTACTGGTGTAAAGACGCTAGAGTATATATTGTACTGGTGTAAAGACGCTAGAGTATATATTGTACTGGTGCAGTGACGCTAGAGTATATATTGTACTGGTGTAAATACGCTAGAGTATATATTGTACTGGTGTAAATACGCTAGAGTATATATTGTACTGGTGTAGTGACGCTAGAGTATATATTGTACTGGTGTAAAGACGCTAGAGTATATATTGTACTGGTTTAGTGACGCTAGGGTATATATTGTACTGGTGTAGTGACGTTAGGGTATATTTTGTATTTGAGTGGTGACGTTAGGGTATATTTTGTACTTGAGTGATGACGCTAGGGTATATTTTGTACTTGAAAGGTGACGCTAGGGTATATATTGTACTTGAGAGGTGACGCTAGGGTATATTTTGTACTGGAGAGGTGACGCTATGGTATATATTGTACTGGTGTAGTGACGCTAGGGGATATATTGTACTGGTTTAGTGACGCTAGGGTATATATCGTACTGGTGTAGTGACGTTAGGGTATATTTTGTATTTGAGTGGTGACGTTAGGGTATATTTTGTACTTGAGTGGTGACGCTAGGGTATATATTGTACTGGTGTAGTGACGCTAGGGTATATTTTGTACTGGTGTAGTGACGCTAGGGTATATATTGTACTGGTTTAGTGACGCTATGGTATATTTTGTACTTCAGTTGTGACGCTAGGGTATATTTTGTATTTGAGAGGTGACGCTAGGGTATATATTGTACTGGTGTAGTGACGCTAGGGTATATTTTGTACTGGTGTAGTGACGCTAGGGTATATATTGTACTGGTGTAGTGACGCTAGGGTATATTTTGTACTGGTCTAGTGACGCTAGGGTATATATTGTACTGGTTTAGTTACGCTATGGTATATTTTGTACTTCAGTTGTGACGCTAGGGGATATATTGTACTGGTGTAGTGACGCTAGAGTATATATTGTACTGGTTTAGTGACGCTAGGGTATATATTGTACTTGAGAGGTGACGCGAGGGTATATTTTGTACTTGAGTGGTGACGCTAGTGTATATTTTGTACTTGAGAGGTGACGCTAGGGTACATATTGTACTTGAGTGGTGGCGCTAGGGTATATTTTGTACTTGAGTGGTGACGCGAGGGTATATATTGTACTGGTGTAGTGACGCTAGAGGATATATTGTACTGGTTTAGTGACGCTAGGATATATATTGTACTGGTGTAGTGACGCTATGGTAAAATTTGCATTTGTGGTTACATGTTGTATTTGCGATGTGACGCTATGGTATATATTGTACTGGTTTAGTGACGCTAGGGTATATATTGTACTGGTTTAGTGACGCTAGGTAGTGACGCTAGGGTATATATTGTACTGGTTTAGGGACGCTAGAGTATATATTGTACTGGTGTAGTGACGCTAGAGTATATATTGTACTGGTTTAGTGACGCTAGGATATATATTGTACTGGTGTAGTGACGCTATGGTAAAATTTGCATTTGTGGTTACATGTTGTATTTGCGATGAAATTTCAAAAGTGTTGCGTATGCTCAAGTACGTTCTTCATATTTAAATATTGATTTAATTGTGTTTTTGTAATGTTTTCACGTTGATGCGATACATTTTTTTCCTGTTTAGTGCATACTTAATTTTGACTGGCGTTTTCATACTGGATTCCATATGTTTGAATATAGTTTTTAAAGTGTTTTTGATGCGCAAATCATGTATGATTTGTTCAAACTAACAACATCCAAGCCTCTGACCAAGACTTTATACACTTGAAGACTTTGATTTCAGATGACGTTTAATAAAGCCTTTACATTATCAAAGCATTTAGTATCACATCCAATGACGTTGGGATAATGGCGTTATTCTGTTTTGTTTTAGTGCCTCATCTGTTCCTGTTGTTGTGTTTGTATTGGCTTTGATCTCCCATTTTGTCCTTGTTTTTTGATGGCGTGGTTTAATTATGTGTTTTTGTGTTATCGCTGGGTTTTTTCTATTTTGCCATTGTGTGTTGTCAATATGGTTCAATTTTGTCAATATGTGTTGTTTTGATGTTGTGGTTCACTTTTGTCATTTTGTGTTGTTTTGATGCTGTGGTTTATTTTTGTCAATATGTGTTGTTTTGATGCTGTGGTTCACTTTTGTCATATTGTGTTGTTTTGATGCTATGGTTTACTTTTGTCATTTTGTGTTGTTTTGATGATGTGGTTCACTTTTGTCATTAAGTGTTGTTTTGATGGTGAGGTTCACTTTTGTCATTTTGTGTTGTGTTTGATGCTGTGGTTTAATTTTGTCATTTTAATAATAATAATAATAATATACAGCATTTATATAGCGCCCTATATAATTTGTAAAATTACTCTAAGGCGCTTTACAACATATGGATAATAGTAATGGTTATAATTGTGAAAACAAACAACAAAGGCTTGCAATCACTTTCATACATTTAACAAGCAATGTGCACATAATTGAACAAATAAAAGGGTGGTATTTACATGACGTCTTTGCAAAGATTCTAAAATGCAGACGTGAAGAGGTGAGTTTTTATGTCCCTCTTGAACTTGGCCAGATTATTCGACTTCCTAATAGCAGATGGTAAGCTATTCCACAACGTAGCCAAAACCCTCCCAAAGCATCTGTTTCCGTAGGTCACAGTACGAGATTTTGGGACACACAACAAAAATTCTGACTCCGACCGCAGTGATCTTGACGGCTGTTGTGTGTTGTGTTTGATGCTGTGGTTTATTTTTGTCAATATGTGTTGTTTTGATGCTGTGGTTTACTTTTGTCATTTGGTGTTGTTTTGATGTTGTGGTTCACTTTTGTCATTATATGTTGTTTTGATGCTGTGGTTCACTTTTGTCATAATGTGTTGTTTTGATGCTGTGGTTTACTTTTGTCATTTTGTGTTGTGTTGGCGCTGTGGTTTATTTTTGTCATTTTGTGTTGTTTTGATGCTGTGGTTCACGTTTGTCATTTTGTGTTGTTTTGATGCTGTGGTTTACTTTTGTCATTTTGTGTTGTTTTGATGTTGTGGTTCATATTTGTCCTTTCGTGTTGTGTTGACGCTGGGGTTTTGTTTTGTCCTATTGTGTTGGCGCTGTGGTTTATTTTGTCCTTTTATGTTGGCGGTGTGGTTTTGTTTTGTCCTGTCGTGTTTGCGCTGTGGTTTTGTTTTCTCCTTTTGTGTTGGCGCTGTGGTTTATTTTGTCTCTTCATGTTGACCCTTAAGTTTACATTTGTCTACATTGTATAATACTATTCTACTGTTTAAGAGGACCTACGTTTCTTTTGTAGATTTCTTGCTTGAAGCTGTAGATATTCGGGAATATATATGTGCATGATATTATCGGCAATCATTAACGCATTACGTTTGATTTATAGTTAATAGCTTTTATTAATCATTCCTAAATGTAAGTGGCTTTTCTCTAAGGACGTTAATGGGTTCGATTGATTGATGATGAGTCATATTTCTAATGCAATTTAAAGTTTAAGTGATTTCAGGACATTCATCTGTAAATCTGATTGAATAGTTAATCATGCATTAATGTTACTGAAATTAAAAAGACATTTATTGTTTTATTCAACTAACAGGCACGCTCGTTTTCCAGTGGCTTTTTACCATTGTCAGTTCCATTTGCAGTCATTTTTAATTGTGTAAGTATACACACTATCTTACCATATTGACTTGAACAAGTGCAAAATGTCAAAAGAATCGGATTGCAGTGAGGTACACATTGGTTGTGTCTTAAAAGATACAAGGCGGCATACTCTGCTTGTTGATGTCGTAGTCCCGTAAGCTTGCCGTAACCTTGACGACCACAGTTATCTCATTTGAGTAGTGGCACTATTTTTAATATACACGTGTTACTCGTTATCATTAATATTAGGTTCACCAGCACTCCTCTAATTAAAAAAGATAAATCAATCATATAACTAAGGAGTTTAACGTACATCTCCGTCTGTTTCAACAGCAGTTTAGACCAAATTTGACTTCCAACTGTTCGGTCCCTATATATATCCATCATCGATGGTTAATACGTATGAGTCTGAGGAAGAAGAATTTTTAAATTTGAGTCATTTCCCCCAATTTGGCCCCACCTATTCAACTCATGGGCAAACCTGGATATTGTTTTCTCATGCCATCTAATTGCCATCTCAACATATCTATTCTCACCATGTTTGAATATTTACTGCTGAAAATCGACAAATTATACCCCAAAGTGTTATTTCTCTATGTAAACTATAATAAACTTTTTTCTTCCACAAGGGCGAATAGATGACCCAAGGGGTTATGACATCGACAATTTAGATAAAGCACCTAAAAATGGGTCATAAGCATCCAATAATGAATAGTATTCAGTTCTAGTACATCCGAGTCTGCAGAAGAAGATTTTACTATACTATTGTTCACATCTTGTGCAAATTCTTATAATATACAATTTTTAGCGTTTTACTTAATTACTGCATAAAACTGCAAGAGATTGATAAGTTTGGTTGTTCCATATGAAAGTTTTACCGATGCACTGCATCATATCATAGCCCTTGAATTCAAGATACCTCTCTGATTTATAATATACACGACCACCGTATGATGGAACACTAATGTACGAAAAATGCTAATGATATATATATATGATCAATACGGTAGGTACTTAAGTCATCAGTACAAATTAATCGATTTGGTTTTAAGAACTCGTGCACCGTTACATACTTCCTTATAATAACACATTATTAACGATATGAAGAATGGAAAAACATTTTCACATAAAAGAAAAAAAACAATAATTGATGACTTTTATGATGATAGACACACCGATACGTCAAAGCAATAGGTTTTATATATCACCTGCCATCCGGGCATTAGACCCGTACAGGTGTATATCAACTGTAACGCGCTCGGAACATTATTGTCAAAATTAAAGAGGTGGGTGATGTATATCTTTAGGCCATCAATTTTTGTAGTTATATAGTTAAAAAAAATAGACCAACCGCGTGTTGGCTATTTCATCATTATAACATCCTATATTTTCCGGATCCATATTCTATAAATAAATGAATATATATATATACATTTGTATATATATATATATATGATAAGGTCGTACGTAATGATACGCAGATGTTAATAGCCTTCAATGACATTGATCTATACTAAAATACTTTATATGTATTCCAAGGTCATAAGTTTCAAAAAGACCACGTGAGCGTTCAATGGTAAAACTATTCATAATGTCACAATCAGTCGATTTGCATAAAATGCATCGTTGAATCATTTAAAGTTGACCACGATACTCATTGCTGTGATTCTGACAGATCCATGATGATTAAAACACATTAACCCCTAAAGACACATTTCAACTCTTCCAATTCAAAGGTTGGAATAGTTCATTATGAAACTTCATGGGTGAATGAGTTAATAAAAGTGACATTGCATTGGAACTAATTTGTAGTAATGTTATTTTTGTCGTCTGCTCAGGTTTTGTTCTGGATGCCATTCTACGACATTAAATACAACAGGGCCCGACTGGACGCTTTGCGTGAGGTCATGTCTGCTGACGTCATATCACAGGACAAGTAAGAGGGACGCCATCTTACCATGTTTACAGTCATATTATGGAATAATCAGATGTCATAACATTGTCGGTATAAATTACTGGTCTGACTGGAGAAGAAATTTATATATAATTTTCCATAATCAAATATTGTACGTAAATGTGTCTCAAATTTGTTGACTGGGAATAGGGAAGCGTGTTTCATCTTTATCAAAATGCATTACATTGTACTCAAATTTGAAATGTCATGACTGAAAAAGAGAATGTGTATTTGTCCACAGTCAAATAAAACTAGAAGAAGGGAATATATTGTTTGTCTAAAGTCAAAGAAACTGCATTGTATGTAAATGTGTTATGTTATGACTGAAAAGAAAATGTATAATTGTCCTTAGTTAAGATATTACTGTGTACGTAGGTTTGTTTAAATAGTCATAACAGGAAAAGAAAGTGTGTGTTTGTTCCAAAGCCAACATATGTCTCAAATATTTTGACTGGGAATAGGGAACGTATTGTTTGTCTATAGTTAAAGATGTCACATTGTACGTGAACACAGACAAAATTATGTCTCAAATATTTTGACTGGGAATAGGGAACGTATTGTTTGTCTATAGTTAAAGATGTCACATTGTACGTGAATACAGACAAAATTATGTCTCAAATATTTTGACTGGGAAAAAGGAAAGTATCACAAATATTTTGACTGGGAACAAGGAAAATATCACAAATATTTTGACTGTGAAAAAGGAAAATATCACAAATATTTTGACTGTGAAAAAGGAAAATATCACAAATATTTTGACTGTGAAAAAGGAAAATATCACAAATATTTTGACTGTGAAAAAGGAAAATATCACAAATATTTTGACTGTGAAAAAGGAAAATATCACAAATATTTTGACTGTGAAAAAGGAAAATATCACAAATATTTTGACTGTGAAAAAGGAAAATATCACAAATATTTTGACTGTGAAAAAGGAAAATATCACAAATATTTTGACTGGGAAAAAGGAAAATATCATTTGGCTATAGTCAAAGATGTATCATTGCATGTAAATGTCTCAAATATTTTGTCAGGAAAAGGGAATGATTAAGTATTTAACATTGTATGACTGAAATGTTTAAAACTGGAAAAGAGAACGTGTGAATATGTGAGCGCCATACATTCAAATGCTGTAACGTAAATATCACTTAATGATTTGTGCTACCTTCTACAATATTTCTGCAATTTATGTACATTTAGAATTATCTCCCCTTAGAATGTGTAAACTAGCATCATCTGCTACCTATCAATATCAATTTCGTGAAGGTCATCGATGCATGCTTTCTCCTGTACCTTTCAAATGTTCCATAACTGAAAAAAATACCACAGGGACCTGAGAATTTGTAACAACTATATTTGGACCTAAATTGAGGTATACAGAGTAATTTTACACTTTTTAGGGGTTAAGATGAATTTTCGGTAACAATAACACCCCCAATTGATGGTATATACCGTGTAAAAGTACTCTAAACACCTCAGTTAAGGTTCCAATATAGCTGCAACCAATTCCCAGGTCCCTGTGGAGTGTCTGCAAAAATACCCTTTACGATATATTTTTACAATGCTGTTAGTGTTTCATATAGAAAAGGCAGGCATATCGAAGTAATTCAGCAGATATCTTAAACGGTTATGATTAAAAATAAAAATTTATATTTATATATTTATATTTATACATCACTAACAATATATCACAAAATGAAATTAAATGGTGCTATGCCTTGTGTCTATAATGTATATGACTATGCAATGATTGGTGTAAGCTGTGTCTGTATGTGTTATGACATACTCATTAAATGTGTCATTAAATCATTAAACCAAAAATCTGTTTTTATGTTTCCATTAATTTAAGCGACAAATTAAGAACAGATTATCGCTCCTTGCACGTTACGCAGTGTACTGTGAGATCATTCTAACATAAACAAGTCTTTGGTTTCCACTCTGAGATATTACAAGAACAGATATCACAGTTCACACTGTGATATTGTCCGTCAGCATTCGACATCTATCATCAAATTCATCATACCCCCAGCAATCCAATGAATGCCACATTTACTGCGACACGAAAACACCAAAACTGTTTGGAAGACAGATGAGACAGCAGTGCTATTGCTATCAAGAAAGGGAAAGTCCACCTTCCGAAAATTGAAATAGTCAGGATTATCATACAGCTTAGTAATATGCCTCCCAAGATAGTCATGTCGATGGTAAAGGGCGGCGTCAACGATAAATTTAGATGGGAGTTGTGACGCATATATAATTTAGGACCCAAATGTTATTAACATCCGTAAAGAGACCGGATTATAAACGATAATGTGTTAACAGTTACCAAACATTGATTTCCTGGTTTTAACATTAAAGAATCACAATCACTGTGAACAATGTATACATTCTACCACAAGTATGAAACAAATTTAATCAACTTTAAGACACCCTATGCGGTTCCAACTGGTTCAACAAGAGTAGTCAATATAGGTCTAAATAAAATCGCAATAACTGTTTAATTTTTATAAATTTTATTTTTTAACAAAGTGTAAGCATTACAGTTTATTTACTTAATGAATTTTAATGATATGTGTAATGAAATATCGCTCGTATATATACCCTCACATACATACACGCTCGCACAAACTATTTTTGTCTACCCTTACAAAGCTCTATACACAAATACACTGGCATCTTTACACAACGATCTTGATATTTCTCTGCACAACATTCTTATATCCTCATTTTTAAAGAAATATCAATGTTAACAGGCAACAAACGCACAAATACATCTACATAAGAAGATCTGTATATTTCGCTATATAAATTATATTACATATGAAATATATATTTTTTCTACACAAGTACGTTTTTACTTCTCACCACAAGTACCTCATTATGTTTATACACAAATAACTATACAACAACAACACATCCAAATGTCAAAACGCAATTGTCCTCGATAGCATAAATTAAAACAACAATCATGATTACTAGTCAAAGTAAAACACATGGAACGTTGTATAATATAACGCTATATCATAAGATCATTTTATATTGTAATTGACACAATCTAATGATATCAGTTTAAATATTCATATTTCAGTCAATTGTTATGATCGATAGCTGGTTTTCTTTCTCTGGGTGAGGCATTATATTCTTATGATATTTAAAATAAACCGCACATGAATATTTCATGTTGTTTCGTTTTATTGTTGAATGGAAAACAATACATAATAAATGTTTTGCATAAATTAAAATAATAAATCAAATCATTATCAGATTTTTAGCTAATTGCAAGATTTGATGAGACAAACATAATTTGATGGATGGATATTCAATGTTTGAAAGAAATAAGACATTGTTTCTTAAGCTCGGTTAATTATCATTATTGGCAGGTATCGCCCTTTTCGGCGTCGAAAATGATGTTCATTATTCAATAAGAACTAAGCTTGGTACTGGGAAGGAATAGCGCAATTTCGTTGTTTTATTTCAACAAACGTGTTGTGGTATAGACAGTTGCAAAATAAGCACATGCCCCTGTCATATGATTGAACGAAATAAAATAGCACGTGTCAGTGCAATTGGTTTACACTGTGTTTTATGCTTTTTGATGCATGCTGTTTCAAACCTTCTTCTTTCCTTGTAATTTCTGTTCCTTGTTAATACGAAAGAAATCAGAGTGAACTTTGAGTCACTCTCTCGTCGAGCCCAAGCTCTAGTTTACTTACTCGACGAGAGGAACGACGTTTGACAACAACGCACCCGCGCAGAATAGACTTCCGGTGCGATGGCATTATGGGACTGCTTAACCACCCTGTTATTTTCAGAGATCCTGACACAGGTATTTAAAATCATCTGCTTTCATCAGAATCCTCATCGTAGTCTGACAATGAATATGGATCGTGTGGCTCTGCTTGATCTGTACAAGGAACAAAATAATAAGATTATTAATTACATTTTTTACGTTATTTTATAAAATCATTGAAAAGTTTTAATATCAAAATAAATTGTCACTTTAAATAGAACTATAACAATGCAGCCGCTCATAATGGCAAGGATTGGAACTGAGTATGATACAAATGGACAACAGTGGATACTTAGAAAAAATATTTGTAATAATATAATACAGTATAAGGTCTTTGGGAGAGCACTTATTACGTTTTTAAATATTGTTGTTTTACCATTTGATGAAAAGAAATTAATGTGAATTTTGATGTCTGACCGAAATTTGCAGCATTGTAACGTTAGAGGATTTTAACGTATAACTTAAGTTTGGCGTTATAAGGCCATCGACTCAGTATTCAATATGTTTTCTACCACATCAAGTTTTGTTGATCGATAGTTGTTAATCTTCAATTTGTACTTTAAGCTATACAAAAAAAGTAATTCATTGGATAATCCATCATTGAGAATAAAATCAAAAGCTAGCTTGTCATCCTCATTACACAATGGTTAAACAGTGAGTGGTTATACCTACCCTCGGGTTATATACTTCAATGGGGATGTTGAGATTTTTTTGTTCGTTCTTACACCGTATTATAAGTCAAGTTGTTTATAGTGATTTACTTGACTTTGATAAAAATGATATTTTACTGCACTAATGATGCTTAATGTTCATACTTGTCTTACCAAGCATTGTTGCTATTCTCTTCTCTTACTAAGCATTATTGCGGTACATCTCACTATGAGCATTGGTTAAGTTTTATATCGCTTAACGTCCTGTTGTAAGCTAAGGGCATTTAAGGACGTTCAATATGAGCGATGTCATTAGAAGGTTGATGACGTCACAAATGACCATATCCAGCTAGACGTCAGAACTGACCAGAAGCATTTGCACAGTTCCTGATGTTGGGCCAAGAGGCAGAACATTTGATTCCGAGAGCATTATCGTTTGATAATTGAAACATGAACTCCATGGATGACCATGAATATTTGAACAAAGATTCGATTACTAAATTAATTATACGCTTATACGAGTCAGATTTATTTGATATTTGACAGGAGATCATTGACTTCACTCTATAACTTTGACAAGAACAATTGGTATTTCTATGTGCATGCAACAGGAAAGAGAAAACCCACCTAATTCCGAAGACATATATTGAATAAACCCTCTTTCCCAAAACTCATATTATGTCGGAAAGGAATAGCAAATCACGTTATCTTTGCCCTGGTTGTATTTTTTGTACAGTTGGCCTCTAAGAACGGGGGCCCTGAGCAAAGATAGCAATGTACTGGCCTATTAATCCTTACTTATTCTATAGTTGTGTTATTGAAGGAGAGGCTTACTATTGCTGCTCAACTCCACTATTTTGAATAAATAACAACATGATCATGAATATGGAAGTATCATTGGATGGAAAACTGTTCCAAGTTTCGTAAAACATATTTGTTAGAAAAGTTATTTTCATGTTTTTACCTTGAGTTTCCACGTTGCTGTAAATGTTCCAGCCTGCTGGCATTTGGAAATTGGTCTGAGGCTGCTGTTTTTGGTATGTTTGCGTGTTATACAAACCTCCCTCGTAGGTCGGTTGTGTGGTGTGTTCGAAATTCGTCTGGTAATTGACATCAGGCTGGACCCACCCGCCATTATTATTGTACGTACCATCTGACCAGTACTGACCGGCATTTGCATCGTAGGACGGATTCTGATTCCACGCCGTGTTCGGGTTCTCACCTTCATTCCACTGCTCGTTGAAGTTACTCTGCGGGTATTGTTGTTTCTGGTATCCATATTGCTCACCACCATTGTTGTTATTTTGTGTCGTGAATTCACCTAATTGCTGAGTGTAGTCGTAAGGTGAATATGGATTATCTTGTTGTCCTAAATGTGGATAGTCTCCATTTTGTTGATCGTTTTGTGGGTTTTGACTGATTTGTTTTACATTCCATTGCATTTCTTGCATGTGTTTACCACCGTGCTGGCCATTGTGTTGTTGTTGGTGACCTGTTTGACGGTTATGATAATGCTCCAACGTATTGCCCCCTGGTAACTGTTGTTTCGGTGACATCCAGTCTGTTGTTGGTCTTTCAGTGGTCGATCCATCGATCTGTTGTCTACTTTGCCGACCGTTGTGTTGTTCTTTACCTGTACTACGAGTCTCAGAAAAGTCCCAGTTGATGCCACCTGCGATAGCTGATGATATGGTCTCAAATCTTTTGGTGGCCTTACAGTGGTCGACGTATGCATCCGAGAGTGAAGGATAGAGCCAGCTTGATTTTTATCTGAAATCAAGCTCTGCGAAAATTCATGTGCACTTTTAATAAGATTATAAGGAAGTCCGCGATTTCCTGTGACCTGTGTCCTGTGACCTGTTTGACGGTTATCATAATGCTCCAACGTATTGCCCCCTGGTAACTGTTGTTTCGGTGACATCCAGTCTGTTGTTGGTCTTTCAGTGGTCGATCCATCGATCTGTTGTCTACTTTGCCGACCGTTGTGTTGTTCTTTACCTGTACTACGAGTCTCAGAAAAGTCCCAGTTGATGCCACCTGGCGATAGCTGATGATATGGTCTCAAGTCTTTTGGTGGCCTTACAGTGGGCGACGTATGCATCCGAGAGTGAAGGATAGAGCCAGCTTGATTTTTATCTGAAATCAAGCTCTGCGAAAATTTATGTGCACTTTTAATAATATTATAAGGCAGTCCGCGATTTCCTGCGTGCTGTCCACTCAGAGGATGCTTTTTAAGATTTGCATGAACATCAAGTTTATTCGCGAAAGGTTCTACATAATTGTTTGATGATTGTGGTATTTGTTTGATATTAAAATTCTTGCGCTCTACAAATTTCCTTTCTGGATGTAAAGATATTTGATGTTGGTCATGTTGATTATTATTGTGATGAGATTCTAAAGTAACACGCGATCCAATATGACCATGTCCATCGTAACCTTGCCAACCGTGACCTTGACCGCCCTGCCCTTCTTTAGATTTGACGTTAACACTCATTGGTAGCGGAATACTGGTACTCGTGCTTATTTTTAAATCCATGTGTTTGTAAGCAGACTGAATATCAAATAAATCAAGCGTGGTCCTAGGCTCAATACTGTTCAGACGAAGGGATGATTCTTTTGATTTAGATTTCAACTCCATGTTAGCTTTCTTTAACCATTGTTGTTCGAGGGTATACGGGTCCATAAAGTCAACTGTCCTCTGTCTGATGATGAACTCGCCATTATTTGAGGAGCCAGGATGATTCATTTGCAAGTCATGAACTTTAACAGGTTGTTTAGAAGCTTTCACATCTCCTTTTATAAAATCTGTGCTACTATTTGAAATTGTGTGCGGATGAAATGAATTGGATTTCGTCTGAACTTTATGTTGTGAATCTATATGACGTTTCATTTGCGATGTTGGTTTGATATTAACAACTAAGTTAGGTTTTTGAATTTGTTGTTCAGAAACGTCGGGTAATGACCTCATTTCCACCGGTTCACTAGGATGATAGTTCGCTTGATCTGTTACGTGCATATCCGGCTCTTGTGCTTTAATCTTATCTATCGTTTCATATTTGGGTTCTGCCTTCACTGCTTCGGTTTGTTTACTGATACTGTTCATCAATCGAAGATTCAACCCCAGTAAACTACCTACAGTTGTTGGCAAGAGCGCGTTATATCCTGTCGTCCTTTCCAAAGGAGGAAGAGTGGTAGGGGCAATTGTTTGATCCTGTAAACTGTTGAACACTTGCTCAATTTCATTCTCATTAATACGAATCGTTTTTGTTCCCATTGTTTCTGTTGGGCTCGTTTTAGCGATTTCTCCTCTTTCATGAGAAAGCTTCCTTATAGCTGTTTGCTTCGACGATTTCTTGGAAAATGTACTAGGTTGTAATTCAGTTCTCACTGTTTTATAATTTTTTGCTGGTTCCTTTTCAATTTTAAGAAAACTTAAACCGGGCAAAAATGAGGAGGATTTCGTCAAAATTTGCAGTCTATGTAAGCCGCTTGGATTTGATTTTGATTTTGATTCTGTTTCAGAAGGTGAGTTATCCTTCATACCAAGCAGAAGACTCCATAGATCATTAGCAGCAAAGACTGGAACCGTTGATGTCTTCTTGCTTTCTTTGGTAGATTTAAACAACATGGAATCTGACAATACTCTCGTTTTCGATATGCTATTGGCATGATTCCATCCAGATTTTCGGGTGTCATGCTGTGGTACCATGCTATTACATAAGACAGCTACAACAGAAATACATTTATATCATCTATACAGTAACATAAATCAATGTGGTGAAACACAGTACTCACCATTACTAATTATTTGTGTTATTTGATTAAAAATGTAATTTGTTTCACATTCAACACAAAATAATAATAATATTTTGATATCACCACCAAAGTATCTTTATGTATCCTCCCTCTTCTCATAAAAAAGAATGATTTTCCCATCGTATGCAGTACATATCTTTCAAATGGGTTAGCAGAAATCTATGAATGTATGCACGATTGAAAAAATAGTATTTACTTCCAAAGAATGAATGCATATTTTGTTTAACTCATACTTTCATCTCGGAAAAGCTATTAATATTTACACTACCCCTTTTTTTAAATGAAAAATACTTTTTTGTCAGATTCAAATATTTTTATAAAAGGTTCTGCTTTTAAACTTTCGTAATATTGAATATGTCAAAAGAAATTGTGTATCTCTTCCTAAATCCTCCAACATAATAGGGGATCCGTTTTATTTTGTTTCTTTTAGTCATTTAGTTTTTTGTGTTATTTTTCATCTTTTGCCGGAGCAAAACTCAAAAGAGCTTCAATTGAACAAAATAGGTAATGAAATATCAATAATTTTCCACATTGTTGCATATAATGTATTATTGAACTTTAAACTTTCATAGCAAACATTAACTTGCTACATTAAAAAATGGCGATACAATGACACTTTCAGTGATAAATTTAATGTCAAAAGGGTTTACTTTTTAGCATTGTAAAGAGTGCAAAAATATTCATTTTTGGTGGGGATATTCGCATGGCAATCAAATCGGTCATATTTTTATAACTTGTATAACAGGTTATGTAAATATCAGGTATCTATTTTTTTTAACACATTTCTCGATTCATGTTTGCTTTTTAAATGAATCATACTTTGTTAAATTTTAAAAAACCGTTACACTAGATAAAAAATACAATTTGAACGTGCTTAAGTCTCAGAGTAGTAAATCCTTAAGACATTGACAATGGATTAGTCAAGTTGTTTTAACTAAAGACTATACCAATAGACAAAGTATCTATAAGTGATATATTAATCAATTAATCAATATCATATTTGAATCAAATAGCGATTGTAAGAACAAAATAAGGAATCAATAGGCTGTCAGTGAAAGAATTTACAGTCAATGATGAATTTATTTTTATCATTTTGTATACCAAACAAATTTAAAATAAAACAATGATTTAGATTAAGTCATCTTCTGCGATTGAATTACTATTGTATATATCCTATATCAATGAATTAAAGGGTTTATTACGACTCACCTTGCTGGAACAGAAGCAGAGACACGAGATAAAGTACCACAGCTGCCATGCTGAGTATTCTACAGATCCGTGATACGTGCTTCTGTGTGAACACATCAAATTGAAATGTTAATGGTCTGGTGGGAGCAGTGTTTTTATTGAAGCTATCAATCGTGCGGCTGATGAATCGACGCACCTTAATGAAGCAGGTTGATGAGTCACCTTGTCACCAGCACAGGTATTTCATATAGGTAAATCAAGGTGAAATCCGAACAGATTTTCCTGACCTTTGTCAGACTAATAAGATACCTTCATTTCATTCAAAATGCAAACATGAATAATCAAAAATTATCTTCACAAGCTTTATCTTTTGTACCCACAAAGAAATGTGTTTAATGGTATTTAATTCTGAAAGAACGACAGTTTTAAACTAACCAACATTTGACACCATTGATTCATCATTGAAAGGCCGGTATTTTTTTTTAATCTGATATCGAAAGCATTTTGATAATATTTTTTTAAAAAAACCAAAAAAACAAAAACCTCAACAAGAAATAAAAAATTTCAATGAGTGTTTAATTCCTTATTTCAACAATTTGCTAAATTATAAATGAACTCATACAAATAAGATTTTAGAAGTGTAAATACAGTTATAATACATTATGAAAAGATATAATATGGTATGCTTTCTGGTCATACATGTACATAAGCATTAATGGCACTACAGTTGTACAATTGTTTAACATCAAACCAATTAAAATGACACCCTCATAAAAATGAGGCGATCAACCGATACATTTTATTTGTAAGAACGTGTCTCAATTACCTTTTATAACATCTTAATATACCTCATTTATTGCTATATATGTTCATATGTTTGCCTGTGAACTGCTTCATTTTTATTTTATTTTTATAGTTTTTAACGTTCATGCAATTTTCTTTTTGTATCGAAGTCATGATACTCGTGTTTTTTTTCAATCTGCTCGAAACTGGTCATATTATTTAATATAACTTAATTAATAACATTTACACACGTAAAATGTAATCAGTTTTCCGTTACTAATGAGACGTCACTGTATTTATGTATTAAACAACTACATGATAGGACAATTTTCTTGTTTTAAAATGGGATATACAACCGTAACGAATTGTTATTCTTTTGTATGATAGATTTATATATCATAATCCATGTCAATTGAAGTGGGCATACTGTATATCACATGAAATTTGTTGTATTAGTAATTTTTTGATGCAAAACTACATCTAATCATTATGATCGTGATTATCCAACACACAAAGCACTTCCTCAAACAGTACTTCAAATTACAACGTTAGCTAAAAGATCTGTGACTTTTCATTTGGCCATATCTATTGAAAACATCTTTTATAGTTCCAGGTGTTTTTCTTAATGATCGCCATGAATGCTTTTGCTACAAGAGTTAGTTAATTATCATTCATCTTATTCATATATTACAATAAATGTTACATGTATACATCATTAGTTGTATAAATGCTATTTCATATTCAGAAACGCCCTAATTTCCTTAAGATCAAGCATGAAGTTAGTTGCTTATTGGTACTAGCGGTACACTTGTAAGTGTGCATTAGAAACCGTTTTACAGCATGACTACAGTTTTGATATTTTGTTTCTGAAAAGAAAACCATACCTAACGGAACTTTTTTGAAAAAATACTATAGATGAAATAAACAAAACATAATCAATAACAATATTCTTAATGTAAAAACTAGTGCTAGACCAGGATTCGAATCCTGCACTTTGCGAATTGTTATAGATTCGCTCTAACCGCCTGAGCAACTTGGACAACGGAGTATCCTAATCAAATTTTGCTGCAGTTATGTCCAAAGCAGAGGTTACTGAAGATACGAATAAGCAGAGTGCAGTGGGACAGGGTTTCTAAACAGCAAAGTATTATCATGCCTATACATTTTATTATACCAGTATATCAATCTGATCGCGCTCCAAACATAGCTTATTAAATCAAAACCAGTTGAAAACAATGTGGAATTTTGTCTTCGTTGATGTATCAAATAATGTCTCATATTTTAGCGTTAATTAAGTGAACGCAGGGTTATTACATTTTAACTTTTCGCTGATTCATTACATACCTGTTTGTAATTAATGATATGAGATGTAAATGTCATTAGGATTAATGATACTCGTAAAGGAACATTTACAGAACACATGTACAGACTGAATTCAAGAATAAAAAAACATCGCATTAACATTATCAAATATATATCTTCGCATAAAGTATCAAATTCAATGCATCAATCATCGCATGTTACAAGTACACAGTGTGGTTATTGTGTAATCGTTATTGATGTGTACATCAATGAAACAATAAGATTTTTGATAATGATCAAGTGTTTTATTAAAATAAATACACACACTAACATTCTCCCTAAAACTGATAACTAATAATTGATAAATGGATATTAAAACATAAATATACAATATTCCAAATCAAAGTGACGTTCTAATTAGTAAATTATAGTGTCAGCAAAGTGCTAAACACCAACCAATCAATCAAAAAATCATATACAGCAACGAATATTTTAAACACTGAAAGATACTAGAAAGAATGATTATTTTTAACGAGATAGTTTCTGACATATAAATGGAAATCAAACATCAAAGTGATAAAAACTGTAAATGTTATATACATATAGTTTACAACATATAGTATATTTACTCTTTAAAGTACTGCAAGATAAAATATTTAAAAACAGTTATTACTTATGAAATATGCTGCTATTATCACATATACCCTCTGATAGCTTGTAACCGAAGGATTGAATTTGTACAAAAAATAGCCTTCTATTACAAGAGGGCATATGCGATAAAAGCAGCATATTTCATAAGTAATAAATGTTATCATTTATGCAGTTTATGGCGTATAATTATTTCAAAGTGACAATTTATCTTTGTTATATGTTGTGACAGGTAAGTGTTCATGTTCCTGTCTTGAAAAAAGGCGGATTGCCCTGAAAATCTAACAAATTCTTATGTCTACAGTATTGTTATTACTTGTTATGACTGACTGTAATATTACGTGGGTCCGTTAAGAGGACTTCTCTATTTAATAATACAGCAAGCTCTGAACCAAGTAAGTGTGGTTCCTTCTCAACAGTGCACGTCCCAGGTGTTCTTGGCCGTCTTTCCCACCTTCCTTCAAGCGTCCATGTGAGTATAACCTTTATATTACTGTTCCTTCTTGGCAAAGAAGTCGTGGTTGGTTATAGATGGTAATGTGAAAGTGAAATACTCTGAAGTGTGACGTTATCATTTTGATCTAGTAAAAACAATATCACAGTTACTGGTCATTGTGATTGTTATCCCACTATCAAAGAACAAAATGGCTAGTCACTCTGGTTCTAATATGCTAAAGTTCAACATGTTGTGCCATTTTGGTACCGCTATACTCAAAGTCCATATAGTTAGTTATTCCGGTTCTTACATGCTAAATGTCAACATGGCTTCTCATTTCGTTTTCTCTTTACTCAAAGTTTACACGGCTAAGTATACTGGTTCTAATAAACTAACGTTCAACATGTCTTGCCATTTTGTTTGTGCTATACTCAAAGTTAATATGGCTAATTATTCTGGTTCTAATATGCTAATGTCAATATGGATTGCCATTTTGGTTCCGCTGTTCTCAAGTCAATATGGCTAGTTAATCTGGTTTTTATATGCTTAATAACAATATTTGTTTTTATGCTGGCTCTCCTGTACTATAGACAAAGTAAATCGTATTCGTTTTATTCAAAACAATTATCTGGTTTATATTTTACACTTGATAGGCTTTTATGTAGAAAGTGACTGATCAGTGTGTCCATATGACATGCTCGAGGTATGCTTTTTATTGATAGTATCACGACTGACATACATTTCATCCTGTATTTCATATATGGTATTTCATATATGGTATTTCCCAAACCTCATTATCTAATGTTAATCGATGAGCAATACACATTACACAACCGAATAAAAACACAAATGATCAATTTTGGGTGTCATACAATCATTACCACAATTAAGTGTTAAATAGCACCGTAATTAGTCACAATTTAATTTAAGTCCTTGACAGCAAACGGAATACTAATAGCGTCAATGATGAAGGAATGTGGAACATGGATAATACCCGAGGGTGTCGAATTTGGGTCAGAACTGAGTCTTTGCCAAGGTTCTGACATCAAGTTCTACACTCGAGGGTAGAATATCCGAATCTCACAATAGGAATAATAGAATCTCGATAGGTGAATCTCAACCCGAGGGGGGGATTCTTAAGATGCCAAACACGAGGCTTTGCCGAGTGTTTGGCAACTTAAGAATCTTTCCCCGAGGGTTGAGATTCCCCTATCTCACCAACAAGGTGGTAAATGATTCTTTTTTTCTTACCCTGTTCATCTTATTGTGTATCGAATACAACATGTAATGTTAACGCCACATGCTAAATTCAGGGTTGACGTGACGTTGATGGGTTGTTGACGTGACGTCATTGTATTGTTGAAGTGACGCCATACCATTGTTATGAATAGGGGAATCCCCCCATCTCAACCCTAGGGTGAGACAAGGAAATCTCACACCGTCAAAATGACGTGTACAAGAGGAAATAAAGCATGTCCGTTTGCCTGTCAGTCTGTCTGCATATAATTGACTCTTTTTCTCCCACCTCTTAACCGCAAATTTTATAAAACAGGTGATAGTCAATTCAAGTGCAACAGCAATTACAGCAAACTTACTTGGTAATGTATACACAAATTCAGGCCATATCTGGAACGAAAAGAAAACTATTTTATCGTAAATATTCCTCAAATTTGAAGATCCCTGCCAGACATTCGAGGCAAGCTTGTAACACACATTCATGTTCTTGAGATGGTGTCACTTGCCGACGGCAAAATGGTTTTACTTGTTTTCAATTGTGACGTAAAAAGAAATGCCAACATCTGATTACATCGTCATAATAGAACACGTCATTGAGTGCATCAATGTGTAGGTACACGTGTCCCACATGTGTCTTTTTCATACACAATAATACCATATTTCTTGTTACAATTTTAGAAGGATGCAGTTAATACTCAGTAAGCCATTGAACACTTGTATATATGACTTTTTCATTTCATTTAGACTGTACTGGGTTTGTTTCCGTGTTCATTTATGACGATGCATAGACGAGGAAAAAGGCCAATAAACGTTAATTCAAGTTGAACAATGTCAATATTGTATTAGATGAGATAAAGATGCCGGTAAAAGACACATAGGTGATTACATCCATAAACTTGTGATTGATACAGTATGTCAAAAATAATTACATTGCCCCATACAGCTGTGTGGACCTTTATGAACACATCAGTGATGCTAGAGGCCAAATAGGTGGAAATACAAAAACGGACTAAACTACTTTTGAAACAGAAGAGGAGGCATATAAAACCCCTAAATTATATGAATTTCAAACATTAAAGGATTATTGGTTAATTTCAAATTAATAATGAGTACAGTGTGTATATTATGAATCCTGCCACTACTCATAAGAGACAATTGTGGCCATGAAGGTGATGGGAAAGTTCGATTTCGCTCTTTGAGGATTTGTTGAGTATGCTTGGCATTTAGAACGGTTTACATAACTTACGCTGACAAACGTTTTGGTAATTCGTTCACTCAATAAGTTCCTGATTCAATGTGTCCAAAGTAATGATATTAGATAGGAATATCAATGCTTGTAACGTTATCAAATAAATCATTATTTAACAACGCTACGCACCTTTTGTTTGACATCATGCATGTCCCTTGACGCACTTGAATAAGTAAGGAAATAAGAGTTAAATGATTTTGATGAAGATTTATTGCTCATGAAAAATCCCTTTTTTTGTCATTTGAATAACGTAGACTGATCGGACCACAATTAATCTTATGAATATTTATCATGTGAGCATGTTATAAATCAAAACATTTCTATTTAATATTATAATCCAACATGACATCATAGTTTTCTCTAGTATATGTTTAATCATTAACGTGTATGTCCTTCACGTGAAATAAACATATTTACGTAAATGTTAACAATGATTTGAGCAGGTTGTCTCCCTTTCCCTTGTGTAACTTAATTTATATGCGAATTATAAAACAAGATAATAAGATGGTTTAATGGTTGTTATTATTTAATACATCAATCAGAATAAGGAATTAATTCATCAATGTACAATAATGAGTTGGTTATATTCTCTATATGTCAGATACGGTGGTAGTAGTAGAATAATCATAGGTGTTTGTGACGTCAGTTGTATGTATTACTGCAATACATCATCTTGGACACAACTACATATGTTACTGAAATACAGGTTAACACATGGTTATCAAACGTTCTAAAGTTATACAGCAGGTGGGTTACTCGTGCACAGTTATCCTTTTTTTTTTTTTACTTTTCTGAAGGTTGAAGATTTGACTATAAGTATTCCCGTGGTTGAACAGTTGACTATAATAATGTCTGGTGTGTGATGTATAGTAGTTACCGTCAAAACTAATACACACTTAATCAATGTAAATTAAAGTCGATCACTTCTTATAAATACAAATTCAATCATTCTAGCTTTTTCGCATCAGTCGACCGTTTCTGTCTATCGAGAGATAGTTATGTGCCTCCTTTTTGCAATGTTGACGGTTTGATCCTCTTCAATTCAATCATTCTAGCTTTTTCGCATCAGTCGACCGTTTCTGTCTATCGAGTGATAGTTCTGTGCCCCCTTTATTCTAGCTTTTTCGCATCAGTCGACCGTTTCTGTCTATCGAGAGATAGTTCTGTGCCCCCTTTTTGTAATGTTGACGGTTTGATCATTCAATTCAATCATATTAGCTTTTTCGCATCAGTCAACCGTTTCTGTCTATCGAGAGATAGTTCTGTGCCCTCTTTTTGTAATGTTGACGGTTTGATCCTTCAATTCAATCATTCTAGCTTTTTCGCATCAGTCGACCGTTTCTGTCTATCGAGAGATAGTTCTGTGCCCCCTTTTTGTAATGTTGACGGTTTGATCCTAGCGAACGATTCATAGGCTGAATGGTCCACAACGTCAGCCTGTTGCATTGTCCGCTTGACCCATGTCCGATCATCAAGCGACAAGCTTGTCTTGCTGGTCCAGCGGTAAGGATTACTGCCGTACAAAGTCGGTCTTTTATTATCCTTGGAGTGGGTGGTCGGTCCATATTTGTCCTTTGGTAAATCTAAACCCTGCTCAGATACAACTCTTTTGAAATTTTCTAAATCAGATTTAGCTTTTGAACGCTCACGTCGAATCACTGCAAGCTTACGCTGTCGAGAATCAGCCGCCTCAACAAATATTTTCCGTTCCGTTTTGTCTCTTTTCTCCTCAAGACTCTGTTTTGAGATCATTGGGGCAAATACACGCGCTGTCTGTTGCTCCCTTAGTTTTCGCAATCTCTTTTCTCTTTTCCGGGCGTGATCAATAATTGGTAAAGATCTCTTGTCGTCCAAAGTCGTTTGCTGAGTAGTCTTACTCATCAAAGACTTCGACGTTTTCTTCGAAGAGTTATCGGTCGTGGACACAGAGCCACTCTCTTCATCCCTCGATGACGTAGAAGCTCTGTGTGACGTACTCTGCTGAATAGAAAGTGTGTCTAAATACTCTAATCTCTTTTGAAGCAACAATGTAGTGTTTTCTGTTTTGTTCTCCTGTGATGGTGCTGTTGTCGGTGCAACGACTCGTCCATGAATGCGTTCCCGCACTTCCGGTGGTGATAATGTAGACCACGATCTTCTCATCTTGGCATAAGGACGTTCGGAATGCCGCCCGAAGAACCCACCACCATAATGCACAACGTTCTTGGTCATTTTGAGGTAACCGAGTTTTGACAATGACGCACTTAGATCGGGCAATTTGTCTATAGACCGAACAATAGCTTTCTTTACGTCGTCACTGTATATCATATTTTGTGAAGAGGATTTTGGTTGTTCAGCGGCTTTCATCTGGTTGAAAATGTTATTGCCTATACGTAAAGATGTTGAGTATGTCACACTGGGGTCCTTGCCTCGTACGTCTGATAGGTCGTTGGAACCCAATAGCACACGCGATTCTAAACGCTGTTTTCTTTTTAGCTTCTTAAACTGTATCGCTTTAAAATTTCTTCCTTTCTCAATTTCACTACTTTTGTCTAATGTTTGATGATTTTCGTCACTGTTTGGAGATGTCCTACCATTCTGATCATTGACTATTATTTTACCACTGATTTCTCCTTTAATTCGTACCAATGCTCCTCTATTCTTCTGCTGGAAGTCCCAGAGGGTCTCGCGCCTTTTCAGTCCCTCGTCCTTTGGATTATCAATTAGATAACGTCTGAGCTTTCCAATGTGCGTTTTGGAGTGCTCCAGATTACCAACACTGCCGACATTGAAGGCCTTGTCTATCTTGGGAAGAAGGGGTCCGTTCACTGTCGCCATTTTGTTCAGTTGAGGAGTTCTACTGCACCACAAACATTTTTACAGGATAATGATATAGCAATCGGCTTGCATGATCCTCCATTAAAAGGGAATCTGAAAATAACAAAACCAGAAACGCCCTTAAATGTATGTACATGGATTTTATATTTATTTTTTTAATTTATTTTTACAAAATACAGATTTATTAAACGAGCATTTTGTCAATGTATCACACAAGTAGTTGTCCTTTATCAATAATTGTGGAATTAATAGAATAGGGAAGCTTGCTAAAAATAACCTTCACTTTTGATTGTATGTAATGATAAAATACATATACAATATGCAGTATCATACGATTCCATTGGAACGTTACAATAACAAAATCATACAATGTACAAAACGACATTTCTAAAAATAAATTTGACATCGTTCAAAATATTAGATTGGTTATGCATTGCTAATCAAAAATTAGTCCTGAATTGGTTTCTCAAGTGGTTTATGATACACAGGCATTCGATAATGTAATATGTGCTAGGCCTAACCTTAGCACGAATAAAAACGATGCAAAACATTGTGTGTTGAACAGGTCTGTGATTTTGACAATAAAACACATTTGACATTAAATGACTAGACTATTGCTAGCATGCTTATTTTTGTTCCCCTAAATTCGAGATTAATTTTACTAGTTGATTACCTTTTCAGGTATTGAAACTGATAAATGTACAAAATAGGATTCGATATCTTTTATTGCTTAATTTCTTCACTTAATTTGTTCATGAAAGTCATAACAGAACAAAAAGATATATACGTCAACACACAATGACCAAATCGAAACAAAAGTCCAACACGTACAGACAACAGGTACCAATCAGTCACCCAAACAGACAAAAAACTACATAATAAAAAAACGATATCCCCCAAAAAAGCTTAAGCACCCCTGTAAACGAAAAATAGGTCATGATTTCGCCGTTAATTTTCTCCGAGTAAATTGAGGTCTCTCTGATCGAAAACCTTTTCTACCTGATAAGCTAACAGGACATTTTCTATCCCGAAAATTCAAATATCACCACTTGAAACAATCTACGCACCACAAAATAATCTTCTTACTGCTTTCGTCTTTCCATACTATGTATTTGTAAGCATAAGATGTGTATCATAACTTGTGTTTGTTTCCATTGATTTCCAGTATGTAAATAACGATGTGTACTTATGCGTTTAGATATGTTGACCCTCAAGGCGCTTTTTTCCGGCTCAACAAATGTTAATAATATAAATTAAAAAACATGTTTCATTATTGTTATAAAATAAATAAGGTTTATATATATGTGATTAATGCATATAATACCAACCATGACCTACGTATGCTGTAGAGAAGAATTAACACAACAATAATTAGAATTTTGTTTTTGTGAACAAAAACATATGTTTCCCCTTTTTAGCCAATAGACAAACTTCGGTATAAAAAATTAACAAAGGGCCATATTTCTTTATATAGTGGGGCAAGAGACCCTAATTTGGAATACGACACTCCTACTTCCCAAGATACATTAAAACTATAAAAACTTTGGTCAACGTAGGTGAAATAACATGGAAATTATGTCGTGGACAAACTTCGGTATTAAATATAAACAAATGGCCAAGTTCTGTATATAGTGAAACACGAAACCTAATTCCAGAGCACTGCACACCTTCTGTGGGTGATGCAGGTATACTTCAAGTTTGATCAAGATATCTTTAACGGTTGGACATTTACGAGCCGGACAAGAATTTACTGAAAATGTTGCACTTATTTGACCTTTGAACTTGAGTTGAAGGTCACAGTGACCTAAACTGTTAAAAAGGTATGGCCTGGACAAGTTGCGATAAGAAGAACCAGAAGAAGAAGAAGAACCAGAAGAAGAAGAAGAACCAGTACTAATACAATATGCCTCCCTTCATTCGAAGGGGAGACATAATAATAAAGGCACATCATTGTTTAACATAACGGGCTACCTGATAAACGAAATAGACAAATCAATACACATGACAAATATATTATACTTGAGTATAAGGTATATAAGGTCTTATATCGATCATAGTATGTGTGAACGTTTGACACGTATGCTGTAATGTGTGTGTACCTGCCACTCAAGTCTCCAATAAGCTTCAGACAACTGTCAATCTCTCAGCGTGTTACCACTTACAGGTGTCAGTATGTACACAGTGTTATAACAGGCAGTGGTATCACCTAGAACAGGTTAGACGACCTTTCTTGGAGAAACGTTCATTGAAGTTTTGGCGTTTTCAATTGTCTCTATTTGTAAAAAGGATGATTGTTAAAATTTAATCCTAATTCTCTATCTGTCGGGTTAGACCACTTTTCTTGGAGAAACGTTCATTGAAGCTATAAAGTTTTCAATTGTTCCTATTTGTGAAAAGGAAGTTTGCAAAAATTAAATCTGAACTCTCTATTCTATATTTAGAATTTTAACAAACATTCAATGAAGGATAAATCACCTACATTGTCGGATTATTATGATGAGTCAAAGTTTGATATTTATATATTATGTATCAGGATAATTATATTGGAATATTATTTATGAAGTACCTTTCACCAAATTAATATGTGTTCATGCATAGTATGATTAAGAAAATTGAATGGTATTTTGGCATTTTATGCAAATTAATTGGATTATGTAATCCGACATTTATCTGGGCGATTCAACTAACATGAATAATGATTGCAGATGTATTTGACATTGTTATAGCTTTTAGAAGGAAACGTCTGATCTCTGGTAGCAGGTGCATGCAATTAATATCAATATTGAATTGAATAATTTCCAAGAAACAAATGGATCACCCTAAATCGCAAATGGAAAAAATAAACTGTACGGGATGTTTGATAGAAATGTTACTTACGTTGTTTCTCTAATTTATACTATAATTCTATGATTTATATAAGTAATTATATTCAAATTAACTAAATATCTTGCATTTCATCAAAATAAAAATGTTCTAAAAATTTCAAAATAAATCACAGTTTGAATTGGAGATGATACCAATAATGACAACTATTTTGTATTCAGCATTTTACAAATGTTTTCATTCAGCCACGTCAACCGTGGAAAGTGTCTTAACATTACACATTTTTCTGAGATTCAATTCTTCATTTTTTCCTCTGTTTGAACTATTGATCAAAGTCGTTGTTATATATACTCTCTAACCTTAAATAATGTGGCTATACGTCATGAAAACGTAGTCGAAAGCAGAACATGCCATGTAATTCAAATTAATGAAAGAAAAAGCGGTATAAAGTTTCAAATGGATTTCAATAAATCATTGTATCTATTGATGATCATCATTTTAAAGGTAAGAATACCATTATTTTCGATTTTTCATTTCGTAAATATGAAAATGTATGTGATTTAAATAATGTGTCATTAAGCTGAATAAGGTTGTTGATGCCGGGTCATGGTGACGCTAATACGTATGAATATGCACGTATATTTAGACTGCGTTGTAAGCTTAATGCCGATATAGGTACGTTAGAAACTAGGATCTTTTTTTATGTATTGCTAAGTTTATTACCTCTGTGTTGGTAACATTCCATACCAAACTGCAACGTCAACAATTAAGTTTAAAATCACAATAGATCAGTATTAAAACATCAACATGAAATATATGACATATTACACTGATTCTGAAAACAGATCGATCATATTAATGGCTTGTTGACTTGACAAGCTACTATAGAACTGGGTCAATTAGGGCAATGAGTGTCAGACACAGGAGAGTGTATGTATATCAAAACATAATGAGTGATGAATCTCTCCACACTATCGATCTAAATTCAGCTGCTTTCTCTCAATCGTATACCGTATAGTGTTGGTTCAGACATGATGGGTTAAATCATACGTCTGGAATAGTCACGGATCTAGATTGATGAATTAAAGTAATTGTCTCTAATAAAAAGGTATATGGGGGTTCATATTACCTTATACAATAAGTGTAAAAATTTGAAAAAGGATTACTCATGAAAATGCAATGCAACATGTTATAAATTGAAGCCTGTCTGAATCCAAAACAATGTTTTATTCAATTACCTTTATGTGTATCTTCAGTGCCAATTCTATTGTTTAGAATTGAAATGATATATAAAACCCTGCTATTTACGGAGAAAATGTTTTATCTTTTTTTTTTTATATTACGTTTTGACGTTGCAGCTCTTGGATCTCTACCTATGCTGGATATATTTACTGGTTTTATTATCATTACCTAGAATTAATGTATTTAGGAACATTGTTTTAAAATACTGGTATTTAAATGTTATCAGGATTGTTAGTTTATCACATCAATCAACACTATTCGTCGTACAAATTAACATAGAATACACATTTAAGTATCCCCTGCTTGGATAGAGTGTAATAAATATTTCGTAGCTTTGTAGCCAGGGCGTCTATGTAATCATTGATAAATAATTGAGTTACACATTCTATTGAACTGTGAAACCTTTTGTCAGGTAACTCGTATTTCACAGATACAAAAATCAATTAAAACACACAGCGAACCACCGTGTATTTAAAATGTGAAATCCCCTGCCATCTAAGTCGTAATTCACTGATAAAAATGTCTTAAGAGCATACGCGCTTTGTCATTAAGATAATTTAAGTACGAGCTAACTGTAAATTTTATGTTATATATCTTTACCAACCCAAACAGTTTCGGTTGACATTAAGCAAACTTTGTTCGGCCAAAATTAACAATTATATTAGATAAGAACAACCAGTATTCAGCCAGACATAATGGAGACGGCTGTGATTTGAGTACAGTAATTAATATAAAATAGCCTCAGTACAAACAGCTTGTGACTAAATTATCAAAATTGAAATAAGCATGAAGGATGCTGTATGATCAAACTGAATATCAACACGAGGGGTAGCTTGATGCATAATGATTAAAAATGAATATCAACATCAGGGGTATCTTGAGTTTAGTTTAAACAAATTTCACTCATAATACAACCAACCAATAATATCACAGCTTTTTCATAATTGAATTATAAAACCATACATAATAACGCGAACATTCTAGCTGTGAAAATTCTTGATTTTTTTTTATGAAAAGGAGGGATAAAG